CCAGCCGGCGATGCAGCGTCGCCAAGACAAGGGGAGGGTCGCGGCCTGAACCGTGAACCACCTGCCTGGACGGACGCACGCCGAAGAAAAGGAGAGAGAGGAGGGTCGGCCGTGGTCGTCGTCGAACTCCGGTCCACGCCGTCCGCGCCGTCCGCGCTCCAGGAGCAGACTTTCCGGCAGGCTGTTTGTCCAGCGGCTGGAGAGCTCATCGCCCAGGAAATTGTCGGACGTCAGCGGGGCGGCGTGGGGTGGGGCGTGGCGGGGGCGTGGAGTAGGAAAACAGTATGGGGAGGTAGGGGGGAAATCCAAAATGGAAGTAAGTGCTCGCCAAGCACAAGCACGGCGCGGCACTGACGGGGGGCAGGGCGGGGCAGGCGGACAGTAGCCCCTCAGACCCACTTTCATTAATTCACTGTAATGTTTAACTAATTGTTGGAGCCATTATTCATACCGCTCCGCAAACACGGAACAAGGCTCACTGCCGTCTCGGCTCGGGCCGCTCGGGCCGCTCGGGCTGTGTGCTCTCGCGGCTCGCGGCACGGGGCCTATCCAATCCGGGACCCATTCAGTCCCCCCTCCCCCTTTCCCTCATCCCCAGCGGTCTGCGCGCTCTACCTCTATTATACAAGTCGAATCGAAGAGAGGCCGGAGGCGTTTATTGACTTATTCACGTGTGTGAGTGTGTGTTCTTGTTTTCCTGTTTGTGGTGTCCGAGTGGCAGTTCCACGTGAGTCGCGTCCCAGTGGACCTTTGTGTGTATGTGAGTTTGTGTGCGTGTATGTGAGCCTGAATAATGCAGCCACACTTAAAACCAAAGCCTCTGCGTTTTTTTCGCGCGACTGTACTCGTATCGATGTATCGATGGCTGGCCAGCCCACGACGATAATATTATTTCGGTCAGCTGCTTGACCGCAGGAATGAGACGAGTAGCATAGTAAGCGAGTATTACCGCGACGTTAAAAAGGCACACCGGCTTTTGGTGTGCCGTGCCCCCGGTCGGATCTGCGCCGAGCCGAGCCGAGCTGAGCCGCGCCGAGCCGCGCCGAGCCGAGCCGAACCGAGCCGCGCCGAGCCGAGCCGAGCCGAACCGAGCCGCGCCGAGCCGAGCCTGCCGGGCCGCAGCGCGCCTCCCCAAGTGATAGGATGGCTGGCTGGCTGATGGGGTCCTTGTCCTTATTTGTGCTGTGTGATTGGAAAAGCGTCGCTTTGTGCGCGTAAGAAGATTGCGCAGCAATGTACTGAGCTGTGCGTGGAGGGGTTGGCGCAGGGCGGGGCGGGGCGGGGCGGATAACCAGACAGAAAGGCGGGAGGCGCGGGCAGGCTCATTGCGGGCACGAGGAAGGCGGAGGGGCCTAATCGCTCCGCCGTCAGGCCGATTCCGAACCGTCGCTCGGTCTCTCTCGCGCCCTGTGGGTCCTTCGGACCATGAGTGCGAGAGAGGACGGCTTGGCGGCCGTCGCCGCCACCGCCGTGTCCGAGGTCGTGTCTGCCTCATTTTGGGCGCCGGCCATAAATGGCCGGAAGGGAGGCACGTCAAAGAGACGGGTAATGCCCTTGAAGCGCTTCGAGCTCTCGCCGCTCTCGCGCGAGCTATTTGCTGCGGCCTGATTGCTCCGCATCGCTCCGTCTATCCAGTCTCCACTCGGCCACGCCCGGCCACGCCCGGCCACGCCGGCCGGTAAGCCGCTTGTACCAATCTCGTTTGACGACACTTTGCGCCCCCCGGCGTCCGTGTCCGTGTGTGTGTGTGTGTGTGTGTGAGGGGGGGGGCTTCCGGAAGGGGTATAAAAAACCGTGTCAATCTGTTGGTAGAGGAGCCGGCCTGTATAGAGTGTGTCCAGTCCGCGCGCGCGGCATGCGGAATCCAAAGAAAAGGATTTCCAGGCGATAGGCGAGGACGGAGGAGATATAAGGGTTGCCCGGTTTGCAATGAACAGGCGATCGGGAGAGGCTGGCAGCACGGATGCAGTGGGTGGGGTAAGGGGGTGGGGGCGAGGGTGACACGGTAGAGCGCGCCACTCGTAATAGGTGGCGTGGAAAGCAGGTGGTTGGCGGGGGTGGGGCGTCCGTGTCGCAGTGTTCTGATTATTTGATTACCCTCCAATTAGTCAAATCCAGTACCGCTGCACTGCGGTGTATCCTGGCGGCACCCCGGCAGTGCTTCAGCGCGGCAGCCTCCCTCCGTTGCGCCGATGCGTCGCGTTCCGCCTGGCCGCGGCGCCATGCTCGATCAGTATCAATCTGCATCCCGCCCTGCCGCGCCCCGCCCAGTCAGGTGAGTCGGCAGCCACAGCCGGCAAGTCGCCTACACTGCCCATAACGCGTGCCCGCTTTGTCAAGTAGCAGATACTTTGTCTAGTCGGCCGCCACCGACGTCATCACGCCAGCCGCAGCCAGCCGACGGTCATAAAAAGATGAACAAAATGATAAAAAGTGGAAAACCTGGCAGGCTTGTCGGGACGCGCGCGGGTGGAAGCCCTGCCTTATTTCACCATTTTCGGCGCGTGCCGTGCCGCGCCCGGCCGCGCCATTAATATTAAAGGCTCAATAATGAATCCGCGCCGCCGTGCCGCCGTGCCGCTGCCTCGGGCCGAACGCGAAAGGCGCGCCCCGCCACGGCCATTTGGCGTAATGGAAAGAGAAGGCTGCCGCCGCGCCGCCGCGCCATCTATCTCCATCACCTGAGCCCCAGAGGACGCCGTCAGAGGAAGCCGACTGAGGACGCCGTCAGAGGACGCCGTCAGAGGACGCCGTCATCGGCGTAAGGGTGGTGGTGCCGGTGCGGTCCTAGCTCCTCGCCTTCAAGTACTGCCTGCCCTCGTGCTGCCATTTGCCCCCCACCCCCGCCCTGGTTGCGCCTCCAGGGAGTCCCAGCAGCGGGCGTGCGGTTCCCCGCCACCCCCGCCCCACCCCGTCCCCAAGGCCGTGAATAAGTAACGGAACACACACTCCGCCATTTGTGGCGTGATTGCTCCATCAGTGTATAACAGGTTGCCCAATACGCTTTTAGTACTCTTTTTATTTTCCTCCTCTCGGAGGCGAGGCTCGAGATCACGGCTGGCGTCCTGGCGTGTTTACACTCTCCAATTCGAAGGGCGTGGCGGTCGCCGAGTCGGGGCAGCCAGGCCGCCTGCTCCGGAGTGGCCAGCCAGGACACTGGGGGACTGGAACACGCCGACCGGGAAGGCGAAAAAAACGGGAAGCTCATCGAGTATTTGAACCGTGAACCCCCCGATGCGCACAAAGGCGACCGGATTCCGTCTGCTTAATGTCCCCTCTGCGGCGTGACAATGGCTGGCCGGGCTGCGGGCCCTGGGGCGCCCTCGGCCCGGTCTGGACAGTCCGGACAGTGTCTCGACCGGCCCAATATTGACTCAGCGCCGGCCGGACCGGCCGGACCGGGAGCCATTCGAAAGAACATCCCTCCAAACGCTTCGGCGACACGCGGGAGGGCAGGGTGGCCGACGTATGTACCGACAGTCGTTTGGCGCAGGGGTGCCGCGCGCCTCAGCGTGCGGTCTAACCAGCCGCTTTCTTCGGCTTCAAATTCATTAGCCGGAACTGTCCTCGTCTTCCAGTCTTCCAGCCTCCCAGCGCACCTGGCGCTGCGGCCGGCGGGGCCGGCGGCGTCGTCCCCGCGTTTAGCGGCCTATGTCGCGGCCGCGCGTGTGCGAGTGCACTGCGAGTGTGTCGGTGAGTGTGAGTGTGTTTGTCCTGGGGAATTGACAATCGGCGCGCCAATCTGCGCGGCTTGGCTCCGCTTTGGCCGGCGGTGTCCGCGCGGCCCCGGCCGGGCGATTCGTTTAGTCCAGTGGCGTGCCGGCGTGCCCTGCCCCCCGCGGCGCCACTTCCCACTTCCCCATTCAAGAATCAGACTGACTGCATTCGCTGTCCGTCCACTCCGTTCTATTTACGGCGAGGGACGGCAGGGTGTGGGTGTGGGCTGGGGGTGCGGTTTGCAGACCGCAGTGCGTCCAGTGAGGGTGCTCGATCGGACAGCCGAGGCGCGGGGTATCGCCGAGCGTGGGGTATACAGCTAGCCTCTTAGACCAAGAGTAAGGTTCCTTCTGTCGAAATGGCTAGAGCCATGTTGTGCTAAGGCGGAGGCGTGTAAGAGCAAAACAAAACTTTTTCCTTCTAAAATAAATATATTGCCTCAATTTGATTTTTTTTCCACGCAATAACATATATAATTAATCATACACCTTAACTAAAATACAAAGCATACTGAGACAAATGCTCATCATCAGGTACACTAGAACATGAAACAAATTATAATTCTGGCAGCAAAGAAACTTGCTTATAGGTAAATTGGCATTTACTTGACAGGTTGGTACGTATAAATGAGTAAATATTATTGAATTATTAAAACCACTGGTCTATCTTAATTCAATTTTAGACTGTGTTTCACTCAAGACGCAACAGTGTCAGTATGTTTCATGGCGTTATATGGGAGAAACACGCAGCTGATTCGTCAAGGTGCCTTTGTAACAGTGTGACGTCTTGACAGTTTTACTTCTAAAGAATGTACACATATCAAAATTAATATTGAGCAATAAATATTTAAGGATAAAATCTGCATTGTACAAACAGGCCCAAAAGAACAAGATACATGTATGCAGTTCTTTTGGACATGTTTGTGCACTTACAAAACAAGGATAATAATGACATGCACTATCACTAATAATGAAGCACAAATTGGTAGGAAAAGAGAATATTTAACATTTAAAATCCACACTCTAATGACTTATATAAAACACACAACTGGTATATATGCTTTGGAAGTTACTTAAAATATACAACTCACACACAATGATATGATAGCACTTAGAAGTGAAAATAAAATACTGAATAGACATTTATTTAGGAAGAACAACTGATGTGTCTTCCATTATCTTGAAACACACATGTATAAGCTCAATACTGAGTAGTAATTCTGACAGATTACTGATCTACAAGAGATTCTTCATATTCTTTCCCATCAAATAGCTTTCTTTTTACAACAGAATTTTGTTACAAACTGGAAATAACGCTTACACTACTGCGTATTGTTGCTGATCCTTTCAGAACTTTCTCCTGAAGCTTCTGCAACAATTAAAACATACCATATAGTGTTTGTACAGTAACACTTTTTATCAGTTCATTTTTTATTTACTTACTCTGGTGTATATTTCAGCCATGAGGCGATTGGTCCTCTTCTCTTCTTTCTTTCTCAACTCAGCCATACGCTGCTGACTTTCTGGGAGGAGCATGTACCTCCTGGCACAAGCTGATTTGCTTACTTTGGGAATGGACTTTTTTCTCATGGCTTCAAAATTAATCGAAGAAAAAGAAATTAAAAATCAAGATGTGTGAAAAGTTCAATACATTTTGAATTTTAGGTTTGAAGTTTCAAATTACCAGTTGGCCTGGCTCGAGACGCACAGCGCATTCTCCATTGTTGCTTTTGTCTAGCACACATTTTGTCACCTTCCAGTTCCATCAAACGTTTACGGCTCTGCTGCCGCAAACGTCTTAAATAAGACATTTCAGCAATACACCGTCTTCTCTTTTCAGCTGCATCAAGATACTTAGGGTGATTTTTCTCCAAATATTCCTAACAGAGCAACAAACAATGACAATTTTAGAATCAAGATGTCAACTACAATTTTGGAAAGCACAAGAGTTGTTTTAAATTCAATGGCTTCACATAAATAAAAAGGAACATGATTCATGTTTTACATTGAGTGCTCTATAATAGCTTACCTGTAATGTTGGCACACCGTTTTCATTGTCGCCTTCATCATGAATATCAAAGACAGATTCACTTTCATTGGCTGATTGGTTATTGTTATTCTTTTGTTGTTCCAAAGTGGGTACAGACACATTGCTGCTGGGAGTTTTACTTTCATTAGTCCTGAACACAAGGGTTTGACTTATATCCCCTGTGTCTTTGCTATCAGTTACAACTTTCTCTTTTCTCTTGTTGGATCGGGGAGCCCTGTGAACTTTTCTGGATGGATGTTGAAAGGAAGAGTACCTTGAATCACCATCAGGTGAAAACACACTGTCTACAGAGGAGTCTGTTACAGTGATGGACAAATGGCTTCGACCTGGGGCAGACCTCAACAGATTTGCAGCATCAGTTGGGGACTCAGATCCTGACAAAAGGCCTCGGCTACCCCTCTGGTTAGACTGAGAGGAACCTGCTGGGGATTGACCACTCCCAGCATACTTGCTTTTCTTTCTTTCTTGTGAGGACAAAGTTGGTTTAACTCCACGTGGCTTATGCATTGGTATTTTCACTGTCACCACTTCCATAGGAGGTTTAGCTTCTTTTTTCTCAGGGTACATTTGTGTTGAGGGATCCTCTTCAAACTGCAGGAAATAGGCAGTGTTTCTACTTTTCAACACTTCATGCACGTCATAAGGAGTCATTTTGCAAGGCATTGGTTTCCGTAGATCAAGTTCAAACTCCACCTGTCTATCCAAAGACGAAAATGGGGGAGATGCACGATATGTTCTTGGGGTGCTGGTAGGTTGTGAGCCACAACAGCATGAACGAGAGGCAGGCGCAGTTTGAGGCCGAGTTGGAATCTCAGATTGTTGGTTTTGATACACAAACGATGGAGCTTGCCTAGCAGGCGACGCACCACAAATGCAGCCTCCTCGAGAGCTTGAGGCAGGAGGGACTGCCTGTTGAGCTTGAGGAAAGGGGCCAGTATATGACTGAGCATCTCTTTGTTGAGGGGTTTTCTGATCTGCAGTTGAAGTTCCTATTGTTTTCTTATCCACCTCACTTTGCACTCCAATCGAGCTGCCCAATGAAACTGGAGCTTCCACACGAACATTCAATCTAGTTTGAGGGGTGCTTGCAGTATCAGGTGTCTTAAATTGACGGCTGAGGTAATCTTGTAAAAGGAGATCTTGTATTCTCCTATCCACATCATGCAGTCCCATTTGAGCTCGCTGCCTGCTTTCCGCAATGGACAGAAGCTTCTGACGAGTCTCGTAATCCATTGCTCTCTGCCGGGCAATCATATCATCCAGCTCACTGTGCTTTGAGGTGTGGAAAGGACTTTCATCATCTAGGTCTTGAGTTTTCAATACTCTCCCTCTTTCAGGATAAGAAGGCACATGATCTGATTGGCCTGGAGCTACTTTGACACGAATCTTGACCTCTGCTTCTTCTATCTGACCCAAATTACGGAGCTCTTTAACTTTGGAAGAAACAGCCTTAGAGACCGCCTTGGTTATGCTATCATCGCTGGGTTGTCTCAGCATAGGAACCCCGCGTAACTCTGATACATCGGCTATGTGCACTCTATCCCTTACAACTGAGCTCCTCAGCGATTCATGAGTAGAATCAACGTCCTGGTCAGATTCAATATGAACTCGGACCAGTCCACCACCCGACAGTGGCTGTGTGGAACCTGAAGGAATCTCGGCCACCACTCGAGAAACTAACTGGTGGGATGAACCAGCAGTACCCTTATTCAAAGGTCCAGCATTTTGGGGCTTGTCTCCAGGCGGCTGTTCTTTGGAACAACAACAATTCCGGGCTTGGGTTTTGGAAGAACCACATGAGCATGACTGGACCGTCTGATTTCTATCTTCTGCCTTAGTGGGGCTCAGACTGTCAAAGCGTGGAAGCCCCAATGAGCCACCAGGTCGATTAACCAATGCACTTCTAAGCCCTCCACCAGAAGGTGGGGCATTTCTCACATTGAGGTGGTTATGAGACGCACAGTTTTCACAGACCTGCTTTGAAGATGCATCAGAGGCCAAGTTTCTAGGTGGAGGCCCATAAGTTCCAACCTGTGGAGATCGTGTGCTAAAAGTTCTTCCATCGGGTCTTCCACAGTGACAATCAGAGCGCTTCTTCTGGATTGGTGCATCTGAAGTAGAAGGTGGTCCCAACTGCTGATCTGTATCACTGATACTAACGGACCGCCGCCTCGACTTCGGGGCAATATGAGGGCCAGAGCTGTGATCTGATTTTCTGTTAGATAAAGAGCATGAAGCATCTGTTATCTGATCAGCATCACTGATACTGACGGTCCTATGGGGATGACCATCCTGCTCTCCTGCACTGGCTACTTCAACTTCTTGCCAGTGGGAATCGTGAGAACTTCCAGTGTTGTTTGACAAGCCAAAACCAGCACTGGTATCACTCTCCAAGGATATCCACTGCTGGAGTCTGGAAGGTTTCAGGGCTGGAGAACGAGCCTCAGGAATATCAGGCCTGCAAAATAATTTTTGAAATAAATATTCATATCCTGTAGTAAATTTTGAGGTATTTTTTCCCCTAATTTTACTATCAAGTTATAAACTTACGAAGTGCAGTCAGCCATTTGCATAGTTTGCTTTATCCCAGTTAAAGGCATAGTGGTGAAATTAGTTTGGCATAAATTTGGATTCAGACTTTGTTTAAGAAATTCTTGTTTCTGTAGCAACCTGGAAACAATGCAGTTTGGAAATGCCATTGCTAAATTATTTTTGCCCAACAAAGGCACTTTACTGTGACAAGCAAAAAACAGCCGAAAAAAGGAGAACACAAATACATACTGCTTTAGGATTTTGAGGTGGTTGATTTCATTAGTGACCCAGGACAGCTGTTTTTGGGGATCATCCTTCAGCAGCATGGGATCCAGAGCATGTTCGGGAGGATGTGTTCCTATCAGACCAGCTAAGTGCTTTTCAGCATGAGAAGTACCTGTTAGAGAGGCAAAGACAATATAAACTTTGCTAGATTAAAAAAAAAATACCTTCTGTTGCTATTATGTCAAAAACATGCAAACAAGAATTATTTTATGCTCTTATTTCATCTAATAATAATAAAATACCTTTCTTTCTCATTTCAAAAAGTTTTTCTGATTGGGTGGTTGGCTTTAACCAATCTGCAGCTTTTTCTTGATTTAATTCAAACAGGGGGTTGGGTTTCACACTTATTTTGGACTGCTTCTGATTGTCTGAAGATCCACTCAATGAAATACTGCCACTTGTGCTGTCCCCATGAGAGCTCCACAAACTGGATGACTTACTTCCTGCAAAGTAACAGTAAAACTAAAATTATTTCTTTAAGTAAAAATAAATGATGTGAAGAAAACTAATTTAAATTAATCCTAACCACTGGCTAAAGTGCTCAAAGTCCTTGGGGCTTGAGGGTGATGAACAGGTTGATGTGTTGGTAATTTACGTCGAACATTGTGGACTCTTGCAGCTTGCTGCTTGGGCTCATCAGATTCCCCAGAAATCTCTTGTCTCTCTGATCCCACAGTTCTCTTAGCCCTGAGATTTCTGTCTTGCCTTTCATGATATTTGGTTCTCTGGGAAACAAAGCAACTTGCATTACCATCACAAAAAGAATATGATTACAAAATTAATAATACAATTTCTGAGAAAATTACCCTGGGAGAAAAAGGGGGGCGAGCTGCATGACTGGCTCTTTCTTTCTCAATAATATCCTCAACATATTCTGAAGTTACCAGTTTCTTAATTATCCTCCGTATGAGTTCACGTTTACATCGACGGCCCGCTGACTTATTTTCCATGACTCCCTTCAGCAAATTTACTCCTCTCTCCAAGTCCTGAACTAAGGTGTTCGATCCTGTTCTGGGGGAACCCCAAAGACGATCATCTTCTGTATCATGGCTGCTTGAGTCCACAACCTGAAAATTACATTTCAAATTTAATTTAAATAGACACATTGACTTAAAAAAAATACTACTACAGCACTGAAAAAAAGGAACGTACCTTCCTGTGCATTACCCTACTGATAGGCCTGACAGGTTCTGAATCAGTTTCTGTTGAGGTAGATATTCCAGGAGGTCTTTCATGTTTTCTAAGACCTGAGACAGAATTATTTTCGTATGCATGACCTGTAAGTTTCAATAATAAATAAAAATTAAATTTTTTGTTTGGTCCTGTTTACAGACTAAGAGAGCAATTATTTACCATATCACCCTAACATTTACCTGGTAAATATTCAAAACTATTTGCTCTTCCAGTTAGTGTGCTACCTCTGGGAACACTTTCATCATGGTGAGCATCTGAATGGAAGGCACTGCTTCCTGTACTTTCAACTATCGGGTTCTCAGAGTCTTGAGTTGACTCCTTGGTCTGAAGTTGGGTCTGGTTGCTATTGGTAGAAAACACTCTATCAGACCCATGGACAATATTTTGAGGTTGAGACCCTTCATTCGGCTGTCCACTAGATTGAATGTGACCACCTAAGACTGTTGAGCACAAAACTCCAAAGTGATGATGCAATCCACGCTTGTGATCCGTGTCACTGCAAACATGTGAATTACTACTGCTTGGCTTGGTCTCCACTGGATGAGGTGGAACGTTTCCTTTCTTTGCCACATCTTGCTGCGGAGCACCACCCATCCTTGATGACTGATTTGAATCTTGTGGTTCAGCTGGAGCAAATACTTTTCCTGACTCACTGACGGCCAATGACACAGAGTTTGGATCATGAGTCTCACAAGTTAGAGTTAACTCGTCTTGGCCTTGTTGAGGATGCTCTACAGAATCATTTTCCTCCCTCCCATCAGTTGCCAGGTCCTCTTCAGTTCCTACATGAACTAACGTAGCATCAGATCCAGACGAAATAGAGTGAGCAGCTACATTGCTTTCTGCATAGCTTCGACCCTTTGGCATTTCTTTGAAAAGTTTAGACCTGCGTGACTTAGACACAGCTATTGGGCTGTCCCCAGACAGGTCTGGATCACTTTGGCTTTTTAATAACTGATTTTCAGACCGCTTACTGATGCACTTTCTTAGATCTTGCATAGAATTGCTCAGTTGTCTATGGAAAGGAATGGTGGAGGCTGAAGAATATTCCTGGACATCTGGGCTCTTGGACTTTGGTAAAATTGGATGAACCACAGCTTCTTCCTCTTCCTGCTCCTCTTGTAGTGGTCCACTCAAACTCCGTGTTTCTGTACCATCTTTTTGGTGGGTGTAAAAGATAGGCGAGATTACACTTTTTGGGTCATTGACATGTTTGCGAAGTGCTTTAGCTATGGATGGAGCTTGACCGAGAGGCGTAGACTCAGCTGTTGGCTTGCCTACTGCACTTGGTGTTGGTTTCTCTTGCACTGACGAAGGAGGCATGGGGGGAGCAATGCCAGGGGAAGCAGGAACTGTGGTACCCTCAGGATCAAGTCTTAAATGCAAAGCGACGGAACAGCCTTGCGCTAATGCCATTCTTTCAATGGTGCAGAGGCCAGAAGTTGAGGCACCTGGATTGGGAGAGCCATACATTTGGTTGTAACCCACATCAGCTCCACTGTCCCACTCTAACCGTCGACTGGATGTCACACTAGATGAAGGAGAAACACGCCCTCCAGCACAACTGTCAGATAAGCCTTGTTCTCCCTCAGAGGTAAGCTGATGGCATGTAGCAGACGAAGCATCATGGTCGGCTGGTTCAAAGTAGTCATCATTACTATGAGGCACGCCACTTGCAACATTGCTTGAATCAAAATATGAACTTTTAGGATGAGAAAATCCCCTAGCAGTGTCTCTTGAGTCAATCTGCTCTGAGCCAGTGCTGCTGGACAACTGCAGACTATCGTCATTGGGTCTTCTTTTCTCTAAAGAACGGCTATGATCGTCCAAACAGTCAAAGTTGATGAATGGAGGTTTGTCGGCAGAAGATGCAGCTTGGCCAACAAGAGGGGGCCTAACCCACTTCTTCCTCTCCCGAGGTGCTGTGTCACCATTGCTACTTGAAGTACTCAAGGCTCCTGAACTTCCCGGATGTGACTTTGAAACAGGCGATTTCTCCTGCCCTATGACGTCCCTCTCACACCTAACATTAATGTTAGCTGGGACAGACCGTTTTTTAGGGAATGCTGCAGAAGTTGCCTTCTTCTGGTCCTCAGATCCATCACCTTGGTTATCTTCACTTCCTTTTAAATGTCTAAAACTGGGTCCGATCTCAGCAGCGCTTGAGAAAAATCCATCATGTTCGGCTGGCATTCTACTCTGCAAGGTACAATTTTGTGATGAATGATTGGAACTGTGGCAGAGTACACACTGCGTTCGATTCATCACTGGAGATTTGCTCCTCTCTCTGGTGGCTCTGCTATGAGCAGGGTCTGCAGCATTTACATCCATCGAAGCTTCATTGGCATCGAGGTAGGCAGATCTAGCCAGGTTTGTCAATGGTTTTCGTTTGGAATATCGCTGAAAAGCTCCCGCAGTATCTTCAACATAAACTGTAAATGGCTGCCTTGCGTTGCTGTTGGAAGGCTGCAAAGCTGAGCGAATGGAGGTATGTGGCTGTTCTCCATACCTCGGTACAGTAACAGCACTTCGATCAACTAGGTAGGGGTCTTCAAATCGGTCTTGCACATTGCTTGGCAAGAATTGAGGACTTTCTCTTGAGGGGTAAGTTTTGGCCAAAGGAGAGTTCTTGACAAGATTTTCATAATACTCATGTATTCTGTCAGACAAATTATGGGTTCGGTTTTGGCTCAACTGAGGCTGATGAGTAGCTGGTGGAATCGTTTCGCTGAGAAACAGACGATTTGGACGACGGGTTGGCAAGTTCTCATGGTCTTGGCCCACTCTTTTGGTATGAGGTTTGGTTGCCTTGGGGTCCATGGTTTATGACTGTACAAGGATAAAAATAGGAAGATCAGAGACATGTCACGAAATATAACCAACGATAGTTGAAAATCTTCTAGCATTTGCGACAGAACAAATGTTAACAAGAAACTAAGTTCCTGGACTAGAAATGACGCATCTTAGTATTCGCTTGACGCGTGCTTTTCGTGACTAAAATTACAATGTTGTGAGTTTGGAAAACCTCCAGTAAGTCAAATCACATACCTATGTCATTCAAAGAAGCTCACAAATACACAAACAATGTAACCTAACGTCCCAAACCTTCATTTTCTTGCTTCAAATTCAAAACTGTTTGTGGACAAACGGCGACATTTGAGTATGGGATTATTGAGATTCATATTGCAGTAAGTAGCTTTGTATGAAAAATAAAATCGAGTAGAATTCGGAAACGAAAACGAAACCAACAAACCTGGACAATATGACTAAGACTTGCAACAGTAGCCTAAACAAACAGATAAGCTTAACTTTATTCATTCGACGTTTTGATAACTTGAAAGAGGCCAACCCATTATGGAAATAAAGTCAAAATTGATCCATGATGAAAAATTGCTAATGAAGATAATAGGTAACACAACAAAGTTAAAAGTTCACCTTGCTCGTTGTTTTTTCACGTTTTTACGTTGAAATTTGTTGAAATAAATGATCTTTGCATTCCTTGTGAGCGTTTATGATTGCATTAGCATACTTCAAAAGCACTGCCAATGCTTATGGAAACTCAGAAATGAGATGACGGTGTTCTCTATAACAACAAAGACAAAACTACAGAGCCAACAATAACAAGGATAACAAAAAGAGTTGCATGGTCGGTGACTTTTTGCAGTGGTTATGTGAAATGACAAAATTATCGAAGTTTCCCTTTTAGATGTGCTTACATCTTCCATTTTGAGAATACCGTTACTGTTGCCCGTTGTGCAATGCTGTTACGTATTTTGATATGTGATTTACCCTTTCCAATGGTTTGAAATCAGATGTGAAAATGGCTCTTGACGCTAGCAGCGAACTTTACATATTGCCGTTCAAGCCTCCAAATGAGAGCAGATTCCACAATTTGTGCAAGAATGGGAGCGTCGTGGGATCTAGCAGCGATGTTTCCAACGACCTGCTGGAAATTCGAATAACCGAGATACCTCAAGACCTTGACGGCGAAACGATGCTGCATAGCAGAGACATCACTGGAACTTCCAACGACTTTGGGGCAGTCATGAAGCACCAAGAAATAGACTTTGAAAGCTTGAATCAGATCTTATGCAAAGATGTTGTTTTTATGTCATCAAACTCAGATGACTCAAAACTTATCACTGGATCTGATGTTACCATGTTCAGTGAGGTTAAAACTCTTAGTTCCGTTCCAGTCATCATGTTTTCGAAGGACGATTCTGACCATGATATTGTTTCACATTCTGAACTGTTGCCAGAGGACACTTGTCACTTTAGTACAGATAAAGATGACGATTACATTGTTTTTAAAGATGACACTGATGTTCTTGGTGCAGTTGAAGTTTTGGGGGTTGACACTATGGAGAGCATCAATGAGGTTTGGATTCCCGATCAAGAGCAACTGCCTGAAGTTGGGTTAGATATGTGTGAATCTATCGGACCTCAGCCCAGCGGCACTCATTTGGTCCCTGTCAAACTAGAAAACAATGTAGTTTTCATTGATGCAGCTCCTTCCAATAATGTAACTAAACCTGAAACACGCGCCCAAGTGTCACGTACTAGAAGAAAATCCATAGAAACGTCATCCCAAGATAGACCAAGTGTCATCTCAATTGCATTTCCAAATGCTGAAAAACTAAATTTAAATCTTCGACAAACATCTGCAAGAACCAAACGCAATTCTCATCCTGATTCAATCCTTAATCAAGTTACTGCTCAAGTTCAGATGCCCAGCAGCAAGTCTCCTGGAAACCAAGCACCTGTACAGCCCACTCCTTCAGCTCACTCTCGTAGTGTCTTGAAAACGTCGCTAGCTAAGAAAGGAGCTAAATATTCTGCAGTAAAACCTAAAGGATCAGGCAGGCAAGTTTTAAAAGAAGACCATTTTATTTCCTTAATAAATCAAAGCTCTAAGCAAATAAACCAAAATGTGCATCTTATGAAGAAACCAGGATCCAAAGTTGTCAAGGGCAATTTGTCTAAATCCCAATCTTTGGCAGTAGTGGCCATATCCTCTGATAAATCTAAAGACCTCACAGAAATTGTTGTGAGTACTGCCAAAGGAGATCAAATATTCAAAGGAAAGACTAGTGAGCTGATAAACGCCACCCCAAATCTTTGGTGTACCAGTTCAGGGAAAAAATGTGAAGAAACAGGTGACCACAATTCCTTAGAAGAGGAGGAGCTTTTGGAATATCAACCAGTGACTGATGCCTTACAGAAACTTGGAGTCCCTACATTAAGCTGGGTACAGAATAAACCGGAAGATCAAAAGCTGTGGTACTGTCCTGAAAAAAGCTGCAAGAAACTTTTTCCTGTATTAAACCAACTGAAGGTTCATATACTGGGTCATTATGGCGTTCGTCCCTATAAGGTAATATTCTTCAATTGCATTATATCTTTACATCTGTCTAACATCTGTTAAATTTTTCGGTTTTCTTTTTGCAGTGTGATTTCCCCAACTGTCAATGGGCATTTTACACCCACTTCAAGCTGAAAAGGCACAAAGAGACTCATTTGCAAAGGAAGGATTTCAAGGTAGCCTACCAGTGGTCATCCTCACATAAAAGCTTACAAAGAGTTCTTTTTTCCTAAATTGTAAATTATAATCTTATATCATCTTTTACAGTGCTCTGTGCCAGAATGCGGCCGTTCATTCACTACAATATATAATCTGAAGACTCATCAGAAACTCCACAAGAGGCCTGCAGAAATAATGTGTCCAGTGAAAGACTGCAATGAATTCTTTCAAACTCGGCGTAGCTTAGAATTTCATCTGAAAGAACATGGCTCAGATCATGCACCTTATGTGTAAGGAATTAAATTATGATTTAGAAAGAAAACTTTTATCTAAATGGTATTCTGTATTTACTTACAAATTTCTGTACGTGCCTCTTCAGGTGTCCTTATGCGTCATGCCAGAAGAGGTATTACACTGTGAATTCAGTCAACTCTCACATCAGAAGCCACCAGCATAAAGATGATGAAATTAGATGCCAATGGTCTGGCTGTACGAAGGTTTTTACCAAACCATGCAGATTAAGGGCCCATATGCGCACACACACAGGAGATAAACCATACTTGTGCACACATCCAGTAAGTTATCTCATGACAAAAAGAAAATTGCTTACAAAATCAAGATTTTATTATTCCTTTTATTTACTTTCAGGGCTGTACATGGGCTTTTACTAGCTCAAGTAAACTGCGACGGCATCAATTCAAACATACAAACGTGCGCAATTTCCAATGTCCTATTGAAGGATGTGGGAAAATGTTCATGCGCTCAGAGCACCTTAAGGAACATGCTTTAACACATTCATCCGAACGTACTTTTCAGTGTCCTCATCCAAGTAAGTATAATGTCTGGGTGTACATGGTATCTGTTTGTTTGTCAACGATTATTGATTTTTCTTTCTGTTGTAGATTGTAATATGAAATTTTCAGCAAAAAGCAGTTTGTATGTTCATTCTAAAAAGCACCGAGCCAAAGTTCATGCTGTTCCCAACGACACACTCACTGAAGCAATTACCTCCATACCTGTGAAAGTTATTCAAAGTACTGGAAAGATCTGCACTGAAAGCAGTGTTAGCAGCGTGCCAGAAATGAACATGGAGGACCATGTTGTCATTCAAAGCTTGCCCTGTGAAAACACTGTCCAACCAGGTGTGTTATCTGTTAATAACATTTTGTATTTTACATCCTTGAAACAAAAGGGAAAGACAAATATTTCCACGTTTTTAATATGCATCACTCAACTTTGATCTCATAGATATTCCTGAAGGGACACAAACCTTGGACCTGATTCCTTTGCTGTCAGAAGATGAGGCTCTTGTTGCTGAACTAGTTGGTATGGAACCTGTTACATTTGAACACAATGCCTCTGCATCTCTAAGTAAGACATGAATAATATTTTAGTAGGGATGTGGTTTCAGAATGGATTCATTTTGTTTTCATGATTGTTTTCTTTTCTCATCATAGGGTCTGAAGATACCAGTAATATATCACCTGAAGTCATGGAGAATTCTTCAATTGTTTTAAATACTTTACCAGGCTATGTAGATGATCCAGGTATAACAAACTGCAAAATGCCTGCACTTGCCTATGGTTCAGGTTTTGTTTCTTTATTCAAAAACATTGACTTATTGTGACAGGTACTCCAAACCACATGTCCCAAGTCTTGATCTGTACCCAGGAGCCAGAGGAAAATTTGAGTGATGCTGTGGAACAAGATGAGGTATGTTTACAAGTTTCGTGGATGTACTTTTGTTGTAATATTTTCTATTCAACTCCCTACTTACAATGTGTTTCTATTTCAGGAAATAAGTCACGTTTTACATCCTGAGTCAGCCCGTAGCTCAATCACAATCCACAGTTGGACGAAGTTCAAGAAGGTGCGTCAAAGTCAGTCAATCAGAACTCCAAGGCAGCCTAAGCGGCCACCACAGCAAACAAGGAAGCCTTCGTTGAGGCTCCATGCTGTTGAGATTGATAAATCGCCACTCTCAGGAACCAAACAAGACGGTACTACAAATCACGCTTCTCACTGTGCATATTTGAATTGCAACAATGTTATTTAAAGATTGTCTTATTTGATTTCAGGACTCTCCAACGGGCGGGCCCCTTTGGATGTTGTACTCAGTGCTGGTTACTTAGGATCTGGTCAAGATAGTATAGCTCACCTCTTATTGCCTGTAATTATATCACCTCCTATTTTTCAAAAACCTCTTTTTGTTTTAAAATACAGTATTTACTACTAATTGTGTTTTCCTTTTAAATTACAGGATGATTTAGCGACTACAAGTGACTTGTACAGCTCGGAGGATGGAATTTTAAGTATGGATTCAAGCTTTGCACCATCAACCATAAATCTCAGAGATTTGGAGTGAAACTGTTAGTGCTCTGTCGGAAGCCAAACTCAAATTTTTTGTGTCTTTCTTCTTTTGTCTGTATTTGAAATAACATTTTTCAGGCTTCTCTTGCTGTGCTTTGTCAAGATTGAAGCTCACTTTTGATGCTGTGATATTAAGGAAGTTACGTACTTTAAGATGAGTTATCCTTGTAACCTGTGGTGCTATCACCTTCTGATTCTGAATGATCTGCGTGTTGCTCTTGTAGCAGCTGCATCTTTGTTTCATTCCTAACTTTACGCCACTGTTTCCTGTACTATTCTGACCAAAGATTATGAGTAGGCATGTATTCATAAATGCTTTGAAATGATGCTGCTTTTGTTTTGTAGTTTTGTTATCATGTTTCTCAACTATTTATCGTGATTTATGGTTTATAGATTGTTTATCTAGTCATTGTTTAAGCAATGTATATGAGTTCTGGGAGGATCTGTAATTAATTAATTTCTTTAAATGTTTTAATGTTTTGTAAAATGCCACATGTTCAAATATTTTAATATTTTCTTTATTGTGTAACATGCACTAGGTATTTTGTGATGTTTTTGTGTCAAAGATTCTACTTTCTCTATGTGCTAAAAAAAGGTTTGTTTCTTCAACACACTGACTATCTTCACAGTTAGTTTGATGCTTGTTTGGAATTGCAGAGGCCCTTCATGTTTCATGAATTTGAACAAACCTTATTCAAAACTGTTCAAAACAGTAGTTCTCTTAATCACTCAACTTTACTTAAGTCTTTTTGAAAAATTATCACACTTCATTTTAAAATCAACTTGTCAAACCATCAACATAATTTGTAATAGAAACACAAATTTTAAATGTCCACTCAAAAAAAAATGCTGCTTGAAAATGCATGTAGAACTGTTACACAAACTGCTGTGTTTTTGAAACAATTATTATCAACTGTCTATATTTTAATGGAAATTGATGATTTTCCAGTACATATGATACTGATGTTTACTGTATTTATTTTTTATATCACTGTATGTTTACTTGTGAAACACTAGTTGTTGTAAGCCTGAAGTTCAAAACATTTTTGTATGCCTTACAATATTTCCTTGTTGGTTCAAGAAATAAATGAAAAGTTATTTCAAAAGAATTGAATGGAGGACTAATTGATGAAAACACCCCATGTCCCTGGAAAAGATTGTGGAGGGGAAGACCTGCTGGCTGATTCCGACGAAGTCCGTCTCTCTCGCACTCCTGGGGCGTTTTGTACGGGTGCGAGAGAGACAGACACGAAGCATCCTGCCGCCTCTTGTAATCGCCTCTTGCCGAGCCCCACTTTAATTATGGAGGCTTATTCTATTGCGAGGAAACACCGCGCTGTGCTGGCCGTGCTGCAGCGCGCGCTGAGACTCAGACTGGGGCCCACTAACGGCCAATTGCCGCTAATTGGGCTCATTGCGCGCTCTGTCTCCCTCGCACCGGTAGCGGGGCGCCTCGTGAGTACGAGAGAGGCAGTGCGACGAAAGACGAAAGCAGTGCGAGAGAGACAGGGACTCTCTGAACCAGTCTGCAGACCCGCCCCCAGAACGGCGTTGCGTAGTCAATGACCAGCCGAGAGTCCGGGGTTCGGCCGTGTCCTTTGGCGCCTTTGGCCGTTCACCGCGGCGGGGCTGCTTCACTCCTTCCGCCCCCGAGAGAGATAGAGATAGAGGCCCCACGGAGGTCGTTAGCACTCGGACCCCACGCCGCCCCGCTACGCACTGCTGCAGGCTGGCTCCACACAGTGCTTCTTCGCTCTCTCTGTCTCTCTCGCGCTCGGCGCTCGCCTGGCGCCCTTCCCGGGGCGAGAGAGACGACCAAGCACTGTTCGGAGTGTGCTGGACCAGGCCGCGTCCGTCGGCCTCCACTTGTCCAGACTGGAGACTGATTCCGAGAGTCGTTCTGTCTCTCTCGCACCTACACGGGACGCCCCGTGAGTGCGAGAGAGACAGAGCGACGGAAAGCACTCTCGGAGTCGGCCTGCTGGAGGGACTGGACGGAGGACGCGCCACCGTAATTCCATTATCGAGCGCTACTCTGTCACATTATCCCGCGGTGCCGGAGTCCGTGCCGACCGGGCCGGCCAGTGGATAGGCAGCCGCAGGGCCATCGCTCTGTCTCCGTTCCTCTCCCGGAGTCCCGGAGATTTGTGGCCGGGAAATCCCCGCGTCACCGCGACTTGACTTGAAGAGGGAAGAGAAGGAACCGCCCGGAGGGTAGGCAGCCCAGCCCGCGCGCGGATGGGCCGCTTCGCCTAGGGGCAGCACAAGGCCGAAGCACGCCGTGCAGGCCGTGCAGGGGGCGCGCTAAAATTGCCAATTGGCGTAATCGAACGAAAGGAGCCAGTTATTGATGCTCTCCCCGTCCCGCCGACGGGAGGGGAGGGGAGGCAAGTGCCGCTCCTCCACGCGGCAGGGCCGGCAGCCGACACACTTACACACTTACACTCGCGTCGCTGCGCTTTTGCGGACCGTTTTCTTCGCCATGAACACGTCGCGAGGGAGGGAGCGCCAGAACAAGGAGCGCAGGCAAGCTGCAGGCTGACCTCGGTACCTCGGTACGTACACACTGTGGGGAGGACTGTGTCGTGTCATGCATGCATCGCGTCGCGTCGCCCGAAGCTTCGACGAAGCCACCCCGCCCCAGCGCGCCCCACCGCGCCCCGGCCTCGGCCCACACCGCTCGGATGAATGTTTGATGTCGCGGGGCGGGGCGGGGCGGGCCCGCCTTGCCCGCACACCGTACAGGCCGTGCCGTCCAGTGATTCCAGCGGCCGCAATGAGGGCCTGCACGGCCTGCACGAGCTCCAGGATGATGTCAGCGGCGGCGCCGGAGTTGAACGTATCGTCCCCAAGTGGAGCAACAAACTGGCGCAGCCCATTTACCGGGCCGGAGCGGCACGCCTGTGCGGCCTGGGCACGCCGGTACGGCCCCCAAGTGTGCTGCTAGCTGTGCCGGCTCCCCGTGATCACCTCGCCCGCGCCCGCCTGCGAGAGCGAGAGAGCGAGATGGAGCGACTCAATTACCTAATTGATAGACGCACCGCGCCCCTCGCCGCCGTGCACGGCGTCGCGGCTGTCGGCGGCAACACACGTCGAGAATTAACCTCAGCTTGTCGTCCTGGAGGAGGAGCCACGCCGCGCTGGCCGCGCTCGCGGGGCACGGCGTCCCAGTCATCGTTTTGCTGGGTATGCACACTGATTCCGAGAGTCGTTCTCGTCGTTCTGCCTCTCTCGCACCTGCGCGGGGCGCCCACGAGTGCGAGAGAGACAGAGCGACGTCAGTGTGCCGGCCGGATAAATCACGGCTCTAATTACGCGGTGTCGTCCCCGTCGCACCGCTGCGGTGGCTGGCTGGGGCTGCTCGGGGCCTCGGCGTCGACCGGGGCGCAGGCACACCGACGCAAAAACACGGTGAAGAACGTGTGCGGCTTCGCGGCTTGGTGGGGGCGTGGGGGCGTGGGGGGCGTGGGGGGCTGGGGCGGCGAGAAAGTTGTGGACGGGCGACGCGGGCCGCGGGCGTGGTTTGCAGCGGTTTGCAGGTGGGCCGCCGCCTTGCCGCGCTGCTTGTGGATTAAGCGGCGCGTTGTTTGGCGCGGCGGAGGCTCGTCTTGCAGCGTCGTGCCTTTCCCTCGTTTTTTACCACTTTTCCTCTTTTCTCCCGCAAGAAGCATCGCCTCTCTCTCTCCCTCTCTCCCCTCCCCCTGGGGGCCCCCGCGTCCCCGGCACGGATCAGCCCCTCTCGGCGGGCGGGGCGGGGCGAGGGGCAAACAGATTTACGGCGGGAACAACACCCGACTTAATACGTAATGTTCATGAGGCAGAGGAACGTGCAGCGCAACAAACTGTCCAAACAGCGCTACGGCGGCGCCGCTACCACGCCGCTCCATCCCCGATGTGTTTCCCGCCGAGCCGAGCGCCGCGCTGGCCGGATGGGATGGATTGAGCGATTCTCTTCTCCTCCATGCTCCCCGTCTTGGAGGCCTTCTTCGAGTTCCAGGCCGTGTCCAGGGCCTCCCAGCAGACTGATTCCGAGAGGCGTTTCCGTCGCTCTGTCTCTCTCGCACTCACGCGGCGTCCGGTGTAGCTGCGAGAGAGACAGAGCGACGGAAACGACTCTCGGAATCACAGTGTGCAGGACGGCCGCCTCGGCGGGATTGTCTGCAGCATCAGGGCCGAGGCAGGACAGCAGGGCTACCAACTTACCGCACCAATCTGCCTTAATTCTTAATTTGGAAGTCGTTACCCAGAAGCATTAGCAGGCGGCGCCGAGTTTTCAAGGAGGAAAAAAATGATATAAATGAGCGCGCCGCGGAGGCGTGGGTTCCTCAACGCTCCGTCCTCGGCGGCCATGGCAGGGCTCGGACGGTAACGCGGAAGCAGTGTGCTCTGCCCTGCAGACAGACGACGTGAAGGTGTAGCGGAGGTCGTCGATGACTGAGCGAGGCCGCCACTGCGCTGGAGGAGGCTAGGAGCACTTTCACGCAGCCAGTCACACACACACACACAAACGTGCCTGCCGCATCAGGGCCGTCCAGGGGCCGGAGTGCCGGAGCCCGCACCAGATTCTATTAGGTCAAAAAACATTGCCCCCTCCCCCTTTTCCGCCGGTCGGATTTGCCCGATTTTAACGGCACTTTAATTCAATCTTAGATAATCCAAAATTCATGACGGCCATAATACTGTCTCGCGTCTCGGGCCGATGATATATTGGGGCGGCCGCAGATTGCACGGGACGGCGCGGCCTGGCCAGGCAGGCCAGGCTCGGCGCGCATCGCCACGGCCCGGTCGGACAGCCGGCCAGGCTGGGGCCGTGCTTGCCGTGCCCTGCCGCGGGGCCGTGTGGGCCGGGCCGCCGGGCAGGGCTTGCTGGGGGTGACGCTGGCCCCGCCCTCTATACCCCCTCCGCCATCACCACCATCACCATCACCCGGGAAGCCGCAGCAGGCAGCCTTTAATTGGCGGGGATAATCAATTTGCCTTGCGCCCGGCTGTGCCTCGGATCGTCCTCCAAGGACCCACACTGCCACACACGCACACACACATGCGCGCACACACATACACACACACACACCACACACACACACTGGCGCGCACTCCTTACCTGTCCGATCCACTGCGGCTCCTCGCCGGCCAAGTTGTTGCTGGAAGTGACGTGCCCCGATGGGGCCCCCGATGGGGCGTGACGGCTTCGATAACCGCGTGCGGGCATCGCGATCCTGGACGGCCGGAGCGTCATCGTTTCTGACAGCAGGACCGCCAGGACCCACTGACCCTGTAACCCTGAATCCCTCGGCGGGCCGCCGGACGACCGGACTGGGCAGCACTGCACAGTGGGCCGGAACCCCGGTGGAGGCGGTCAAAATCCCGGACGCGTTTCGAGCTCCAGAGTCGCGCGCGCCTGCGGCCGCCGGGGTAGGCAACCCGATGGCAGCCCTGCGCCGCGGGCAAGCCTACCCGGCCGTTCACAGGCGCGCTGCTCGCCGCGGGAGGTTGGCGGCAGCCATGCAGCGTGGCAAACGGCCCCCTGTCTGGTCCGCCCTAGCCCCCTCCCCCCGTCCTCCCCGGCTGCCCCACACCCCGCGCCCCGCACAGCGTGCTGACTTATGTGTGGTCCTGTTGACTCGGCAATTCGATTCCGGACTCGTGGATGCGGGCAACGCAACGCAACGGGACCGATGGCAACGGCAACGGGCCGCCGCGATGGCCCGACATATTTCCCCCTACTCGTCCTGCTGGCCCTGCCGCCCCTGCTGCCCCCCGCCGCGAGGCCGGCGCGTCCTGTTGCGGCCTGCAGGCCGATTCCGAGCCGTGGTTTCGTCGCTGTCTCGCTCGCTCGCGCGGAGCACGCAGCGGTCCGTGAGTGCGAGAGAGACGGAGGCGCCGCTCGGACTCGGTCTGCGGGGTGTCGCTATCAGTCAGCCCCGCGCCGGGGCCGGCCATCCGGCCATCCGACCATCCACATCCACATCGGCCCCGTTTGTCCGCTGTCCACTTTGCGTCGCCGTCGCTGCATAACACGCGGGGCGTCGAAGGGAGCGCCGAGGACGTCGAGGATGCCGACGACGACGAGCGGCGGACTGCTGATTCCGAGAGTCGCTTTCGTCGCTCTGTCTCTCTCGCGCCGACACGGGACGCCCCGTGAGTGCGAGAGAGACGGAGAGCGACTCTCGGAATGAGTCCGGTCCGCAGGCGGGCGGTGATGACCGCGCCGCGAGTCGTCAAGTCGTCATGGCAAATGGAGCGGAAGGCGGCAACGCGCGGCTCGTTTGGCGCGGCGCGGCGACGTCAGTGGCGCCAAAAAGGAGATCCAGTTTCGATCAGAGACATGAATTTAAAATGAAGAGTCTTGTCCAAGTTTTGTAACACTCCCCTGGAAGGTGATCGCCTTGTCATCGAACTGGCATCGTCGTGGGGTTTGCTGCCGTGCTTGCGCGCGTCGCTTGAGACGCATTCCCAATGTATTCTGGCGCGTCGCCGTGGGCCGTCCCCTGTCTGCGCCGCGGGGGTCCCCGTCGGCCCCTCGGCCTCCTGTCCAATCCGACTATTGGTGCGGACGGCTCTGTCCCCGCTCGGCTCCGATGTCGCTTTTGGCGCCGACGTGAACGTGGACGCGGCCTTGGCGGCGATCTCGCAGTCCGTCCGCGCGCTGCCCGCTGTTGGCCCGCCGTTGACCTGCCGCCTGCCGCGCTGGAGCTGTCCAAGCCAGGGCCAAGCTGCCCCCATCCGTCACCTGTCGCTGCCCCTCTGGAGACCCCGGAGACGGTGAGGCGGTGCCGGGGAAGGCGGGAGCGGCGCGCGGTGGGCAGCGGAGGCGGAAAAGAAGCGCGACCGAATTAATGTAATCACCACCCCTTTCCTGGAGGACACGGACACGACGCTGGTGGGGACTGTCTATCCGGAGTTGGCGTCCAGACAGAGTCGGGGCCGCCGGTGTGATTAAACCGGGCTGGTCTCGTTTTGCCAGGTTCACGACCAGGATGTCCTGAGGCCGGACCGGGCGGCGGCGCGGTGGCGGCAACACCCTCGCGACCCTCGCGGCAAATCGAGTTACGTCGCCGGCGATATCGCCTCAACTTTGTCGAGGCCAGGGGGAGGGTACGCCGTTTGATGGCACTGTCACACGCAGATTAATTTCGTGAAAGAATTCGAGTGAGGACCGGTGGAGGTCGCCAAAAGTCTTGACGCGTTTTGAGCTCTAGAGTCGCTGAATGGGACTCGAACCGAACGTGTGGCCCCTCTAATCGATTCCTCTTTCGAAGAGCAATCCATTGGTGGTCACACGTTCGGTTCGAGTCCTCTTTAGCAACTCCGGAGCTCAAAACGCGTTTGGAATTTTGGCCGCCTCCACCGGTCTTCTGGCCCACTGTGCGTGTGGGCCGCCGCCGCCGTCCGGACTCATTTTTCACAGACGAAGCGGTGATTTTCTTCGCATCTTTGCGGCCGGAATCGCGGCGAGGCTCGGACCATTATTCATCTCCATTAAAACGGAGCGAGTGCGGCCGCGAAAATGATGCCAGAATGATGACCCGCAAAGCGTAAGTAAATCGCGGCCAACTACGCGACGGCGCGGAGCGCGGCGCACAGCCAGTCGTTAATTTCAATGAAGGGAGAAGGGGAGTTGGCAGCTCTGGAAGTTTGTGCGGTAGTTTGCCCCGGCAAAGATGGCGGCGGTTGGCACCACTGTCGGACTTAAAACGCGCCGTAAATAAAGGCCGGGATTGACCGCACCACTGTGAAAAGAAGGAAGGAAACCATTTGTTTTTCTGTACATGTCTTCTCGAGGTGAAGGAAAAAATGGCGAACAACAGTACAGCCTTTTTTATTTCCTTTCTTTATAAATTCCATTCGGTGAACAAGAATCTCATTATTCCAATCTGGTTGAATGAAAGAAAATTATTGCATAAAATTATTATTTCTGTTTTTCGGCAGTAGTGTTCGTATTGGAAGAATGACAGGGATAACGTAACAGGCGCTTTTATTATAACAAACAATTTGAATACTTTACTAAAACAGCAACGAAACAGAGAAGCCTATGTACAGTGGCGCGGCACGGCAGGTGCGTGTCGCGCTGCCTTCACGGTGTGCAGGCCTCGGCCGGCCTCACACTGCCTTCTCGCGGCCCAGCCCCAGCGCCTCGGCGTGCTTCTTGGCCTTGAGGCGGAGGTCGGCGATGCTGGAGTTCTTGGACTGCAGCCGGTCCTGGTGCACGGCGGCGAGCGCGGCGAGGCCGTTGGCGAGGCCCAGCGGGTACTGGTAGAGGCCGCCGGGGGCCGAGCCCAGCGCGGCGGCCGCGGCGGCGTACTGCAAGACAACCACAATTAGTTGGGAAATACAGCAAGTACAGTGTGGGGGGTGTTCGGACTCCGTCCTCGCCAGCCGGTTCGACCACAACAACGACCGTTACCTGGTGGGCCAGCAGCGCCGGGTCGAAGGCGGAGAAGGGCGGGAAGCTGAGCCTCTCGTAGGCCGCCGTGGCCGCGGACGCCGCCGAGGCCGCCGCCGCCGCAGCCGCCGCGGACGCCGAGGCCGCGCTGGGGCCCTGCAGGCGGAGGCTGGGCAAGCTCGGCAAGCTCGGCAAGCTCGGCAAGCTGGGCAGGCTGACGAAGGGCGTCACCCTGCACGGCTCCAGCGGCGTGGACACGGCCGTGCTGTGCGGCGGCGTCGAGTGCTGGTGGCTGGACGTGCCCAGCATCATGCCGGCCGCGGACAGCGCCCCTGCCAACGGAACACAGCGTCAGAGCACGTCGGACGACGACGGAGCAGCAAAGAGCCAAGAAATAGTGGGTCCTAGCAAAGTCCCAATGTTGGCGTCTCGGGGCCGCATTCTCTCCAGCCACCGCGCAGACACACCTCGCCAAGTACGGAGACCTGGTGGATTTTCCGTCTAATTAAAGACGACGTGGTGGTGTGGCGGCGGCGCGGAGGAGGAAGAGAGCCAACAACAGATGTACGTGTGTGCCAGCCCTGCCGGCCGTGCCAGCAAGACGGTGTGGGCGTGCGCCGGGCGTGCGCCGGGACGCACCCTTTGGCCCTTCGGCTTAGCCTCCCCTCCGCCCCGCCCCGCCCCGCCCCGCCCCGCCCGGCCGTGATTCGGCTTCAACACAGCCTCACTTAATTCGATTACACTTGACTTAATCAAACAAATGGACAATAGAAACTCGGCGATCACACCAGCCGCTATACTGCTGGCGCCACCGCGCCCCTCTCTCTCTTTTACGCCCCGGTGTTGCCTCTTATTTTTTGTTTCGTTTTCGTCCATTATCTCTCACTCTCTTTCTCTTCCTCCCTCTCCACGGCTACGGCAGTGCCCGCTGTTTCGCAGGCAGAGGATGGACTCGACTCTATAAAACACTCCTCCCCGCGCCGCCGCCGCCAGCAGGCCAGACCGACAACTGTCCACGTCCATGCTAAGCAAAGCGCAAATAACGCCTCCCCTCCCCCCTCCCCCGTTCCTCCACCAGCATGAAATCCTCCGGATAATCAGTAATGTCGCACTGCGCGCGTTATTTATCTTTGATTGTAATCCTCCGGGTTCATGAATAATCCAGTTTTATTGCGTGGCGCAATGAAATTCTCGTCGGCGTGGACGAGCATGCGCACGCGGGTGATGAGAGGGAGGAGGAGGAGGGGAGGAGGGGGAGACGCGGCAGGGGGAGGGGCGGGAAGGAAAACCGCGAACTGCGCGCGCCACTGCCGGGATTCGAACCCGGAGACCGGAGGGCTCGGCGCGCTAAAACGCGACATACGGAAGGAAATGTACACGTCACGTTCGGGCGCCTCGCCGGGCCGCTCGGGGAGGGGGAGGGGGGTGCAGGCGGATTCCGAAAGGGGCGAGGCTGTCTCTCTCGCTCTCACGCGGGACGCCCTGGGAGAGCGAGAGAGAGAGAGAGAGAGAGAGAGAGAGAGCACTTCCTCCCTCCCCTCCCGGCCGCGGCTGCCGCGACGGGCCGGGGAAACAAGTTGTTGGATTACTCCCCAGAGGTTTGTCGCCTCCGACGGGCCGTCGCGGCGAGGCGCCGTGAGAGGATAGGGACGCACTGCCACTGCACTGCCCTGCCACTGCACTGCCCTCCTCGCAAAGAACGGCGGGAAAAAGGAAAAACTCGCCGCGGACAAATGAGTGGAAGGGAGCGGGAAAGTAGGGGAACGGCGAAATTAAACATGGATCCGGGAAGAGAAATTGAAAACGAGAAAAAATTACCTAACCGATGTCGGTGCAGCGAAGGTCGGAGTTACTTGAACCAAGGTTTTTCTATATTGCTAGCGCCTTTCATAGGCAAAACACGTCATCGTAGTTTGAATTTTTCAGTGTGTACACCGACAGTCCGGGCGACTCACCTTTGTGCATCTGGCTCTCGTGCTTGCGGCACTTGGCGCGCCGGTTCTGGAACCACACCTGCAAAACAAGGCTCACTTAGTGCAATGGGCCGGGCCAATTTATTTCCATCAGGAGGCTCTTAGCCGCTCTTAGCGCCCGCCCCGCCCGCCCCCAGGGGCGTGCCAGCAGGCAGGCGGGGTGGGCCGCCAGCCGCCCCCCCCACCCCGCCCTCGCCCCGCCCTGGTCCCGCCCCCGGCCCTGGCGGCGGGACGGCCCACCAGGCCGAGGTGAGGGTGCTAAGGGGGTAAGTGTTGCCGAGGATTACCCCATCGCATTCTACCAATCGACCGTTGAAGCGGATCGCCCCTCCGGCCCTCCTCATTCCTCCACCCCCCCTTCCCCCTCCCCCTAGGAAGCCGGCGGGAAATAATGAGCCGCTCGGGGCCCATCTGTCTGGACCCTTACGTTGGCGCAACCTATGACCGCAATGTCCGAGAGTACGTCACGGATTCGCCATCTGCCATCCGCCAAGGCCGAGCGAGGGGGGGCGCGATCGAGCCGAACGTGCGCGCTCACCGCGTCGGAAGCGGTGAGCGGTAGCGGTGGCGTGTTTGGTATCGAGCTCGCTAATGGGACGTCGAATGTTGGTTCAAATCTCGACCAGTTCTTGTTTTTTTGTTTCAGAATGTGTTGCAAAAAATAAAAACGCATCAACGAGGCCCTACTACTACTGCCAAGGGCAGCTGCCCGCTACTCGCTGGAGTCTCGCTGGAGTCCCAGGCCGCTGGAATTGGCCGCGAGCAAGCTTGTGCTGATGAAATGCAGATGGGCACTCGGGTCTGGAAAGTCGTTAAACATACAAAGTGCGCGGCCAGCCCGGCCTGGGGGCCAAGGGGGGAGGGGAAGGGGTTGACAAGGCAGGGGGAGGGGAGGGGTCGCTGACGTAAGCCTCAATCACTTAATTCAATCGCTCGACTTGGCCGGGCATCCGAGGGCGGCCTTTAAATTATCTCACCGCGTCGCGGCTCGTCTCGTGGGGCCGGGGGGCGGGCCGGGGGCGGGCTGGGGCTCCGCGGGGGAGGTTTACGGTGTACGCCCTGGCGGCCTGACGGACTCCGGCGAGGCACGCCGCGAATGCCAATGGACTTTAAAAGCGGCTCCTTTTGAAGCTGATAGATTGGCCCCGCCAAGGACGCGGAGTGGGGGGCGGGGGAGGGGCGAGCACTGCTTGAGTTATACGCCCTGTCCTCGAGTTCCCAGCAAGTTGACCCGCAGGCTGACTCCGAAGAGTGTTTTCGTCGCTCTGTCTCTCTCGCACTCACGCGGCGGCCGGTGTGGGTGCGAGAGAGACAGCGACGTGGCCCGCGGTCCGTAATCGCTTTCACATTTCACTGGCGTGCCCCGAAGGTGCGACGACCTAAGCATGCCGTCGGTCCGTCGGTGCCACCTACCTGCACCCTGGCCTCGCTCAGCCCCAGCCGCTGGCTCAGCTCCTCGCGCATGAAGGCGTCCGGGTAGTGCGTCTCGTCGAACAGCCGCTCCAACTCGTTGAGCTGCTCGAGCGTGAAGTTGGTGCGGCTGCGGCGCTGCTTGCTGCCGTGCTGCTGCAGGCCGTCCCTGGCCTCCCGGGGGCCGGGCGACGCGGCCTGGTGCCGCTGCTGGTGGTGCGAGTGCGTCGCGGAGGACGTCGTCGAGGACGTCGTCGACGTGGACGTCGCCTTGGCGGGCCGGTCGGCGGGGCGCGCCGGTGGCGCGGCGTCCGACGTCGGCGAGCCCGGCTTCACGTCCTTGGCGTCTGCAACACAAGGGCAAGGCGTCAGTACTCCGCGCTGCAGGGACGCCTCGCGGTGCCGGCGTCCAAAGTCCCCGAGGCGCGGGGCATCGACGGCGAGTAGTACCGTTATTCGTCCCGGTGGCGTTGATCGAATGCTTGCGGCCCTCGGCACCACCGCGTCCAGAGGAGCTGGAGTCCTTCGCCCTGTCTCTCTCCCACTCCCACGGACCGCTCCTTGGCGTGATGAAGTGCGAGGGAGACGGAGCGACGAAAGCACCGTTCGGACTCGGCGGCCCGCTGGACCTTCCTCGGGCCTGAGACATGGCGGCCATAATTCGGCGCCAACTGTCCAGAAACACTTAGCGCCGGCCGAGGGGAAAGGGGGGGGCAGTTCGAACAACTTCGCGACGACTTCACGCTGAGGGGCGACGCCGAACCGGTCGAACACGGTCGCGGCGGCAGCGCGGAAAAGCAATGCAAAAAGGTCAACACCTGTTTTTTTTTTCTTTTTCATTTTTAAACCTTTAAATATCCATCCTACCTACATGAACGTTCAAAATTAGTTTGCATGATTACCTTTCTTTTTTTTCCCTCGCGGACAAAGGCGTGTGCACAGTGCCACAACGTACCACACAGTGTGTGTGCATGCCGGCCGTTGTCCCAATGGCCTCTGCAATCTCGCCGGGCAATTCGCGCGCAATCGCGGGCGCGACAAAGTGTTCCATTAGCCGCCCTCTGGTGCGCGTGAGTGAGAGAGAGAGAAAGAGAGTGTGAGTGTTTGTGTGTGTGCGCGCGCAAAGAGCTCTCCAAAACTATGCTCTAATGGTGACAAATCGGCGGGGTTCGCGACGACGAAGTCTCCTCTCGGAAGCGGCCAACTAGTGCAGGCGGGAGAAAAATATTGATATATAGATAGGAGACACGAACGTCAGAACAAATACCAAGAGCAAAATCGATGCTGATCTTTCTTCTGCGCTGGTGTTGTTGGTTTTTGTTTTTTTTGCAGGCTAATTCTGATTGATCTTGTGCGAGCGCGGGGGGCGATGGGGACCCCGAGCGCCGCGCTGGGTAGGCAGTCCGCCGACAGCCAGGGCTGCGTGGCGGCTCGGCCTACCCGGCAGGCGGCGTGCCCCTCACGAAGGCAGGGTAGGCCGGCCGCCACGCAGCCCTGGCGGCGGCCTGCCTACGGCACGGGGGCTTCGAGGGCGCAGCGGGCCGCGAACCAGAGAGACAGAGAGGAAAAAGCGGCTGTGTGGAATCAGCGGCAGTCGGTGGCAGCAGCGCCCCCGCATTGATTCCAGTGTGTTTGTTTGTGTTGAGTTGTTGCCAAATCAGGGCGAGCCAGCCTCAGCCAGCCTATCAGAATGAAACGTGACGCGGCGTGGCGTGGTGGTGCGCGGGGCGGTGCGTTGCCCAGCCTGCGCCCCTCTCCGCTTGACCTGGCCGGGCCAGCAGAGTGATTCCGAACAGTGCTTTCGTCGGTCTGTCTCTCTCGCACCCTGACGGAGCGGCCCATGAGTGCGACAGAGAGAGAGAGAGAGCGACCTCCCACTCTGAATCAGTCCGCTGGCGCCCTTCCCGTGTTCCAGCAGCAGCAGCAGCAGCGCGAGGGTGGGCGGTAATCAAATTGCTGCGGTTTATTTTTTATTTATTTGATTCGATTTGCCCGGATGCGCGCGTATTCGCTCGGTACGTGTGTCCGCCACCCTTCCCCTCCCCTCCCCCTCCCCCTTCCCCCGCTCGGCCGTCCTTGGATTGCCTCGGTCCTGCCTCCCCTCCCCCCGTCCCTCTTCCCTGATTGTCTGCACACACAGCGCGAGCGAGCGCCACTGCCGGGGAAATTGAATTTTATGTGTAATGAAAGTTTGCGGGTGCATTTATGCACCTATAACCTCGGTGACCCCCTCCCCTTCCCCTTCCCCTCCCTTTCCGCGTAAGATAAAATAAAATTATCCAGATGGACGCGTCGTTGGAAAGGGGACGGTGAATCCCCGCAGCACGGCCAAAATGCCAGGGCCACTGACAAGGGCCAGAGCGCCGACGGGGACACACGTCAAGGAGGGCCCGAGGACTGGCACGCCGTGGAGCGAGTACCATTTCGCGGCTTGGATCGGACGCAGTGGCATCCTTCGCCTCCCCCTCCCCCTACCCGCACCGCGCCGCACCGCGACAGGCAGATATTAAAAGGACACACAAGCTAATCAAGGAACTTGTTGAGCGGGTTGCCGCGCGGGGAGTCCTTGGAGGCGAGGCACGCCCTGGGCACACGCCCTGGGCACGCCGTCGGCGAGGTGCGTCCCCAGGGCCTCAAGGCGGAGAAACAAGGAGGCAAACAACCCGCCCCTCCCCTCTGCCTCTCCCCGGGAACGTAATTAATGAAGTGGAGTGCTTTCCTGTAGTGTAGGTGATCCCGACCGAGGCGGCCCTGCCCGGCCCGGCCCGGGGAGTCGGGGCGCCCTGCAGGCCTTGCCGAGGCCCTGCAGGGCGGGCGGATTTAGCGCTAAAGAGGGTGTAAATTTGCTGTCGGCCGGGACGACGGCGCGCCGGGACCGAAAAAGGGGAGTGGAGGGGGGAGGCGCTCCGAGGAGCTCCCCGCGGCAAAGCGGGCGAAGGGGGTGTAGTGGCGGTACCCCACCCCACCGAGCGTCTCTCACGACACCGACGCTCGCGGCCGGAGCGAGGGGTATCGATGGGGTGCGCCCTCGTCGTTTGTGTCCCCGACGCCGATTGGCACACTGCTTCCGAGAAGAGTCGCTCCGTACTCCGTCTCTCTCGCAACCCTTCCTGACCGCCATGCGAGTGCGACGGAGCGAAGAAACGTCTCTGTTCGGAATCACTCGGACTGCCTGCCTTCGCGGAGGACCAAGCAGTACTCGGGACTCGAGCGGGTCATCCTGGGCGAGGGAAAAGCGATACAAGTGGCGGTCGTGAAGCAGGAAGACCAGCAAGGCCGTGAGACGAGGGGTGGGGGAAGCCCGCAGCGGGGCGCACACATACACGCACACGCACACACACACGCACGCACACTACGGTGCAATACGGGGAGTGGCGGGCGTGCAGCGGCGTGGAGCGGCCCCTGGGGAGGTATTAGTACCAACAACAGTCGTATTTAACGTAATGTAATAGAAGAGAGAGGGTGCAGGCAGCCAAGGCAGCCAAGGCAGCGGCGAGACGAGCCCAAGACTCCCCCACCCCTTTGCCCCTTTGCCCCTTTGCCCCAGGCCCAGCTTCACGCCGTCTCGCTCGGCGGGTGCCGTCCAGAGACTGCCCCGGGCCGCCTGGAGAGGCACCCACCCTGTGTAGTTAGGAAAGGTTAGTATTGTCTCCAAGTTGGTCAAAACGGTCACAAATGTCTGTGAAAAATCGTGTTTTGGGCCGACTTTAAGCATCCACTGCGTCTGATCCGAGGCGGTATGGCGCCCTCCCTCAACGGGCAATTGGTCTTTGGACCTTCCTTTTGCATGCCTTTGTTACGGAGTGCGATTATCTGCCTTAGTTTGGGAGCAGTATTGCCGCAAAGTTGATCAAAACGGTCACAAATGTCTGTGAAAAATCGTGTTTTGGGCCGACTTTAAGCATCTACTGCGTCTGATCCGAGGCGGGATTACGTCCTCCCTCAACGGGCATTTGGTCTTTGGACCTTCCTTTTGCATGCCTTTGTTACGGAGTGCGATTATCTGCCTTAGTTTGGGAGCAGTATTGCCACAAAGTTGATCAAAACGGTCACAAATGTCTGTGAAAAATCGTGTTTTGGGCCGACTTTAAGCATCTACTGCGTCTGATCCGAGGCGGGATTACGTCCTCCCTCAACGGGCATTTGGTCTTTGGAACTTCCTTTTGCATGCCTTTGTTACGGAGTGCGATTATCTGCCTTAGTTTGGGAGCAGTATTGCCGCAAAGTTGATCCAAACGGTCACAAATGTCTGAAAAATCGTGTTTTGATCAACTTTGCGGCAATACTGCTCCCAAACTAAGGCAGATAATCGCTTTCCGTAACAAAGGCATGCAAAAGGAAGGTCCAAAGACCAAATGCCCGTTGAGGGAGGACGTAATCCCGCCTCGGATCAGACGCAGTAGATGCTTAAAGTCGGCCCAAAACACGATTTTTCACAGACATTTGTGACCGTTTTGACCAACTTGGAGACAATACTGCTTCCGAACTAACTCGAACTTAACACCACCTTTCGTCCACCTTTGCCAAACAAACGCGCGTTTACAGGGCAATGGGAACCTCAACGCCCGACGAGTCCAAGCCCACCGGGAGCTGCCAGCATTCTCAACCGAACAAACAACACCAAACATCTCGCTCCATCTTTGCCGATTCGCACCCTCCCCTGCCCCTTGCGCACTTGACTGCTGGCGCCCTAAGCACGCCTCGCTCTTCCCTGGAGGTTCCCTGGGGGCCGGGGCCGGCCGGGCCGGGCCGGGGCGGCGACTCGAGATTCCGATCAGAGTAATAGCCGATGTCACGCCACGAATCGATGGCACTGCATCGCGCTGCAGGCGATACGGGACACTGCCTCCGTATCGCTCTGTCTCTCTCGCACGCACGCGGGCCAAGTCCCGAGGGCCCCAAGGCCCGAAGGGGTGCGAGGGAGACAGCGACAGCCTGCTGCATACACTGCTGCATCGCCTCGCTCAGCCTGTCCGGCCGCGGCTGAATCTTTAAGGCCCGAGGGTTCACACCCCTGCAACCCCTTCCCACTCCCCCCACCCCTTTCCGCGCCGCGCACACGAACCGTAATCTAATAAACAGCGGGAGGGCAACGAGATGTTTGGCACGGCCGCGTAGATCACAATTCGTGTGAAATGTGGCCCATCCGCTCCGAGCCGCCCCGCCGCCCCGCCGCCCTCCGCGGCCCCCTGGATTCTGCATATGTCTGGCCGTGTTATGTGGGCTCGTCTAACTGCCCTCTGGCTCCACCCTCTGCTGGTGGCATAGCGGTGTGTAGCACTATTTCATCCGGCCGACAAGCGGATTCTGCAGGCGCGCCGATTCGCCGTCGAGTTCGAGTTCGAGTTTGCGCGCGTTCCTGTTTTTGTTGCGGGTCGTGCCAGCGTGCCTCGGCGTGCCTACACTCGCGCTTTGTCACTTCACTCTCAGACCTTTACTGATTATTTTTTCTATATTGTACCATGAGTGTGAGAAAGACGTGAGAGTGACGAAAACGACTCTCTAAAGTAGTCTGCAGCTCGAAAACTGGAATGTTTTTCGCCGGTCCCCATAGTGTGCCCGCCGCCCCCGCCCCGCCTTGCACCTGCACTGTGTACTCGCCCCCACCCCGCCCCCCTTTCCTGTTTGTGCTGGAGGGTGGTGGCGCCGAGGCTCCCGCCGCCCCGGCCGCCCCGGCCCGGGATTGCTTGATGGAGCTTTATCCGATTAAACTGATTACTAATCTAATAAAATGATGGTTGGCTGTGTCTAGTTTACACGCCGGGCCGACAGGCCGACAGGCGGCGGCCCGTCTGCGCGTGCACTGTGCACTGTGAGTGCGGTGCGGCACGGCACGGCCGGTTGCAGGGGATGCTGCAGCAACGGTACCTTGGTGGAGGGCGGCAGAGCCGAGGGCAGAGCGCTGCCGGAAAGTGTCGGAAAGATTTTTGTTGTCTAGCTGTCTCACTGATCAAGCTTAGAGAAATCCTCGAGCATCTAAGACAGAATTCTCTACCCGGAAACGACCAGATCTGTACCCGAAAACGGTGAGATAAGATCTTTTGAACAGAACCTCCCGAAGGGCAATCCTTTCACATGCACTGGAAGAAAAAACGAAGTACACGTGCACACGTAGGCTTACCTGCTGGCGAGTCCTCGTGCGCCGACCCGGACGTGCAGGACGACCGCGAGTCCTCGGCGTGCGCCACGACGGGGGACTTGGGCGAGGTGGGCGAGGTGGGCGTCGACGACGGGCTGGCTCGTGGTCCTGGCGGTGGCGGCGGCAGCGCGACGGCCGCCCTGGCGGGGCTGGCGGGGCTGGCCGCGGCGACGGGGCTGGCGGGACTGGCGGGGCTGGCGGGGTCGGGGGAGGACACTGTCACGGGGTCCAGCGGGGACGAGCGGCCCGACGACAGCGACGCGGCCGGGGACGCGGACCGCGAGGGCGACGTCGGCGGCGACGGCATCATGGAGATGCTGGTCATGCTGGTCGGCAGCGTGCTCAGGTCCTCCGGGATGCTGATGGGCTCGCGGATGGCGACGTCCAGGCAGAAGCGGGCCGCCGCCGCCACCGCGGCCGCCGCGCCGCCCGGCTCCTGGAAGCTCTTGGACACGAACTGCGTGAGCTGCTCCATGGCTGGCTTGGTGGCGCCGCGGCGCTGCGCTGGGCGCTACGGGCCGCGCTACGGGCCGCGGGCTCGCCTTGCTGGCGGCACAGCGGTGTCCATGGCGCGCCTCGCGCGGGGAGACTGGGAGCCATGGCCAGCCATGGCGCCTCCGCCCTCCAACGCAACGAGCGCAGCGGCGGCAGCGCGCCCCTCGCAGGCCACGCCCACCCCACCGCAGCGCGGCGCAGCGCGGCGCGCCCCTCCAGCGGCACGGCCAGCACGGCCAGCACGGGGACGGGGCGGCGATGATGAAGACGAGAGTCAATGATGAATGGCGCGGAATGCGAATGGAGTATTAAAACGAAATCAAGGCGGCGTGTCACCGAGAGGGCGGACCTGGCTGTAGAGTGGGGGCCTGGAGGACGGATGTGCAGCGGCTGGAGCATGGAGAACGGGCTGACGTGGGCCTGGAGAACGCAGTCTGGAATCTGGAGGTGCTCCTCACTAGCTCTTAAAAACGGGCTAGTGTCGTCCTCATTCCGAAAAAGTGACTACCCTGGTCGGCCCCTGTCCCTCGGCCCCTCGCTGGCCCACATGGCGGTCGCCCCGATTCCGATGCCCCGACGTTCCGACGTTCCGGTTGTCAGCTCACGCCAGGCTGAGGGATGGCCCCGCCGTCGGCCCTTCTGGCTGGCCGTGGCTGGCGATGGCTGGCGATGGCCATGGCAGCTATGGCTCCCCCGTGCCGACAGCGCCGCGCCGCCGCGCCCTCATCGCGCTCTGTCTCTCTCGCGCCGCAGCGGAACGAGCCTCGGGTGCGAGAGAGACGCGGAGCGACCAGAGCACTACGTCCGGAATCAACCCGCTGGCAGCCCCACACATCATCACCAATCGCCCGCAATCATTTCTGCATCTGTTAAAATAGCAATCGTCACGGCGGCCCGGCCGAGCCCCGCCCCGCCCCGCCCCGGCGCTGGCCGTGATTACAGGCGCCCCCAGGCGGGGTGAGGCGGGGCCGGGCGGGGGCGGCAGGGGGCGGGGCCTGCCACCGCGGAGCGCGCTCATTGGCGGCCGCGGCCGGGGGATGGGCCGGGGGATGGGGTGGGATGGGTGGTGCAATGACGACCGCCGCGCTGGCTTCCCTGCTTCGGGGAGAGAGGCAGCGAGCGCACCCCCGCACCGCACCACCAGGCACCACCAGGCACCACCGCACCCACTCCCTTCCGTTACACCGCACGCCCCCGCCCCGAGCACGCCTAGCACGCCGCCCCACATTGATACCATGATGGAGTGTCTGAAGCCTGTCGAATGAACTTGACGATCCGCTACGGCAGGGCATGGCGTGGCGCGGCGGGGCGCGGCGGGGCGCGGCACCGGGCCCCAGGGAGCCTCCCAGCCTTTCCGCGCACACTTATCTGTATTTGAAAGGCGCCAGGCACGGCTCGGCGCCGCGTCATCTTTGTTCCACTCTCGCGCCGCGATTTATTCACCCATCAAAGGGAAACTGTCGAGTCGAAATGGCCAAATTTATTGTCAGCGCGGACTGGGTGCAAATGGATGGTGGTGATCATCTTTGCAGCTGCGCTGCGAATCCATTTCCGATTGCAGACAGCTGTCCTGTCCTGTCCTAGAGGCGTTAGGACTCTAAGAGTAGCTACGCCAGAGTCCTAAAGCAGAGGACGCTGGCAGTGGCGTGGATTGTGCCGATTGTGCCCGTGCCCCCGTGTGCCCCTCAGGTTGGCGCAGGTTCGCGCGCGCCCTCTGCAGGGACGAGGACGAACCTCTCCGTCATTGTTGTCGTACGTGGCACTGCCTTTCTGCCCCTTTCTGCCGCTGCCGCCGTCAGACTGCGTGAGACTGCGTGAGACTGCGTGAGACGCAGTGCGAAGTCAGCAGTCAGGTTGTGCGCCCTGGTCTCGGCCTTTCCTGCTGCTCGGCTCAGTTTCGTCGTATGAGGTGATGAAGCTACCCCGCACGCCGAGGTATGGCATCTGCATTGCCCGTTGTCAAACGCAACCCGCAGCGCGAACCAAGCGAGCCCATGGAGGCAGAGACAGGAAGCGACCCCACCCCTCTAGCGGCGCTTCCGGCGTGTCCGCAAAATGAAGGGGAAATGAGGTGTGAGCATGTTTGCCCGAGCAATTAAGAGGCTCTGCTCGTCTGCCTCCTCCCCGGGTGGCGTCCGAACGGTCCGACCTCCGACGAGGGACGCTCTCGTCTCGTCGCGAGTCGCGAGGCACGAGGCTCGCGGGGAGCAGTACACTAACTCCGAGGGTCGTTTTCGCCGCCCTGTCTCTCTCGCACTCATGGGTGCCCCGTATACGATGCGAGAGAGACAGAGACGAAAACGACTCTCGGAATCAGTCTGAGGCTGCGCAGACGGGAGCGCCCAGCCAACTCCCGAACGCGCCCCTCGCCACCCTCCCCCTCCCCCTCTGCTCCTCCCCCTTCCCCTTCTCTGGGGGTCCTGGTTCCCAATTACGTGCAAATTACATCATTTCCAGTTAGTTTAACTGCGAGCCGCTTGGCGCGCTGCTGCGGCGGGCGAACTGCTGTTTTTTCTTTTCTTCTTTCTTCTCTTTATTTTTTGCTTTGCCATTTTTCCCTGTACAGCCTTTGAACTTGAACGACTCCTGCGTAACTTTTTATGCGACGTCACACAAATGATACAACATTTACTGCTTACAAAGTCTGGTCGAAGCACACAGTGCACGTTTTTGCCAGACGATTGTAAGAACAATTTACTCTCAGTTCCGAAGGGATATCTTTTCTTATTCCCTCTTTTCTGTTACACATTTGTTGGATTTGAACTTCTTAACGTTTGGTATTTATTCAGATTTGAAATTAATTGGCGCGAAAATGTGATGCGTTGGCAAGAGCGCAACCAACTAAACAAACAAAATAGCTTGAAGTTTTCAATCGAGCTTTTCACTTCCCTCTGTTTTTGAATGAATAAATAAATTTGATTTAAAATAATTTTATTTCAGTTCACTTGAGCAAGTCACAATAACTTTTCCCTTTCACGGTTGAAGATCATCGGATGCTTGACAGTGGGCAGTTCTGAGTCTTCGGTTCGCGCTGTTGCCATATTGGAGCTCGTGTTTTGGCGCGAGCCGTCTGCTCCGCATTCGCGCCAAGTGCTTTGGGATAGCATAGTTCAGCCCTTTGTCCTTGTGGCACCAGATATTCGTGAAGATATAGTTTTGCTATAGTAGTGTTCATGGGGTTTCCTTCCTATTCCATCGCCTTAGCTCTTGCGAACTCGGCCCAAATCGTGGCACTTGTGTTCAAGTAATAACTGAAATTGGAGGGTGGGGAGCCGACTTCGCGTCGTGAGTTTGGCCTTTGAAGCGTTCGGTCTTGTGCCGTTGTGAGAAGCGATAGATATTCACGATGGGTGTTTCGCCTGGAGACCCAGACGAAAATGTGTACGACCGTCACCAAGAGCTTTGCGTTAAGCTCAACATGGATAAGGATACGGCGGATGAGGCTTGGCAAAATTATGAGAGAATCAAGGAAAACTACGTCCTGGAGGTGAGCATCGCCGCGTGTGGTATTTGTTTGCGTTTTTGTTTACAAACCTGGGGACGTTTCGTTTCAAAACCATCCGCGTTATTTTCCTGAGCATTGTTTTAACCGTTTATAATGAATTATTCGTTCCCCTAGTGATCTTATCAGAAGCCGCCCAACCTCCAAATGGCGGGTCTTAACACAACACTTCTCTTCGGTTGTCATTATCTCTGTAACCATAACATTGTTTGCCGCAAATCTTTCTGAAACATCTTCCTCACATAACAATGCGTTAATTATCGGTGTTGTACAGTGACCTGTTCTGGTTGTTGTTGCAGTGTCTTTAAAACTGTGTTACCAGAACTAATTTTTGTCATTGTCTGCTTTATTTATTTTCTCGGAAATTTAGAGGGAAACAATGATAATTTCGGACTTGTTTTGATTAGAGTTTGTTCTTACGAAGCGGTTACCATTTTTACTATTTGTATGCAATATTTTCATGTTCTGAATTTTAAGTGCCAGTTGATGTGGGGTTAATATCACCTTTAAATTTTTGGAAATTCTGAACTGAAGATCCTTTTAAATGTGTACTTACTTTGCTTTGGCCAACCTTCACAGCTTATTCAGTTGCTCTTTTTTCTTGTCCTTCATTTAGTGGCAAGACTATCTCACTCGTATTGTCTGCAAGCTCACACATTTTCTTGGAACGAGATTCACATCACTCAACTGATGGTTATTTTTTTTTTCAGGGCGACCAGATCCATTGGTTAGCATGTGCCCTCTACGTTTCCTGCAGGAAGTCAAGCACTCCAACTGTTGGGAAACCGGGAGAATCAGTTGAGGGTAATTGTGTAAGTCTTACAAGACTTCTTCGACTGAGCAAACTAAGGTATTGCCTATTAAATTAAACAACTTCAAGCTAAACCCTTTAACGGTTTTGTTAATTGAATTGATCCCTTTGTTCTCTCCAGGTTGATACACTTCTTCAATAAGTGCAAAAAATGGGCAGACATGGCTAGTCTCCCAGCAGATTTTCGCGGGAAAATAGATAGTTTGGAGAGAAACTTCGCAGTTTCTCGTGAAATTTTCAAGAAGTTTCAGCCTATTTTCAAGGACCTGTTCCAGGAGACAGCCTCAGAGCACTCCCAATTACCCAAATCTCGGAAACAAAAGTGTGTATTTTCTCATTTTTCAATTGCTTTCACTATCTCTAGTGTTATCCTTGTCTATTTTTTTTTTACATTTTTTTCTTTTGAAGGAACCAGCCTTGCACTCCATCTCGTGTGTTTGAACTGACATGGACCCTGTTTGTCTGCATCAAAGTGGACTATCCAGATGTTAGAGATGATCTTGTGAACTCATATCACATGCTGTTAGCCTGTTGTGATCTCATTTTTGCAAATGCTCTATTAGCTGATAGGCGAGACCTGTTGAACCCTGTTTTTCCTGGTAAGTGTTAAATTTATGGCTCCTTTATACTGTATGTGATCTTTTTTTCATTGAAATGATTCCTCTTTCTAGGACTGCCTAGAGACTTTTCAAGCCCTGATTATGAAATTCCCAAAGAGGCCCCATGCATAATTGACAAGCTGTGCGAAAACCATGACGGCATTCCTCTTGAGGCCAAAGGCATCAAAGCATATTGCTGGAAAAGCCATATCAAAAAACTTTTTGAGCAACGGGTCAGTTCAGTCAAAACATTCATTCTGACAGTGCAACAAGTTTCCATGGAAAAAGAATTTTGTACCAATTGTGTTTTTACTTACTTACAGGTTTTGAAAGGCAATGCTGAAACTTACAGTGGTCTTCTTGATGTCAACAATTTTGAAGCCAACCTGAAGGCTATCAATAAGCAATATGAAGAGCATGTTTTGAATGTTGGAGACTTCGATGAGAGAATATTTTTAGGTGAGTTGTTATGGCTACTGTCCTCATGTCCTTATTTTGGCTAAGCTTGTTTCTGCCGATTAACTACACCTGTGGCTATGCCTGCTCTCTCCAGGACAAGCCTCTTACTTAAGCTAATAACTGTTCATTGTAATATCTCAATTTTTAAATTCAGTTTGGTTGCATTTTATTTTGTATTCTATTCTGTAGCATGATAAATAACTTGTTTTTCACATCAATTTTTTTATGCATGCTAATTTGGACTTTTGGATCCATTTGAACCTTGACTGGCCCTTGGCAATTTTGTTTTTTTAGACCATATGTATTGCAACTGTTTTCCTGATACAACATTTTTCAATAGTTCCTCTGCACTACCCATAGAAAAATCTGACTTTAGTGTAAACCATTAACATTATCACACTTGGGGTTTTGATCTTCCTAAGAAGTTAATACTATGTAGTTCCAATATGTTATATCTATACTCAACGGCTTTTGTTTTCTTTTTGTAGATTTTTTTGGCGCAGATAATTTGTCAAATGCTTTCTTTGTCAAGACAAATGCTGTTTTTACCCTGTTACGTCACATTATAGACACTAGGAATGCTATGTCGCAAACTTTTCTTATTTCATAAAATTTGGGTTGCTTTTTGTAGCTGAAATTAAACGTTTGCGAGCGTGGCTGAAAAGAAGTCAAGGTTTCACTACCCCATCCAGATCTGTCCTCAGGGCTCTCAATGTAGAAGGTGAGATTCCTCGCCTGCACCGCATACAGCGTACACAGCTGTTTGCTACTGCTGATGTACCTGTTCCGTGTTATTCTTTGTACTGTCTATTCTTTTGCTTGTGGGGGTTAAGCTGCTGAGACCTGAAAATCAGTTTCTAATTCCTACATTTGGTAGGCTGCAGCATATGTGTTTGATGGTTCTCCTGTTAGTTTTTGCTTCAGAAAAGTTTTGGACATCTACTGCAATGTTATCAGGCTGTCTTACTTTATTGTTCGCTTCATTTGAAAATTTCGACTCAAAGAAATATATGTTTATTGTTGTTGTTTCTTCGTATACTTCTCATTGCAGTTTTAATTCTTCATCAGGGGTCCATAACTCAACTTACCTCAACACAAACGTTACGTAAAAGATGTAATAAAAGAATGTAAAGATATGCATTGTTCAGGTTCATTTTTTTGAATATTTTGGAAAAAGCTTAATTGTCTGATAATATTTTTGGATTTACAAGTTAAAGGGTTCCTTTGTGTTAAGTTAAGGATCCCTGATCTTCACAATCAGAGTTCAATTCGTTAAGGAGATCTTTTCTTTGTCCTGAAGTATCTATTCCAGTAGCTAGTTGGGAAAATGCACTGCATGTTATTGGTCTTTTATTGTTTTTTTAACCTTATTTTCTTGTTTAGTCTGCACAGCCACTTTAAAAAAAAGTATCAAAAGCTTATTTTTTGTGGCATTTATCTTTTTTAAGGGGCGAAAGGGAATATGTGAAATGGATTAATTTTGTCCTATTCCCATGGTGGCTACTTAGTTCTCTTTCTCTCTTTAAATGTCATTGTTATAGTGAGCTCCAGTTCCCAATATGTATTATCTGGTATCAGGAGCTAAGAGTCAAACTCAAACTTGTTCATCTTTTGGTACATTAGAGTTCACCTGTGAATCATTACTATGTTTCTTTAGTTGTATTGTTTTCACCCCCTCATTTCCTGTCTAAGTTTTACCTAGTGCAGGGAGTCAAGCAATTCTATGAGGCAGTGATTCATGTACACAAAGCATCATGGAATTATGGTTTCATAAGAAACAAGTTGCATATGTGTGCTGCAGTATTTTTGCATGAAATACGGTAGTGACTTGCAAATATGGAAATGGGTTGTATTCTGTTCCTGTAATATTCTTGTCTCGGAATGGCTCATGTTACCCAGTGTTATTTAGTCCCCAGAATGATTTAGCATGACACGTGACATACGATCACAATCATATTCTAACTTATTGCCTTCAACAATTTTGCAGGCGATGCTGATCAGGATATTGGGACATCTAGCCATGCTGTTGGTGATTTATCTGAAAAAATGCAAGCAAAACGTCTTCGACAAACTCCTAACATGACTGTTGTAAGTCTTTTCAAAATTCCATAATTAGAAAGAATTCTGGTTCCATTTCCATCACAGTTTTGTTCTGTTTTGTTAACAAGGGTAATCAGCTGCTGGTCTCAACACCATTGACGAACCGAAGATACCTTAGGGGATTTGATGGTGGCAGCGAAGTGACCCCTTTGTTGACTGCTACCCAAAGTGTCAACAGGCTGCAGTCAATACTGGCTGGACGATCTGCTGCTCCCAGCGAAACTTTGTTAGAAATTTTCCAGTAAGTTCCTTTAGTCATTACAATTTTCTTGATTAGTATCTTTCTATTAGATTTTTAATTATTGATATTCTTCACTGACCCATGTTTTATTTTTACTGTCTTACACAGGTCATGCTCTAGAAATCCAAAGGAGAAAGTCTTAGGTTTTGTGTCAGCAATTGGACAGAAGTTCTGTGAGCGCTACTCTGCTTCTGACCAAGACAAAACAACCAGTCAAGACAGCATGAATTTTGAGAAGAAGCGTTTGCAGCTGGGAGAAACTCTGTACTACAAAATTCTTGAAAATATCCTTACAGATGAGAGGCGTCTGAAGCCTCAAATTGATTTCAGCGTAAGGAACATACCATTGCTAATTTATGTATTTTATGTCTTTTGAAATTAATTGTATGTCTTCTCCAATTTTTTCAGAATTTACTAGAGCAGGAAGTGTTCCATCAAACGCTTCTTGCTTGTTGTATTGAAATTGTGATTTTCTCTTACAATGCCCCTCGGCGCACTTTCCCCTGGATTTTGGAAGCGTTGAATGTGGAACCATTTTATTTCTACAAGGTTATTGAACCAATTGTCCGGGCTGAAGATCAATTGTCAAGAGACATGATTAAGCATCTAAATTTGGTCAGTTCAGACCCTTTGCTTTTAGTTGACAAGTAGCCAAATGTCTGCTTACTCATTTTGACTAAAATTGATTAATTTATTGCAGATTGAGGAACAAATCCTGGGATCCATGGCATGGCGTTCTGAGAGTGCTTTGTGGGAGAACATAGCAGCATCTGGGGAATCTGTCCCATCTTGTGAAGATGTCTCTCTTCCCAGCCAGCTAACTTTTGATGGAGATGGTGGTCAACAACCTGCAGCAAATCCAATTGTGAAACGATTGTCTGGAGCTGGAGAAAAGGGTGCTGCCTCACCCATTTCATCTGTGTCAGCTGTTGAAAGGTTCCATTCTCCAGTAAATCAAGGTCTGCCAAAAAAGCGTCTGTTTGAAGGTGATCACGCTATCAAACCTGGACAGTCGTTGCTTCAGAGCAAAGTGGGAGGAATACAAATTACAAGTAAGCACTGTCTATATCTATTGTGATAATAATAACAATATTAATAATAATGTGTTTGATGGTCAAGGCATTCAAATGACTTGTCTCAGTAGACTCTCTCTTCTAATAGACATAATTCATTGCAGCAATCAAAGGAGAAAATGGGCAGCAGTACATACCCATACACATACAAGGCACTAACAGTGTCATCATTTCAGCACAGCCATCCACATCTGCTAACTCAGTTGTGAAGAAAGTTGTTATTAGTACAGAATCAAATTCAGAGAAGAAGGATGAGGACAAACCCAAGAGAACTGGTTCTATCAGCTTATTTTTCAGAAAGGTTTGCCTTAATTTTTGTATCTTAGATGCTTTAACTACGTACGCTTTATATGGTTCTAACTTGATTTTATGCTTTCAGTTCTATCATTTGGGTTCTGTGAGGATGCAAGATCTTTGCACACGTTTAAATCTCAATGATTCAGAACTGAAAAGGAAAATTTGGACTTGTTTCCAAAATACTATTACAGACCACATTGACCTTATGCGTGACAGACACATTGATCAGCTACTGATGTGTGCAGTATATGTGATATGCAAAGTCACTAAAAATGATCGTTCTTTCACTGATGTAATGAAATGCTATAGAATGCAACCACAAGCTTCATCCCATGTCTATCGCAGTGTGTTACTGAAGAAAGCTGATGAAGAAACTGGTATGTACCTGATTTTTTCAATCCATTTCTTTTTCCCTCTTACTGAGGATTTAGATTTGTAAATGGTGTGCTTGAAACTTAAAGAGTGTGTTTCTACATTTTTAGATGACAGCTCAGTTGTTGCTGCTCCTTTACCTAAAGAATTGGCTACACCCACTGTTGCTGCCGGAACTTCCAATAATTTCATGGGAGAAGAGAGAGGTGACCTCATTAAGTTTTACAATACTGTGTATGTCATGGAAATGAAGGCTTTTGCTCAAAAATTCTCAGATTCTCAGGTGGGTACATAGTGTTAGTCTTTTACCTTGCAAGGTGTGTACATATACTGTGTAAATGGAAAATAACAATTATAGTGTCTTCTCTTCCTCATTTTTAGAGTGATTCTCTACCACTATCACCTCTTCCTGTGAGCAAGAGTCAGTCCATTGTTCCAAGACGCAGGCTCACAGACAAAGCGCCTGTTTTCATCAGCCAACTGAACCCACAGGATGTCACTGTTTCCCCATCCAAACTTCTGGATTACAAATTCAGTCGTAGTCCAGCAAGAGTGAGTAGCATTTATTGGAATGATGCATCAGTCTCTCTTGTTTCACAACTCACTTCTTTTTTTTTTAAATAAAATGTTCTTTTCAGGATTTGCGTGCCATCAACAACATGATTCAAGTGGATGGCTCCAGGAAAGTGTGCAAGCGCTTGTTGGCTGATGACACTTCAGAAGATGCTCCCACTGCTAAGGTACCTGCTAATGATGCAGTAGCTCGGAAACTGCACTCAATCATTGGTGATAGGATGGGCCAGGCTTAGTGATTCAAGCTTTTTTATGGCAACATCCCAACTGGAAGAATTCGACCCATTTGGTCTTTATTCTCCTGTAAGATCTCCATTTTTAATAACCCTGATACCCTCTGTAAAGGTGGAAACAGCTTTTATCCTGGGATTAGGAAGGAAAATACTGAGTTTCAGAATTTTGTTTGTTCTGATTCTATATCTAATGGACTCATATAAATCAAGGATTATGATTTTAATAGTTTTATCATGAAATTGTAAGTGATTGCCTTTATTCTTTAGGTTAGAAACTAGTCATTCAAAAAGTTTTACCCCTCTAAATATCACACTATGAGCAAAGTGAAGAGCAATTGATCTGACAGTTAACTACATATGTTATATTAATTGACTTTGCGCACTTTCTGCTAACCTAATTATAACCAATATTATACTTCAAAACACTGGTTGTCACCACTGTTGTATGATTCAAATTTCAAAACTTGTGTAACATGACAATGTTAAATTGTAATGTTCTTTCAAATTGGACCAATACCTAGGTGAATTTTATCTTTCACAGTAGGTATACTCACAATGTTGTTTAGTTATACTGATAACTACAGCTTATAGTAACCATAAACTTTTCCAATCATGGGCTTATAATTTCTCTAAGGAAATCGCTGTATTTACTCAAGATTCACTTTTGTGAGAAACTGTACACACCTAGCACTAGCAAGGAATAGCTGCAGCTGCTATAGTGACTGAATCTTGAAGCTGTAAGGGATTTTTGTCTTGGAACTAACTGTTTTTGTATCATGTTGTGTACTTACTTGGTACTAAAATCTAGTAGGTAACTGAACTTTTGGGACCTTTCCTTCATCTAAAGAAAGAAAGGGAACGCCCTCTTCAGAAACCAATTCTGATGAAGCTTGATAAAATAAATTTTTAACTGGATTTAACTTTTTCTAGAGGAAAATAATGGTAGAAAGATGCAGAAAGCCCCATTTGGTTGTAAAACCAATTTCTTTATCCAGTTAAATAACGAATATAATTTTATTGTGCACATGTCCGTCGGTTTACATTTAACATTTTACATCTCTCTAAGACTATATTTGTTGAGTGTTTTTAATTATATATATATATGTTATTTTATCACTGCTGTGTAAATTCTTCTTTCTACATGTAATTCAGCATTATTACTTTAATTTTCATTTTATGATGTTCAACACTTTATGTCTGTCGTATGATGTTCAATAATTTATGTCTGTCATCCAAGTTGGTCTGACCAATGGTTAAGTAAAATTTACCTTGGTATTACATTTACCTCCTTGGTACTCTCTTTATTCATGAAGGCTTTTACTTGGTGTAAATTATGGTTATGTTTGATGCTCTTCATGTGTTGTTCATTGTATAGTTGAGGTCAACACAATAATAACACTTAATCTCATCTGTTTCTCTTCTTCAACTCATGCTAAACCATTTATTACAACTATTACATCAAGTATAAAAATGATCACGATTACAATAGAAAAGAAAATGACTAGATTCTTACAATTAAGTTTAGATGTATGAGATGACCCAACCTGTCTCTACCACTGAATGGTTGAAACCACAGTTGAAATGACCTGATGGGTATGTGTAGTTGCATCCAAAATTCCCTCAATAACCTGTCTGATGAGTTTACTACCTTGATTTTGTACAGTTTTGATGAGTGAGATGACCTGACCTGTCTTTACCACTGAATGGTTGAAACCACAGTTGAAATGACTTGATGGGTGTGCTTAGTTTCATCCAAAATTCCCTTGATAAGCTGTCTGTTGCATTTACTACCTTGATAATGTCATCATTGAGCATAGTTAACTGAAACCAAAGATTTTCATTCTCTTCAGGATTTGATGATTCTCCCCATGCGACAGATAATTCCTGTCCTTCAAATGTACAATTTAAAAAAGAAGGTGAAGCTGGAAAAATGTGTTTTGACAAAAGAGATGGATGTGGTGAATGAGACTGGGTTCTAAGCAATGCATTTAGTATTGGCTGTTCAACACTTTCTTGGACATAAGTGTCATGGTACATGTAGTAAAGGTACGCAGGGCTATGGCAGCACTGAACAGGTGGCACCTCAGTCATACTCATAATTATGTTTTGGAGTTCCTCTGATAAGTGGGAAATTTTCCCCATCAAGGGATCAGCATGGGTACCAGGCCTTGAATCACCTATGTTTTTGTTCCTCCAAAACTCATAATAAAGGGGGTATACCTCTCTCTGTTGAAAGAGAGCCTTTAAAAATGACACATTGTCTGGATTGATTGCATAAGGGAACAACTCAACAATGGCAGAACTGGGTGGCATAAACAGGGACAAAATCATAGCAGCTCCATGCATACCTACCACGAGTGTGGCTTGATTGAGTTCAGTAAGAACAAAGCTGATATCATGCCTAGCCAAATCAATAGTGACTATTTCTAGACCATAGCTCTTATAAGACTTTTGGTGAGCTTCCTCAATAGCACTATATAATGTTTTTAAATTCAGAATCCGTCTAGATTGCTCCCTTGACACAACAACTACTTTCACACACTGCGTCTCCAGAGAGCATGTGAATATTGGTTTTGACTTCCAAACACTTAAACTATATTTGACAAATTTTTTCAAACCATTTACATGAAAGTTCCTATTTATATAAGGTCCATGATATTTTTTAAATCCATAATCAAACCACAAAGTGGACTTGTGCATACCAACATAGGCATTAGCAAAACATATAGTCTCACTGATATATGGCAGCTTTATTATAGGTGATTTTGAAAAGTGGTCATACCATTTATCTAAAGTGGATATGTTATGATCGTCAGTGAAAGCTAATGAAAATTGCTTTCCATCAAAGTCCTTTTCAGAAACACTTTCCATGGTAAACAACAAAGGAATTAATTCATCATGGATAACATGCATAATATTGTCAGGTTTGAATCGATGAATGATGAAAGTTGGGTCCATCAGAACCTGAGCTCTGTTCTGTTTAATTTTATTTTCTGGAGACATGATAGACACTTTCATTTTGAAAGCATTGTGATCTAAAACTGTTGACATGTCGATATCCTTCCACTGCTCGGGATTCCGAATACCAAAAACAATCGATTCTTCACTCATCGTAAATTGGAACTCTTGAAACCAAGGATCATAACAAATATTGCGAAATTTACACAGTTTCTCCCCACTGGAACCAGTGTGGCACCAGACGGAGGAAACCAAGGAAGACACATCGACAGTCGGTGCCTCTGACTGTTCCTGAGTGAGATAGACGGAGAAGAGGTGAGACAGCCAGCCTGCTGTCAGAGTGAGAAAGAGACACGCGCCCTGAACAATTCGCGTGTACCTTATCGAAGCCTCTGAGGGCGTGGGCGTTCGCCCCGGCGCCAGCCCCGGCCCGGGCCTGCGGTAGTGCCGGCTTGTCATGGTCAGCGAGCGGAGAGAGGGTTAGGCCGTAAGGCCGTCAGGCAGGGCAGAGTTTCAGCCGGCGTTCTTGCTCAAGCTCCCGTCGAGTCCCCACGTCTTGAAGTTGTTTCTCTGCAAGCAAACGGCCAAGCTCAGTGGGTGTCAAGAAAATAGCTCGACGCACCAAAAGTGTGCAGGATAAAACGATGGACCTACCGCATTGTGCATTTCGAATCAAAGCACTCTTCACGGACACAAACGGACAGAACAGCAGACAGCCCCGCAGCAGACGATGAGCCCGGGCCTAGCCTACGGTGGAGGACCGGCGCGCTACTTTTTCACCGTTCTGCCATCCGCCTGGAGGACCCAAACGGCGGCTCACCTTTTCGCGCTCTCTCACACCTTTGGCCACCCTCGCGGTAGCCGCCCTTCAGTGGCTGGCAAAACCTTTCGGCCGGACGGCAGACGTGGCGCTTTGCAGCGGGTTGTCATTGAAAAGGGGGCGTCTCCGAGCGGCACTATTTCGCATCTGGACGTCGGAGGGAAGCGCGTCGGCGGTGTGCTGCGCCGGCACCGCGTCCGAAAAGACCACGCGGCGTCTCTTTCTTCCACGCGGGGAGCAGGGCGGATGGATGGCGTCAGACTGCCGCGGACGCAGCCCCTCGCTTCCCTCACCCTCCACAAGCCTTCCACCCACCGCTCCGCTCCCCGCGCTCCCCGCTCCGTCCGCACCGAACCGACTCACTGCACTTGAGGCAGACAACCAGAACCAGACCCAGACAACCGCACCAGCAGCAGCACCTGTTACATTGTCGTCCTCCATCGAGTCCCTCGCCGCGGACTACCTACCTCGGCAGCTGCACGCACAGGCCAAGGCAGACACTCGCTCGCCGCGCCGTCAGCCGCCCGCCAGTCCAGCGCCGACCACCGCCCGCACCGGACCGCTCGTACCGTCGCCGTGCCCAAGCCAAGTCGAGACCCGCACCAGCCGGCTTCCGTTTTGACTGTCTTGGTGTTCGCCCCGCACCGTGACCATGGCCGAAGAGAACCAGAAGCCCGTCGAGGAGAAGCAGGCCCAGCAGCAGCAGTCTCAGGAGAAGGACGACGCCCCGGCCAAGGACGCCGAGCAGGAGTCCCCCGAGAAGGCCCCCGAGGAGCCCCCCAAGGAGATGAAGGCCGTGGTGCTGACTGGCTTCGGCGGCCTCAAGTCCGTCAAGGTGCTCAAGAAGCCCGAGCCCACCCTGGGCGAGGGCGAGGTGCTGATCCGCGTCAAGGCCTGGTGAGTACCCTCGTCGCCGACCTGCGCTTTGACACCCTGGCGTACGCCCTGCTCGCCCTGCTCGTGGTCATCGGAGCTCACTGCCTTGCCGGGCTGCCCCTCGCGGGCCTCGCCGTCGGGGCGTCGCGGGCGTAGCGGGGCGTGCCTGTCAGCATATGGACCGCTCGGAGGTGGTCGCCCGCCGTCGGAGAACCCTACAGCTCTTGGCCGGCGTGCGGGACGCGTTCTTGGGTTGGGCGCACGGCGACTGCTGCCCTGGTGACCTCCTGGTACCCGCTGGTACCCGCGGGCGCTTCCTTCTTCTAGGACGCCGGGCCCCAGGCAGGCCGTATGTGTGGCCCGCGCCGCCATGTGCGCGGTGCGACGCGGTGCGGTGCAGTTTGGGGTTGCCTGCGTGCCGCCCGCCGTTCGGTGGCAGCTACTCCGGGGGGCCCAAGTGGGCCATAAGGCCGGACGCGGCGCGCCATATGGGGTTTTCGGCGCGCGGGGCCGCGGGGCCGAGGCGGCGCGGGGCCCGCCCGCAGCCCAGCCAGCCCCAGCTGTGGGTCCTCGCAGCCCTTGGCACCGTGGGCAGCAACAGGTAGGGCGGAAGGGCGCGGCGCAGGGCCAGCATAGCCAGCAGGGCAGCGTCCTCTGCCTCGCCAATTTTTATGCCCCTGGTTGTCATGAGGGCCCGGTGCGTTCCGGGGTCTTTGCCGCCGTTTAGCGGGCGTGGTTTCGAAAAAGGGCGGGGGCGGGGGGTGGCGATCCCGCGCTCTCTCGCTTTGCTTCTGCTGGGCTGGCTGGCTGGCCGGGCCCGCTGTGCTGAGCCCCAGCCCGGGCCGGGCCTGTGGGTGTGGCCGTGGATCAATACGGACGGGCTGCACGCGTGCGGCGTGGGGCCCAGCCCAGGCCCAGCACGGGCGTGACGAGACGCGTCTGTCTGTCCGTCTGGTGGACGCCAGCCTCTGCGTGAGCGCCGTCCGTCCGGGTCAGCGCAGCGGGCCGGCCTGCAGGGTGGGGTCGTGTTGTCATCGTGAGGGTGACACACAGTATCATGTCGTGTCGGTATAACCGCGGCGTGGCGGTTCGTGAATCGCATCGCCTCTGATTCCCCGGAAAGTAGCGCGCCCCGCTCCGATAGACTCCCAGCCAGCAGGCTGTCTCTCTCGCACCCTGACGGCACGCCCCACGAGTGCGAGAGAGAGGCGTTCCTCGCTGAATCCGCCTCCAGGCAGTGTGCTGGGCCACTCTGAATCACCGCCTCATTCGCGAATCGGCGGCGCGGCGTGGCGCGGCGTGACGCGAGAGAGAGAGAAGCTCTCCTTTACGGCCTTGCGCGGCGCGCATCAGGCGAGGACGGCGAGGACGGCGAGGACGCGGCGATAGCGCCTTCTCTCTCTGCCCGGCCCGGCCGCCTCGTTTTGACCGATAACTCGCACCGCCCGGCCCCCCGGCCCCCCGGCCGCGACCTGGCCCGGCCAGTGGCCGACCGAGATGCTTTGGCAGGGCGGCGCGCGGCGTCTTTGTCTCTGTTCCGCCCGACTTGCCGACGTGCGATTAGCATATGGTTCGCGTCTGGCGTGGCGTGGCGGCCGGTGGTGTTCGCGAGCTTCCCGGGCACGGCGATGGCACGGCCGCGGCGGGGCGGCCAGGGCGGCCCCTCGTCCTCGCGCCCGCGCCCGGAAAGCGTTGGCATCGCAACCCCGGCCGGGCCCTGGCTGGCGCTTTTGCCCGGGGCTCTGCTGCTGCTCGCTGCTCGCGGGGCGTAGCTGGGCGCTACGGGGCGCTACGGGGGGTCGGCTGTTGCCAGACAGCTCGCCAGCTCGGTCCTGTTGCTGCTGCTCCGGGCCGCTCTAGCTCCGCTCCCGCCGGGCCGCTAGTCTAGGGGGAGGCAGGGCGGACGCGGACAGCACGCGGCGTTAGACCTGCCCGCCCCGCCCCTCCCACCTAGCGCTGCCAACTCTTTGAAATCGATCGGCACGCCTGCCATTAGGTGTGCGTCGATGACAACTTGTACTGCTTGAGCTCGAGGGGCGCGGGGACGCGGCGGGACGCGGCGGAACTGCCGCGGCGGTGCGCCAATCTGCGCCTCTCTCGCGCCTGATGGTGAGGCCGAAGCACTGTCTCCCTCGCGCTCCCGGGCGTTCTATGGGGTGCAAGAGAGACGGCACTCATCGGCTCCCGCAGCGTGTTGTGGCTGTGCCGCTGTGCCCCGAGGGCCGAGGGGGAGCCTCGTCTCGTCATGAATCGGCTGCCTCTCACTATTCTGCGCCCGTCGCTGCGGAGCGCTGCGGAGGGTGGCGTCCGAAGGCCGAGGTGCGCACGACGGCGACCCTTCTTCCCCCCGTGAGCGGTTCGTCGCTCTGTCTCTCTCGCCCCACGAGTGCGACAGAGGCGGACGATTCTCCTGAATGGCTCGGCAGCTGCCGTTCGGCGTGCTCGGCCGTTGGCGCTTTTCAGACGCGCCCCGGCTATGTGCGTGCGATTACCAAGACGGGGGACGTGGGGTGCGTTGCGTGCCTCGGAAGCAGCTGACGACGGCGTGCCTGTCTCCGCGGTGCCCCCGGCCTGGCCTCGCCCCGCCTTGCGTCTTGCACGCCCTGCGGCAGTCCTGCCGGCAGGATGTCGTGGCCGGCTGCACGCCCTGCACGCCCTCGGCAGCCTGCTGCGGCCTCCAGGGTGCCCGCCCTGCCGCCTCATTCCGAAGGATTGTTCGTTTCGTCGCTCTGTCTCTCTCGCACTCATGGGGGCGCCCCGTGAGTGCGAGAGAGACAGCGACGAATCGACCCTTCGGAATCAGCGGGCTGGCCTGCCTGCCTCCGGCCCGGGCGTCATGCCGTGCCCGGGGATCGCGACCGCGCGACGCCACGAGGCGGGAGCAGCGCTTTCGCCGCTCCGTCTCTCTCGCACTCGTGGGGCGTTGCGTAGGGGTGCGAGAGGGACAGAGCGACGAGGCACTGTTGGGAATGAGAACGCGATGCAGCGTTTAGCGCGGTCGTTATTTATCGGTGGACCCCCTGGGGAGCTGTTCGCTGCAGAGCATGCTCTGCGCTCGCAGGTATTTGGCGAATGTGTCTGGGCGTGGCTGCCGGGGCTGCCGGGGCTGCCGGGGCCTGGCATGCTGGGTCGTGTGCAACACAATAGTTTCTGGTGTCGATGAGGGTGGGAAAGTCTTTGTACTAATCCACGCCTCGCTGGCGGGGCTATGGCGAGGTCCTCAGCCTCAGCGTGCCCAGCGCGCCCTGCCTGCAGACTGATTCCGAGAGTCGTTTTCGTCGCCCTGCCTCTCTCGCACTGGTTGGCGCCCCCTATAGGTGAGAGAGACAGAGCGACGGAAAGGTGAGGTACTTGGGCGGGGCAGTTGAGGGGAAGAATTAAAGTCGTGGCGCGTAAACACTCGGAGCAGCAAAGCAGCATTACAAGTCTGCGATGGCACTGAAGGTGTTTTTGAATTTGGCTGGGAGGCGCTTCGCTTTACTTCGCCTCGCCTTGCTTTGAGGCCGCCCCGCACGCCTCGTACGCCCAGGCAGCCCAACATAAACACGCTTGCTCTCGGGTAAACACTTTGTCTCCCCCACCACGCACTGACGCACTGTACCACCACCGGCAGCGGACTGATTCCGAGAGTCTTTTTCTTCGCTTTGCCTCTCTCGCACTGGTAGGGTGTCCCGTATGGGTGCGAGAGAGACAGAGCGACGAAAGCGCCCCTCGGGATCAGCCTGCAGGCCGGCGTGCCGGCATTGGCTGGCTATTCCATGTAACGTGCGTGTCTTGCTATTTTTGCCCCGTCCTTATGTAATGGCTGCCGTGGACCGCGGCCTGCCGAGTGATTCCGTCCGAACCGCGGCTCTGTCTGTCTCGCGCTGCCATGGGACCCCCCGCGAGTGCGAGCGAGAGAGGAAGAGAGTAACACAACGCAGCAACGAAACCATACGAAACCTCTGTTCGGAATGGGACGCTGCCCGGCCGGTTCTGGGTGTGTTCAGTGTGCTGGCTCGCTTCAGGCCGATCCCTGGCGGCCGGCTTCTCCTGCGTCGAGGCGAGGAGGGTGTCGGCTGGCGTCGGCCCGGCCGGCGCCTCCTCGCCGGCGCGGTGGCCTAGTTTGTCGTTGTCCAGTCCGGCGTGGCGGTGCCGGTGCCTGCGGTGGCCAGCCGAAGTGGCCGGCCGAGGCGAAGCATTGCCGCGCTGCCCTGGAATGCGTGTGGTGGATGGGCAGGTGCCGGAGGCCCGGCTCCAGCGTGCTCCAGCGGCCAGGCAGGGCAGGCAGCCAGGGCCAGGGCCCCTACACTGGGCGAGGTGGCTGCGCGCTGCGCGGTCTGTCCAGCCTGTCCGGAGAGGTCTTGTCCAGCAGGAAACATCGCACACCCGCCTGGCGTGGGCGCGGCGGTGCTGGCGCGCTGGCCGGCCGCCCGGCTTGCCGTGGTGCGGTCTGCCCGGGTGCCCCCTCGGCCCCCCGCACCCCGGGGGAAGGGAAGGGAAGGGGTGACCTTGACAAGCCGGCCGGCGCGATTCGCAAGGGCAGGGCCACTCGGCCGTTCGCACTGCCGGCCGGCCGGGTGCCCCGGGTACTGGCGGTGGCGGTACACTGACCGGCCGGGTCGGGCCGGGTACCACTGCACTGGTCGCGATGCTGGGCGCCGCGCGGGTTGCGCGTCCCAGGACGAGCGCGATGGAAGCAGTGTGGTTGCCGGCCCCGAGTCCCACGCCCTCCCTAGTCCCTCCAGCCGGCCGGGGCTCGTCCTGCCGATAGCGAGGGGCTCGAGGTCAAGACCACAGTGTTGAGCCAAGGCACTTGTCGCTGCCGTTGGTACACTACAGTGGTGGCGGCTTTCCGGAGCAAAGCGTTCGTTTTCCCACGAGCGACGCTGCTTGGGCCCAGGGCAGCCCAGGGCGCCGCCAGCTGCTTGGTCGCTCTGTCTCTCTCGCACCCCTGCCGGGCCCCCTGCGAGTGCGAGCGAGACAGAGCGACGAAAGCTCTCTTGAGATTGCGGCTGCTGCGCGGCTGCGCCCTGCGTCCGGGCCGCGCGGCCGGACCCCGTTGCTTCCAAGTTGGAAGTCTCCAGGCGGCCGGTTTTACGACCTGAATCGCAAGCACGTTTAATGGCCTCTAGTGTTGATTAATCCGGGGGGCTCTCGGCCGCTGCGTCCTGCGCCCTGGACTCGCTCTGGAACCGAAAAGCCAGCAGACTGATTCCGAGAGTCGTTTCCGTCGCTCTGTCTCCCTCGCACTCATGGGGCGTCTCCTAGAGGTGCAAGAGAGACAGAAGGCGCCTTGCCGACGTCGTGCTGCTTATTTCCGCTGCCTCTGCGTTGCTTTGCGTTTGCGCGCCGCGGGCTGCCCAGGGCACCCAGGGGCTGCCTAGCAATCCTAATAGAGTGTCGCGTCGTGGGGAAACGCCCCGCGGGGGGCTGAGCCAGGCTGAGCTGTCCGGGCCGCCCCCCGCCCCGCCCCGCCCCGCCCCCAGGCAGCTCCAGCTTGAGCTCCAGCTCCCTCCCCCCGCACCCTCGCCAGCATCAGCCCCAGCAGTCTCCCTCACTCCACGGAGCCGCCTGGAGGTCATAGGTCACCTCATCGCGGATAGCAATCGATGCAAAGGGAGGGGGGTTGGGTGCTGTTGGAGACTCGCTGCCAAGTGGAGTGCGCGGCGTCAATCTGTCGAGCGATGTCGTCTGTCTCTCTCGCACTCGCGGGGCGCTGGGCGCTCCGCAGACGGTGGGAGAGAGAGACGGAGCGAGGGGTGGCGCCGCGCGCGCTGCGTGCCGCGACGCCGCGACCGTTGCCGCCGCTGGCGATTGCGCGTGACAGGGCAGATTGAATGGGACGGGGGCATTGACGGCTTCTATTTGCGACATGGAGTCCCTGGCCGCCCGCCTGCCTCTGATGGCTTGCTGACGGGCTTATGTGTGGGCTGGCTGCCGGCTGGCTGCCGGCTGGCTGCCTGTTGCCTGATTCCGAGCAAGCCGGCGCCCTCTCTCTCGCTCTCGTCGGGCGTTGCGTGGGGGTGCGAGAGAGAGAGAGAGAGAGGCGCGTGGGCGTTGTGTCAGAGTAATCTCGGCGCACCGCTTTCTATCACTTTCCCGCGTCTCTTTTTACGGCTCTCGCTCGGCAGTCGGCTGCCCGGCCCGGCTTGCCTGGCTGGGCTAACGAGACGCAGAGCGAAGCGCCGAGCGCCGCCCCGCCCCCGCGAGAGAGAGAAAGACAGAGTCTGTTATGCGGGCTCGACGGCAGTGGCTACGCCAGGCTACGCGCGTCTCGGTCGTTGCATTTTCACGGCAGCAGTTTGATCGGGCACCGGCCGCACCGGCAGTGGCGGTCGTTCGTTCCCCTTGCCCTGCTTTTGGGGGACTGGCGCATAGAAGGTGGCGGTGGGATGCTCCCCGGCGTGCAGTGCCGCCGCGCTGGCGCACTGTGGGGCGTTGCGTCGGTGTTCGCCGTCGTCGCCCCGGAGCCGCTGCAGGAATTTTAATCACTGGATCGCTAGCGATACGTGACCTTGGAGCCGCTCGGCCGCCGCGATACGACCCTCGCGCGGCACCTCCGAGACGCCGGGAGGGGCCGCCAGCGGGCTGATTCCGACAGTGTGTCGCTCTCTGGAGGCGTTCCTAGGGGTGCGAGAGGGACAGAACGACAGCTGCTCGGAATGCCTGCCGGCCGATGCGTGTGATTAGACCAGACCAGACCGGGGTTGGGTTGGTTCTCGTTGGTTGTCCCCGCCGCCGAATCTGCCGACTGATTCCGAGAGTCGTTTTCGTCGCTCTGTCTCACTCACACCTGTACGGGACTCCCTATCAGTGCGAGAGAGACAGACAGTCGGAATGAGTGTGCTGGGTGTGGCCTTGCCCTCCTATCTCCTCGTTAAGCGCGGCCTACAGCACCTGCAGCGCGTCCACGCGGTAATTGCTTTGGACGTGGCGGTGGCCGTCGTGTCCGAGCGCGCAGCGCGCCTGCACCGGATGTCCGCCAATTCAGCGACGTGCTCGGCGTCCGGCGTCGCGCCGCGGGGCCGCGACCCCACCGCACAGTGGGCCGCCGGCGCCCAAAACTCCAGACGCGTTTTATATTAGAGTCGCTGTGCAGGACTCGAACCGACCGTGTGACCCCATCAATCGATTCCTCGTTTGGAGAGCAATCCATTGGTGGGGTCACACGTTCGGTTCGAGTCCTGTTTACAGACTTTGGAGCTCAACGCGACCGGGATTTTGACCGCCTCCCTGGCGGCCCCTGGCCCACCGCTGCTGTGCACCAGGCGTTCGCGCTTCGCACGCTTCGCACCTCGCGGCTCGGCGGCAGGGCCTGCGAGGCCTGACCTATGCATGCGGCTTCTACATGTGACTGCGCTGCACTGCCCTACACCGCCGCCGACCGCGCTACGCGTCGCTACGCGTCTCACGCCTAAGCGCATTATAATAATGCCCCTCCCTCGGCGTGCCCCGCGCCCCGCGTCGCGTCGGCTTGCCGTCGGCGTGTGGTCCTTGGACCGGAACCCCGTCCCATTCCACGCCCCGGCCGCCGGCTCGGCCCCGCCGACAATGCTCCTGTGTGGAGGAGTCCTCACTACGCTGGACGACGCCGGGCCGGTCGGGGCATTTAGTCATTCTGTGAGAATAAATTTGGCTGAGCCGCCCCGGGCGCGTCGCACGGCGTCGGCGTCGTCCTGGAGGGCCGGGCCGGGCCGGGCCGTGTGTGGGCTTCCTCGCCGCCGTGCTGCAGACTGACTCTGTCTCTCTCGCACCCATACGGGACGCCCCATGAGTTCGAGAGAGACAGTGTGGTGGCGTTCTCGTTCTCCACGGCCGGGGCGGCAATGGCTGTTGTGATTCACCCGTCGTGGCTCTGCGCGCTCCGCGGCTCCCTCTCCCTTTCTGACTCACTGTCGCGTCGCGCTGCGGCGCGCTGCCGGGGAATGACTAATGTGAGGCGACGGCGACGCGGCGCGCGTGGCGCCGGCCGGCGACGCCGGGAAGTTGATTCCGCGGCTGTCTCCCTCGCACTTGAGGGGCGTGGAGTATGTAGTGGAGCGAGAGCGCCGTTCGGTTCGGAATGAACCTGCAGGAGTGGGCCCTCCAGGTCCTCCTCGGCGTGCCGCAGGATCGCCTGCATTCCGTGTCCCACCCTATCGCGTCGCCAGTGGACTGATTCCGAGAGCCGTTTTCGTCGCTCCGTCTCTGACTGTCACGAGTGCGAGAGAGACGGGGCGACGGAAGTGACTCTTTGGCACGCGCTGCGGGGGTGGCGCCCAGGAATGCGACGTCCTGTCGATGGGGTGCTTGTCGGGCTGCTCCTGGGCGCGGCCCGGCCCGCCACGCCGGTCAGCCTTGATAAGTGTGTCTTTGTCCTGCTGGCGGCGGATCGGGCATCGGACCGACCAGCCGGGCGATTCAGAGCGGTCGTTTCGTCCCTGTCTCTGTCGCACTCGTGGGGCTCTCCGTCAGGGTGCGAGAGAGACAGAGCGACAAACCGATCCTCCGAATCGGCCGGCGGGCCGACCGGACGGACGGCTTCGTTATTGTTAGCCCGTGGAATGTGCCTCGTGTGGTGTGGCGGCTGGCGGCGCCCTCTCTCTCGCACCCTTACGGAACGGCCACCGAGTGCGAGAGAGACAGCGAGACCCATTCGCGACCGCCACACCCCCGCGGCACCGCGGCCGGCCGTCGCCGTCCTCGTCTTGCTCGCGTCCGCCCCGATCCTGGAGGCGCTCTGGCCTGGCTGCAGGCACTGCAGTGCAGGCGTCATCCTGAAGGGCTTTCCCGCGGCCGCAATCAACAGGTGTGCCGAGCGGGCTGCCGCGCTGCCGCTTGCCGCCCGCAGGCACCGCAGGCCTATGCCTCGCGGCCCGCGGCCGTTGCGTAAGGGGCGGTGGGGGCGGGGCAGCGGACGCAAAGCGGACGCGGCGCGCCCTGCCCTCCGGCCTGCCTCTTCCTGGAAAGCACCGGCACACTGCATTGTCCCAGGTCGGAAGTACTTGCGACAATTAGAAGACGGAGGCGGACGGGGACGCCTTGTCAGTCGGGGTGCGCGTCGTCGTCGTTGTCGGCCTTTCCTTGTTTTTCTGCCTGTGTACAGTGTAGCGGTTCGTCGCCGATGCTACGTCATGACATGCACGCTAACGCCCCTGCCTGTCCCATTCTCTTTGCAGCGGACTCAACTTCCAGGACTTGATGGTCCGCGTGGGCGCCATAGACTCCCCGCCCAAGACCCCCGTCATCCTGGGCTTCGAGTGCGCCGGTGAGATTGAGGCCGTCGCCGAGGGAGTGGACAATTTCAAGGTACGTGCGCGGTGACTCGCGTTAGCGCGGAGGATGGCGATGACGCTAACACCCCTATCTTCTTTTGTTCTCTGTGGGCGCGCTTGGCGCGAGTGCGAGAGAGACGGTATGCTGATGGATGGTGGCTGTTGCAGGTTGGCGACAGGGTGGTGGCCCTGCCGGAGTACCGCGCGTGGGCGGAGCTGGTGGCCGTGCCGGCCAAGTACGTGTACCGCCTCCCGGACACCATGAGCTTCCTGGACGCGTCCTCCGTCGCCATCAACTACGTGGTGGCGCACATGCTGCTGTTCGACGTGGGCAACCTGCAGCCCGGGAAGACCCTGCTCGTGCACTCTGCCGGCGGCGGCGTGGTGAGTAGTGGAGTGGAGTGACCGCTGGAGGGGTGGAGGCTCTCTAGAGCTGCCTAGCTGCCGCCTGATTCCGACGGATCTTTTTATCGCTCCGTCTCTCGCACCCCTACTGGGTACTCCGCGAGTGCGAGAGAGAGAGAGAGCGAGCGGCGGTGATACGCTGAATGTGAGCGATGCGTGATGTGTCCGTGTCCCACGGTGTTCCAGGGCCAAGCTGTGGCTCAGCTGGCGCGCACGGTGAAGGGCGTGACGGTGATCGGAGTGGCCAGCAAGAGCAAGCACGAGGCCATCCAGGGCTCCATGGACCACGTCATCGAGCGGGGAACCGATTACGCCAGTGAAGTGCGCAAGTAAGTCTCGTCTCCAAATAGTGTCTTTAGACCGACCGACACGTCTGTTTAAGTTTTTATTTTACCCGTCTCTCTGCCTTGATTCCAGGCTGTACCCCGAGGGAGTCGATATCGTCCTGGACTGCTTGTGCGGAGAGGAGTGCAATCGTGGCTATTCTCTTCTGAAGCCTATGGGGAAATACATTCTCTATGGTAACATACATACTTAAAACCCCAACACTTTAAGCTGTTTTTGCTTTTTTTAAACTTGCCTAATTTTCCCTTGTTTTTGCCATTAGGCTCTGCTAATGTGGTCACTGGAGAAACCAAAAGTTTATTCAGCCTTGCCAAGTCTGTGAGTGTTATGAAGCTACTGTTTCCTTCCGCAGCTATGAATGTCTTTGATCTTCTCATTCTGATGTGTTTGCTCTTCTGTTTCAGTGGTGGCAAGTTGATAAGGTGTCCCCTATCAAGTTATTTGATGAGAACAAAACTTTGGCTGGTTTGAACATGCGCCATCTGATGTACCAGCAAGGGGGTGCTGCCCACATCCAGAGCGTTATGGACAAGGTCTTTGCCATGTGGTCTAAGGGCCAAATCCAGCCTGTGGTTGATTCTACCTGGGCTTTGGAGGATGTAAGTCTCTCTTGTGTCAGTTTGATTTTAAAATGTTGTACTTGATTAACACATTTATGTGTTTAATTTTTTTCTAGGTGCCTGAGGCTATGCAAAAAATGCATGACCGTAAGAATGTTGGCAAGATTTTGCTCGACCCCAGCTTGGAACCCAAACCCAAGCCTGCTACACCTGCCAAGGGGAAGGGCAAATCCTCGTCTATTGACAAGGAGGACAAGAAGAAGGATGATGATGAAAATGGATCAGGTGACAATGGTAGGTGTCCTCCCTCCACTCCCAGTTTGTACTTACTGGACCTCTTACAAGTGTCTCATCCTATTTTGTTGGTTCCAGATGCCAAGGAGGAAGAGAAGAAGGAAGACAAGAAGAAAGAAGAGAAAAAGGAAGAAAAGGAGTCAAGTTGAATCAATTTTAAAAAAGAAACATAAATTAAATAAGAATGTGTGGGCGCAAGCGCCGTCCTTTTAGTCACACTCCCAGTTCGAAGCTGCTTACAGATGAGTGCGAGGAAGTTGCTCTTTTCCTTAGTGCTTGACTGATATAGATGTGTGCAGTGTAATGATGTATCTATGTGACCTATTAGCTTTTCATGCAAAACCAGATTTTAAACCCTTCTTCCTCCTGTTCTGTGGATTGAAATGCTTTTAATTTAAATGATTTTGTTGGTCTGTATCATGGATTTAATTTTAAGCTGTTAATAATTTGACAAAGAATGATCTCAATGGCCAGTTAGGTTTCATGCATTTTATTTTTGGAGATCCTTACCAGGAAGTTTGTACCTACTTACTATTTAATTAAGATTTATGTGTACATTTTATGCCCAAATTCTTTTAAATTTGACAGTATTTTTCTGTAGCTGCAAGTTTGGCAGCAGACATTGCAGGTATATCATGATTTTATTTAATGTTTAGAGGAGCGCTAGAGTCGTTTATTGTAATTTAATATATTTTATATGGAATTTTATGCGCAGTGTTTGATTTATTGCCTTCTTGAAAATTAGCTAGGCTTGAAATGTTTCAGTAGGCCTATATGCGTTCCTATTGTACATTGAGCCATTAGTCTGCCATAATGGTGACCTGCAGAACAAACTTGTTTGCAGAGCCATTTTCATTGTTAGAAAGCCGAGCTGTGTTATATTTTTCTGTAAGATACTGCATTATATACTAGAATTCTATTCAAGATTAAGATATGTGAGGGTATGTCTGTGTATGCGCTTGCAGTGTATGTTCCTCCCCAATAAAAAAGAATAAAACCATGCCGCTTTATCATTTTTTTGCAAGATTGTGTCCAACATCTGTGGGACCAGAGGAAAGTATTGCTGCATAGCATTCTTCCACAAGGGTAGTAGAGAAAACACGTGGGAAACCAAAATTTGATTTGCATTTTCTTTAATATAAAACAATAACGGTGCACATACACAAAGAGGACAAAAAAAAAAGTTTATAGTAAGTGGTAACAAGGACTTAACACAGATGGCAATATAAGCTCTGGACCCTGTACTAAAGCACATACAAGCTGCAAAATTTTAATTGCCCAGCAAAAGTGACTTGGCCCCAACCTGAACTTCCTTTGAAGCAATGCATTGACAGACCAGCAACAGTTAGACCTACTCGTCACATAACAAGTCAACTGTAATAAAATACTTATGACTAATGGAGTCTGTTGTCACATAGTCAAAGAATGTGGAACATGGTGAAGTAAAAGTACTAGGGACTCGTGATTTTCTTTGAGTTTCCTTGGAATACAGACAAGAGAACAGCCCTATAATTAACAATTAACAAGATTTTTTTTATAATTTACCTATTTATATGCAAAATAACGACAATATATTCATGGTTTATATCACAGTGCATAGATATTATTAGCTCTCCACTATGATTCCCAAATATATACTAAGCCAATTCACAGATAGTGTGACCCAATCACAAATCTGTCGAATACCTTCTTAGAATAAATTGAAAATGATGAGAAATACTATTAAGGAACATTGTTTAAGGAAATGGGGCAGACTGTTAATAAAGCTCAGGCAACACAAAAAGTGAGCACATTGAACAAGAAGGGTCTTAAGTAGATAGTTTAAATTATTAAAATCAACATCAAAAAAATACAACTTTAACAAATGGGTGATGAAATATTCTTCTGCATTTAAAGTTCATCACCAGACAACAATAAACCTTACCTTTGAAGACATCAAAGAAAAGTATTGTGATCATGAACACCAGCAGTTTCAAAGTTGATAACAGTGTGCATTAAATGACAGGATATAGGCATAGATCGTAGAAATTATTAAGCATAATAATATACAGTGAAAACCAAGTTTGGCAACCTGGTCTTCACCTCCCTGTTTCTAGGAACATAAAATTGATCAAAAACTATTGCCAGAGGTATTCACTATAAACACCAGGGGCACTGTCAACTGACTGTCATCTGAAATTGATGATGCATTAACTCTTCAGTATATAATGAATTTATCTTAACGTTTAACTGACAATTGTCACATCACAGAAGTTAAACAGAAATATCACAACCTTTCTTTACAGAATACATAAGAAGAGACCTTCCTGATGTATTCATATTTTAAGATAGATTAGGTCGGTATTAATCATCTTTTTTTTCACTTGGCTCCTTGCTAGGCTGACTCTCAGTAGATTCCTTCTCCTCAAGGGCTGCTTTGGACAGCATGATTGAAGGATCATCTGCCATTTGACACGCTCTTTCTACATGATTATTAAAAACATCACTTTTGTCTGCATACACATGGTGTCCAGCTCCAGAAATTATCTAAAATAAAAAAACAAGACAGTTTTAGAATGCAAAGCTCATGGCTGATGCGGAAAAAGAGTTGACCAATACATTATGCAAAATTGAGACCACTTTACCTGCACATTGACAAATGAATTGGGCCTCTTTTCCTTGATAATATGGCTGTTAGTGTTGTCAACCCATGAGCGTGATCCATACACAAGTGTCATTGGTACATCAGCTCGCAACTCATGAATTCTGTGAACCATTGGATGTTTAGCCCATCCAAAGCCAACCATCATGGCATGAAATGCGCTTTCTCCACTAGCAGAAAAAAACAACAACAATTAAAGAAAGTTCTTTTTAAAGGGAAAAATGTGCTAGGTTTTGGATTTTTTCCTGAAGTAACTTACGTAGGAGTTTGAGCATTGCACTGGAAAATGTATTGAGAAATAATACTTTGACCATCTTTGTCATCCAATACAGAAGAAAATTTCTTCATGATATCTGGTCGAACTTTTTCAATAAGGCTTTGTCCTAAGTTAGGGTGAAAATCTTATTAGTCTAGTGTTCATAATAATTTTTCAAAAAAAGGAAAAGGACAAATAAAATGAGACACCTACCAAAGGGTCCTGCAAATCGCACTGCCCAAAGTGGATTCATTCGGGTCAATACAGAGCCAATCACTCTGTACAAGGTTGGCACATTGCTTTTGTATTCTTTGGGACACTCTGGGAAGCCCCATGGATCAGCCAGAATAAGATGACTCACTCTGATATTATGGTTACATATTAGTGATTTTTGATTTAGCGAAGATTACAAAAAAAAACATTCTGCATAGTGCAAGCTTACCTGTCGGGGTACTTAATGGCATAAGAAGCAGCCAAAAAGCCACCCATACTGTGCCCCAATACAACCATTTTCTCCAGTTGCATTTCCTTGCGCCATTCTTCAACCGACTTAACCAACTGTCCTTCTGCCTCCAAAGGATCAGAACTAAATTTAGGTCGAGAACTGCGGCCAAAACCTGAATGAGAGAGTTCAATTGAGATTCCAGCAAGCACAATTATGTAAAATTCTTGAAGCCAGTAGAAAGAAGAACGAAAGATACAAACCTAGTAGATCAATAGCATACACTGGCCTAGAAGCTGCTATATGGTCCAGATTAAGGCACCACAGTGCCACTCCAGCTCCTAGGCCATGCAGAAGTAAGATGGGAGTTTTAGGCGAATCTTCATTCAAGGAGATGGTCCATATTTTGTCAGAAGCCCCAACAGCCGGTCCAATATCTACATACCACCCTCGATATGCCGTTTTCAGACCTATAAATAATAATATAATGAAATTTTATAAAATGGAATAAAAATTTTGGGTTGATGCAGTTTTAGTTTGGTTAAAGATCACCTACATGACAGGATCTTCTTTTCTGCAGTTCTAAGGGCTGACAGCGACATTGGAGTCCACTGGAACCAGCTCAAAACCCAGTTTCTGCAAAGGAAGAGGATTAATTGTAGTTAAAAGAAGAACCATAAAGATACAGAAAAATAAGGGACAGCAGATTCATAATTGATAAAAATTTGTAAGAGTAAGATGACAGAAACAGAGCAAAGAAGAACCACAGCAAAGATCGGGAAGGGATGAAAGCAGATCCATTTTAATATTGTTAATAACGTATGGATTGTACCAGATAGATAAATTACCTGAGTTTTGAAAATATTGAATTGTGCTCCACAAGCTGCCTGTATGAAAGCAAGAAAATTCATGATGAAAATGTGAACTCCAGAGTGAGAAATATTGGCACTTGGAGCAACTGACACAGACGAGTGTTACAAACAAGCATGAACAACAAAGGTTAATTCTACACAAGAAGTGACACCACCTCCAAACGAAAACAATAGTGAGTAGTGGAACAGTTCACAATTTACTTTAAATCAGTGAAGGTTATGGCGAAACGGGCAAAACGGGGTTGAAGGTTATTTGACAAATAGATAACTGATAACAGAAAATAGTCCTTCAGGATGCAAGCAAACAAGACAGATAGACAGATACAGACATAGTGTGTGGCAACCATTGCGCAACGTTCGTCATCATGATTTTGAAGATGGCTGGGCTGACAAAGTGACGGATTTTCGAATCTAGCAGGGTGCCGAAAATGCAATACCTTTTCTCCGGAACCTCGTCAACGGCTAGCGAGTCTCGTGTCATGCTGTCCTTTGCTTTCACTTTGAATATTCGTCACGAAAACGCGTCGGAAACACGCATGAAAACGACTACAGTTGAAGGTCTCTCCTCTTCTGCGTCCGTCGTCTGCTTGTCCACTCCACATTCGCGTGTAAACCACAACCGCGACCACACGGCTCGGCTCTACTCTAGGGGTCTCAGTGCGCGTCAGCGGATTAGAGCAATTATCTGACGAGGGTCAAGAGCAAATCCTAGTCAGCAGCTTCCCCGCGACTCGACAAGTTGTCGCTGCCCGGCCTCTAGGTTCGCCGAAAACTGTCACAAAAGGGAAAGGACATCGATTCAATTACCAATTCATGGACTAATGCATGACGTGAAAATAACGATCACAGCAGAAACGGCCCGAAACAACAACTAACAACTTCTCATCTTTCTAGCACACCACCGCGCGGTTGGTATGAGAAATCGGGCCGCGGTGGCGCCCCCTGCCGGCCGGCGCGCGCGTTTGAACTTTAGCGCTGCGCTTCTCCATGACTCCATGACTCAGCCTCCGCGCCGCGCTCCTCCCGCGGCCGTCGCGTCATCGCCTAGACGGAGACGAACGGACGCGGTCTCGCTGTCGGACAGCCGGACTTTCTGGCCCAAAGAAGCCCGTTGGCACCGCGCAGATCGAGAAAGGACAAAGATGCGAGGCTGCACCGGGAATCTTCCTCTCCTAGACGCCTCCGTCTCGGCCGTCTCGGCCCTTTTCCACTTCACTCGGGTGTTTTCCTCCAGCATGACTCCGCACCGCTTTTGATGGATGTTCCTGGAGCGCGATGCGAAATGACGAATCCGGAGCGTTTGTACGTTGGGCCCCCCTGGCGGTGTTGTTGTTTGTGACCGCGTAAGTACCATTGGGCTCGCGCTCGACACGCCGTGCACCGTGGTGCGGAGTGATTCCACACAGCACCTCGTTACTCTGTCTCTCTCGCACGAGACGCCCAGCGAGAAGGAGGAGGGCAGTGCGACGGAAAGACACGACTCTACGGAATGAGTCGGCCTGAAGTGGAGGGCCCACTGGAAATGGTAATGGCAGGGTAGGCAACCCGCTGGACGATGCCGTCGTTCAGGGCGGTTGTCTATGGACTTGAACTTGGGAGGCTGTGGGACCAGTCGTAGAACGACATAAACTCAGGGCGAGTACGAAAGAAGCCACCGCGATCGGCAGTCTGTAGCGCCTGGCAGGTAGGCCAGCGGACAGGCCCGCAACGCACCCCTGTGGAGACGGCGGCCTACCTTGCCCCTGCGGAATCAGGGATTTTTCCCCGCGATGCTACTTAGGCTCCAGCTCCAGGGAGCGTTCACCTCCTTCGGCATGCCCCCGGAGGCCTCCAAGACGTTGCACCTGGCCAAAATTTTCCTCCAAGCCGTTTCATTTATTCCTTTCCATTCGGCGCGGCGCCGCTCGTCCTGTCTTTGTTGTCGGCCTCCTTTCAGCCTTGTTTACCGCATCCCTTCGCTATCTCGCTCTCTGTCGCTCTGCCGGCCTCGCCGGACATCGGTCAGTATAAATGATGGCACCGCCCCTGCAGCGTCAACACTCGACTGCAGCTCGTCCGCCGGCCATGTCGTCTTCCGTGGTGAGTGTCTTCTGGACGTCTGGGCCGTTGCGGCCGTCGTAGCATCCGATCTTCGTTTGCACTGACTCGTGCAGACGAAGCGAAGGATCATGGAAGACATTCCGTTATCACGCCCCTTACCGTCTCGCAGCGCACCGCCCTGGTCCTGGCCGCCGCCGTGCTGGCCCTGACCGTGCTGACGTCCTGCCAGGCCTACTACTACGACGACTACGACTACTACGGCCCGTACTACCACCGTCGCTACTACCACCGCCACCACTACGGCAGCGTCGGTGTGGGCGCAGGCTTCGGCGTCGGCGTCGGTGTGGGCGTCGGAGTCGGCGCTGGCTTCGGGGGTGGTTACGGAGGTGGGTACGGCGGCTACGGCGGCTACTACCGCCGACGCTGAGGGCGACGACGAGGCCTATCTCTCTGTCTCCCTCGCACCCCGCTTGCCGGCCCCGGCCGCTGATTGGGCGTGTTAGCTCCAATCGGATCCAGCTCACTGGGGCTCGCTGGCTCGCCTATACGCGTCGATGCACTCGACCGGGTCGAGCAGCGAGCGGCGCTTCAAACTCCAGTGGACACTGTGCGAACGACTGTCCCAAAAGCAGCTGGATGAAAACAAATTTTGTGAAACTGTGATAGGCTTGCCAATAAATTATGTGATTATATATGTCTTCTGCTGATAAAAAAGTTTCAATGAGCCCACCACCTCTAATAGCCCCTGCATTTGTTTGGCGCGGTGTAACAATGGTGATAAAAAAATGACTTGTTCCCTGACGCTAATTGAGTTCTGATGTGGTGAAGAGGCAGTGGACGAAGGGTCAAGAATTGAAACAAAGTTACTTTGGAAGAAATTTTTTATTGACATTATTTCCAGGTACATTTGAGCAAAGGTCAAGTGTGATGAATCTTTCTTCACTTTAACTATTTACACATATAGAGGAGTACAAAATCGTTTGAAGTATTTTAAACATTTTCAGAGTCTTCTAAGACTCCAATGAAAAAGTGTCTAAAATCATTAAAAAATTGTGTTTCATGTCACTTAACAAAACTAACTTAGCGGCAGACAGCTTAGCTAATAAATTAATATTTAAGTACATTATCAAGGCAAAGACAAAATTTGTTGATCCCATTCATTTACAAAACACTGGCTTACTTTGTGCTAACACTTAAACTCAAACAAAAAGAATATTAACAAAACTAAATTTGATGACCAAAACCATTTATCGCAGTAGGTAACATGCACACAACACAATCCCTACAAGGAAAACCTGAGATTTCAATTCTGTAGGCGATAGGAAGCATCTCCTCTTCTAGTTTCTATTCTTACAATATCAGTCCAACAGTACATAAATAGCCTTAGAATTGTAAAATAGAATATGGAAAACATGTACTTTTAACACAGCTCAGGCTTACTTGTGTGAAATTTAATAAGGATAGAAATGGGTAGAAAATGTGAAACCACATTTAAAAAGCCAAATGCAGTTCAACTCTGCCAACAGACTCAGAAAAAAAAATAGAAACATTATACAAATAGTGCACAATTTACCTATGATTAGAATGATTATGCACGTTGTGTATCTTCAAGCCGAAAGAAAAGACAGAATTACAAATGCCAGTCACAAACTTCAATTGTTACAATTATTATGATACTATCACAACAGTAAGCAGTAACAGATAACACAAAGTCGCAAATTTTTTTTTCCCAAAAAAATTAAAAAATCACTCCTGCGTTCTCATAAAATAATAAAACATGGCACAGCCAGGAACACTTGAAATATAGTCAGGACATTGTCAAGTCAATATGCAATAAGCGCTTGTTTCACTCCACCCTTGTGATCATGTTGGTTTGAAATCAAAAGAAGATATTTCTTGTTACATCATAAATAATTAAAAAAAGGAAAACAGAATTGAAAAATAAAGGCTGTGAGTCTGGGGAAGTGAACAAAGCTCAAGCTTCAGATCAGTCCTCCTTCAAATCAACTCCGCTCATGAAGCATCCCTGACTAGACAACTTCAAATGTAGAAACTCTATGAGAGCCATCATTGATATTCAGGTGACAGATTACGTTGGCGAGGGCTGCTGTAATACAAACGTGGATCCCCATACACAGGCTCAGTTTCAGCAAAAGGACTAGACCGAATTAGTGACGTGTTGTTGGGTGACATTCTTGGCGATAAGAAAGTCTGTATGCCAGGAGAGTGACCATGAACAGGGCCTGATAATTTAAAAAAATACATTGATTTTAAAAAAATATATTAACATGTTGCCCTTGCAAACAAACAGAAAGAAAAGAACAATAATTTACCTGATTGAAGGAATGGTTGAGCTGGTGTTCTCATGTTGGGCTGAACAAATGCAACATAAATGTACAAAGTGCCAAGCGACACTACAAATATTGATGACACCATAATGAGTAAGTGTCGATTTGAATATGCTATGTCAACTAAAGAGCTGACTGGAGCCACCATGCATGGAGCACCCCACTGATCTGGATCCAAACGTAGTTTCACTGCAACCTGTTAACAGCATAAATTACAAGATAATTTCAAATTGGCATGAGACATACCATAAAACTGAAGATGACCAAAAATAGAACAACACTATACCTTTGCCGTTTGGTTGGTGAGGAGAGATATCACATTAATGTATTGAATTTCATTCACAGCAGCACTACTCCAAAATTTGCTTGTCAAACTGATTTGATACTCAACACTGAATTCAGTGTTGTATTGCGGTCCGGATACATAGATCAATCCATCATCAATGGGGAGAACCTTTAAAAACAAAGTTTCACAAGCAAGGATTGAGAAACAAGTATGTTTAAACGAGGAGTGATGCTCATGTCGTGTTTCCAACGAGTCGAACTACCTGCAACTGCGCAATGACCTCCGGCACAGCCCTGATCTCGAGTTTGCCGGGCGCGCCGCCGGGAAGGACCACGTCCTGCGTCTCCAGATGGAAGGCCGGCATGAAGGGCAGCACCAGGGGCGCGGACGCGGCGTCGCCGGCCCAGGACGCGGCGCGCGCTCGCAGTGTCACGTTCGTCCTGAGTTGACTCACTTCCGAAGACCGGCCGATGGGCCTCAACTCACAGGCATAGCGACCTACGGCACAGGGGAGCAAATTAATCCGGGCAAGGAACATAACTAACCAAACAAAAGCAAAATTAAAAAAAAAAATTACCAGAAGAAGAATCAAACACAGGTTGAATTTTGAACACATCCGAAATCTGCATTTGGATGCCAGGGCTATTGAACCTCGCCTCACAAGTGAAAGGGAACGAAGATGGAGAGACGACGCCAGGCTGCAGGCAACTGGCCTCCTTGTTTTTAACAAGCACATTACTCGATTTTGTGTCATCGCTCTCGCTGTACAATATCAAATCTACTCTGTACACCTCCTCTGGGTGGGTATCTCCACAGAACAGAGGACTACCCAGGTTATTGACAAAGGCCATCTGGAAAATATAAGACAAGAATTTATAGTGCATGCAAATTTCTCAGTGCAAATGGTTTGCTGACAATTTAGATAACACTTACCGATGATATGGGGCTCACTTCAATTTCTGTGCTTGAGACAACATGGCCGGCAAGATGATATTTTACATACACAGGTCCACCGGGAACGCGAGCTCGGCCCAGACCAGAATCATGATCTACAGACAAAATCTGCGAGTTGTCTGAGGACCACAGGCCAGATTCCCCAGTTGGTAACTCCAGGGGCATAGAAAAGCATACATAATCTCCAACAGCAACTTTGGACTGAAAGAAATCAATTAATAAAATAAGACAACAATAAAACTTGCAACTTAATTTCTATGAATAAAAGAAGGAGGCATACCTTAGGTGGGTAAACAAATTCTTCAATGGGTAGCTTTATGTAATCTGATGCTTGGGATGGTGTTAAGTTATCAGAAATTTTTAGAACAGTCTCGCCAGAGTGAACCAGATTTGAGAAGAAAGTGGAGTTACTGGACAGCTGATCAGCATCAGAAGGCCGTCGCATTTGAACCAAATCAGCACGACTAGCTCTGACATTTACATCTGATCGAGTTGCAGCAAAAACTGATCCAGTATTGTCATGATACGTGACTTCCAACTGTAATTCAAGTCCTTTGGGCAATGCTTTTGCTGGAACACCTGGAGATATGTGCAGAGTTGATCGCACAGTTGTCATGATATAGTGAACAGGTTTGACCTGAAAATAATAATAATGGGAGGACATGAAGAACACTGAATAAAACTCAGTAAATAATTTGAAAGAAGCACATTTCTGTACCTCTACACTCAGCCCAAGAGATTGCCGAACATTAGTTTCATCAATTGATGAAATGACAACTGCAGCTCTTCCAGTGGAAGTGTGAGTTGTCAAAAAGCCATTATTAGAAAGGGTCAAAATTGAATTCTGTTCAGTCCAAGCAGTATTAGTGCTTGGATCACGCACATTCATATCCACATTTGTTGATGTAGGGTGACCCTGCAAGCTAGAAAAACAGAACAGTAGAACAAGAAAGATAAGAAAATTTACCAATTTAAAAAAAAATTAAAAAAAATTAGTAACAAATTAAGTAATACCTGTAAGAGACCCTTGATAATCCATCCCGGTTTGAACGAAGCTGCATTTGAGTTTCTGGTGCAATAAGAAGTCCAGAGAAATCTTTCTCAGCTATTGTGAGAGGTTGAGTGAGTCGAAGTTCTTCATAAATTTCCAGCTGGAGCGTTTCTTCAAAGAGTTCACCCTTCAGAACAAAGGCAGAGGACACTTAGTTAAACCACACACTAGGCGTAACTAACTGAAAAACAAAATTTCAGGCAATCAAGTCTCACCGCAGCAGAGCCCGTCATAGATGCCGGCGCGAAAACAGACAGAGACAAAGTTGTTTTGCCAGGAGATAATGCTCTGATCCGGATTGAAATCCGTTGCTCATCAGTCACCTCCATCCCTGTGTCCACTAAGACATCTATTACTTCTGCAACCTGGAAAGAAGACCATTGTGTAAGGACCAGATTTGAAAAAGAATGGAGGCAAAGGTGCCTTTCTAAGCACTCACAAGTGACACAATTGACACAAGAAAAATCCTCAAGTTACCTCTCGAGAAGACAAATCCCATTCGAATGCCAAAGCTGGTTTTGTTGTACCGAGGACTAGAGGGCTCAAAGGGTCTGGAAGTCCATTTGCCCACACAGGCATGATTGCATTAACTTTAAGGCGAGTCAAAGGAGACTCAATGCGCACACCAGTAAGAGGAACCACATGAACATCAATTGTGTCCTGTAAAAGCAAAATCAAGTAAGCAACAATGCTCAGCTGTGAGCCAAAATGTTATCATCAAACAGGCAATAACAAACCTGAGAAAATACAATTTTGTTGCCAGTAACTTTGCTCACACCAACCGCTCTGCCAGTCAGTTGTGTATATCCAACTTTTTCTCCAACGACAGTTCCTAAATCAGATACTTGGACAAAGCCAGAACGAGAAACTGAAAATTCCAGTTGCAATCCCAGGCTGGGACCACCAGACACTCCCACTGACATTTGACTTCCAACCAAAAGGGTCATGTTACGAGGGTAGAGACGAAGAGGGTCAAACACCTGAAGGAAAAAGAGGATGTTAATAATTATAAAAACCAACAGATCAGAATGACTCAGTTAAAGATCAATCTTCGAAAATCACCTGAATGGACACAGTGGGGCTGCGAACTTCATAGGGTCCATAGCCAGTAGTGAAATGAAGAGAGGCATCACCAAGAGTCAGCCCTTGAATTATGAAACGGAATTCTCCTGGTGCTGGCGGTCCCTTCACACCCAAAAGCTTGTCGACATTGGGATCCGATTGGTATTCCTTAATACTAATAATAGAGAAAGAGCTGCCTTCCAACTGAGGGCGCAGTTCCAACTGGGACAAATCTGGGAGCTACGGGCCCACAGAATGCAATTAGACAAGACACTTCCAAAATTCATTATTGTATAAATTTCTTAATGGCATAACTTACTTGGAGGGGATTACCCATAGTGTCCATGATATGAACAGTGCACAATGTTTGCTTTCCTCTTTGCAAGTAGTCTGCCACATCAGGAACTAGACTATGAACACCGACAACTGTGATGGAGACTATTGCAGGCCTTGACGGCAAACATAAGTCCACTAACCCAAACCGTGTAACACCAGTTGATATTGGTCTAACTTCTAGGGTCTGGGAATGTTCCAAGTAACGAACACTAGCTACATCTTGACTTTCTAGCTGCGGTTCAAAGAATCCAGACCCCTGACTCACCTGTGAGCAACGACAAAAATACATTTGAGATCTGCACACATGACATTGATGTTTTTCCATACCATTAAAAGTACTTACATGGAGAATTAATTGGCTATTAGGATGGTTGAAGAGTGTGGTTTGGTTTGGGGAGACTAGAGTATCGCTTACAAAAAGCAAGCTTAGAGAAGCTCTGATGTCTGGAGTAACTGAGCCTTTTTCTCCTTTGATGCCAAACGGAGGCCACTCGGGTGTGATCTGTTTAGGTCGCAGCACAGCTGACCTGTATCCAGTCAACCGAACTGAGACATCGACAGCTCCTGTTTCTCCGAATGGTTGTACAATCTGTGTTTCAAAAAAATCACAAATATAGAAAGTTGTAGAGAAAACAAAGATAAACTGCCTTCTAAAATATTCTCTGTTACCTGATAGTATCGCAATGGTAAAATGAGTCCGTTTTCTTCAACATGCTCAGCAAAAGTGCCATCCTTGTTGGAAAACTGGCTTAGACTGTTGGGGCTGGCTGTCCATTCCATATGAATGGAAGATACATTGTCAAAAACCCTGCCATGAACATCAGTCACTTGAAGTTCTAGTTGCAAGTCCCTAGAGCTTTGAACAGCAACTCGTTCAGCATTCACATTCATTGGACACGATGAATGTTCATCAGTTTGAAGAACAGCTTTCAAGGATGCAAATCTCGGTTTCGCACAAAACACTTTAACCTGATAAATGAATAAAGGTAGATATTTAAAAAAATTATAGTTGTAGATTCATTTGGATTCATCCATTTATGCCACAAGAACCAAAACTGCTTACAGAAGCTGATGATTGAATTCTCTCTCCAGATCTTCCTTCACTGAACACTGAGAGAGTAACTTTAGTTTCTCCTAAAACTCTGCAGAGTATAGTGTAAACATATCTGTCCCGAATGTCCGTTGATAAATTGGGCATTTCTGCAATCTGTAAGAAAAGGCAATAAAGTTGCAAACATTTTCAGCTCAGTGTTAACAGGCCTTGCAAAAAAGTCACCTTGTATTTACCTCTAAAAGTTCCTTCTTAGCTTTGGCATCTCCTTGTGCCATGCTCTTTCCGTGTTCGGCCGCACGGCCCGGCCAAGGCCGAGGGCCACCCACAAAGACCAGTTGCCTGGAGGTTCCAAGTGCCAGAACGGTCTCTGCAGAGGGTGGATGGAGGACTGTCAGGGGGCGGAACGCTGCCACCATAGCGCTATCCTCCAGGAAAATGTCACCCTCCCGGTATGACACAGTTACCTTAAGAACAAGTAATTTGAAGAGTTAAAATGTTTTCTAAACTATCTATTTAGAGGTCATCAATATCCAAATTTGAAAATTACCCTTGCAGACCCAAACGATTTCCCTAAAATGGGAACAATGGTGCAAGCACCATCTATGAGAGAACCCTGCAAAGACTCCTCTCGGACAAAATTATCATCAGAAATTGTCACTGTCAGAGGCAAGTCCTGACACATTGTGAATGGGATTTGTTCCGTATCAGAGACTGCTTTAGCAAATATGGCTATTTGTAGGTAAATAGGTGCTCCAATTTCAGCTTCAAGACCTGCATCTAAAACAAACAAAATCAAACAAATGAAAACAAAATGCTCATCCCAAGGAAGAGGATGCAGTAAGATGAAAAAGGACGTTTTGAGCATACCTAAAATAGCTAGTCTGCTAGGGGGAAGAACAGTGACTGAAGATGTGGCTTGATTATGTGGGTTGTTCAACATAACAGCAGTGATGGTTGACTGGCCAAGAGTCAAAGTGCGAACCAATCCAGAAGCAGAAACTGTTGCTACAGATGTATTTCCACTGCTCCAAATAAAAGCACCATCTCCTCCCTTGCAAATTAGAGGCACTTCATACCTTCAACATAACAATAATAAAATAAGAAAACTGTTTGTTTGAAAGACAAGTGAAAATTCAAGTTCCTTTGGAGAGCTGCTGGTTACCTAGACCGAAGACGAGGGTCCCAGGGCAAGACAACATTTTTGGGATGAATTTCCATCCTAGGATAAATGAGCATGTCTTCTTCTGTTGATACCTTATCGAGTAAAGGGTATTCAGTTCCACTGGGAGACACAACACCTGTCAAGACTGCTTGAACACGAGCAGTGCCAGGTTTCACTGCCCGTCCTACATTGTAAGTCCCATTTAAGGATGTAGATTCAACAAGAAAATGCTCCTTGGGTACAGTTACATCTACTCGCCCGCCATTGATGTAAAATTTGTGATTGGACCTGATATGATAATCATAAAATGAACACCAGTGACACTTTAAAGAAAGTATTTGAGAGAGATGTTGACTATCCTTACCTATCAAATACCTCAACCGTAATAGCGTGAGTGTCCTCCACAAGGACTGACCAATGACGATGAGGCAATAACACAAGGTGGATGAAAGCTGGGAGGGCAACATTAAGAGTGGCCTGAGGGACTCGAACTCCAGACACATTAGGGTCAACATTCTTGTCACGGAGAGAAACTTTAGTACGACCAACAACCAAAGCATGTGCCTCTGAAGAATAAGAATCAATACTGGCAATTTCACTGTCTTCAATCTCCAAATAATACTGCTGAGAAGGAAGTTGAATCTCATGGATTCTACCATGGCGGATCTACAGAAAAGGGAACGCAGATGTCATAAAACAAGGAATGAACAGATGATTTCAACAGTAGTTTCATAAGTTAACTACCTGAAGGATCCTATACTTAATGGTATCACCCGGCAGTAAGTACACATCAGCTGGATCTATCAGTAAATTGGCTACAACCATCAATTGGACTTCAACTGGATTAATATGAGCATATTCCTTTTGAGGAAGCTTGACTGACACCTGAAAACAAGCACAAATCAATGAGCCATCTTTAAAACATCTAAATTGAATTGCCAACTACGCAATTTATTATATCCTTACCTTAGCAGTTCCTGTTTTGATTCCTTCCAATAGTATAATATGTCCTCTTACACCAATTTGATCAAATTGAGCAACACTAGGAGGGGTATCATAAGGAGATTCTTTAAAAGTCATGAAGCTTACAATTCCACTAGTGCCGACAGAAGAAACAACCCAATCCATTTCCACCCCCAAGAGGGTTGTGAACTGGTTTCCTAAGAAGACAAGATGTTTCAGTTAGCACATAAGAATTAGTATGAAAAAATGGAGGACAAGATAAAATATTTTTCAAAATATCATTGAAAGGACACCTTTCAACCTGAAGTTTACCTTGGTCATCATACGCGCTCACTTCAAACCGCTGAGGAGCTTCTTCAACATATAGTTCTCGGGTCCTAGTAACAATTTGCAGGGTGTCAATGACATCGACATCTACATCACAGGGGATAATTTGTCGAGAGCGAACTTCTTCTGCAAAGACAACCACAGTGTTCCGTTTCCTTTCTTTGGTGATGGGTGAGAGCAGCACTTGGGTAGAGCACTGAGTGCCCGGCTGCACATTTACTGGGGTTAGCTGAATTACATCTTCACGAGACAGAGTCCTACAATGAAACAAGCGGGAAAGAAAGGAACATTAGGAGCGTCGTACATTTTACCAAAATTAGCATGTACAATTTGTAGGTTATAGTGTCTATGGGTGGCCAGATCCTTTGCAACCGAGGTACAATCGAGACAAGTCTGACAGCAGCGGAAAATGGCACCGTTGAAATGGCGTAATAAACAACATAAAGCATCCGACTAACCACTTATAACAGCCACCATCAGTGACTTCTAGAGTAAAATTGGTAGAAACATCATTGAATAGGGGAAGGAGGACTCTTGGAACATTCAGCTTTGACGAGTCCACCAAAACAGCACTGAGTAAAACTACGACACATGCGCCAAAATTAAAGTGCGCCATGGTAATAAAACTATTGGCATAGCGGTAAACGGACAAATGTTGCGAAAATTAGACACGACAATGCACACACGCTTTGAACATTTTCATTCTGTTGTGATCCCGCCCGGCACCTCTTACGCAGAACAGCCAACACAAAATTTGTATTTAAAACATGAACAAGGTGCAACAAAATCAGATTTCACAACAGAAAATTGTCTAAACAGAACACAAAACAGTGTTTTATTCACAATGTTTGTCGCAGAACAAGCCTTTTCATTGAGACGTGATTTTGATAAATAAGTTGGTACTCTGAACGTTTTCCGCGACTCTCAGATTTAAAAAGAGTGCCAGAGGTGCAAGACACCTGGGGAAAGCCGGGTAATGTAAAGGCTAGAGCCCGGTTGGGCCAGAAGAACGATAACCCGATAACTCAATCAAATATACCTATACCCTGTTTCCTGGGTCAATTTACGAGGGCTCCGTGCGATCCAATGAGGGTGGCTTGGTTGCCTACCTGTCGGTGCGTAGGAGCAAAACTATGAATACATATCTGTGTCGCCTTTTAATAACGCTATGCACCATAAAATTGGACGAAATAGCGTTGTAGAGAAATGTTGGCCCTCACAAGCATGAGACCAGCATAAGCGTTCATGGGAGACGCATGAGACTCATGGGTCTCAAGACACGCTGCGATGGTAGGTAGTCTACCAAAACCAAAAATATGCAATAAATCAAGGACCCACCCTGCCAGCCCTGCCTCGTCAGGTCGTAAAGGGAAAAGTTCTTTCCCAAGAATTCTTACCTTCACTTCGGCGCAAGACTCTGTCCCTCCTGCATCATTCCCGCTCCTTCCCGTAGCTGTCATCCCGAATCTTCTCCAGCCCCCGCGTCGAACCGCGGTGCGGGTCGTCTCCCTCACTCCCCCCTCCACCGGCCGACTAGAAGCATCGCGGCCCTTCCCCACCCTTCCCTGGTTGCGTCCCGAACCTTCTCCGCGCTCCGAGCATGGCCCAGCGGCTGGTGGGGAGTCCCCCCACCACCGCGACCGCACCCCGGCGAGGCCCGACTTATAAAAGCGATCGCGCCCCCGTCCCCACCATCAGTTGATCCCAAGCGACCGACGAGTGAAGAGTGATCCTTGACTGCTAGTCAGCACTACGCCCAGGACTTCCCTAGTCTGATTCCGTCGTCTTCATCGAGAGTTCGTGAACCAGTGTTGTGTTCGAGTGATTGCTGTCGATCACCGTGCCTGTTGAAGCCAGCTGTTCCGTTCCTTCTTGCAAACCTCCGACGTTCAAAGGTAAGAATGCAAAGCAACGCAAAGCTGTGCAGCCGGCTGCCGGCTGGGCCTAGTTGATGTTGGCGCACCCTGTGCCATTGTGAGTGCTGTTCCTGTTGAAATGCGCGAAAGTAAGTGAGCAACGTTTGGCACTGAGGATTCTTTGCCGAGGCAAGTTGGCCGACAGCCGACAGCCGAGGCTCGCGATTGCGATGCGAAATACAGTCGGACGCGGTGATTATCCTAGTATGAAAAGATTAGGACAGGTGTATAACGCGGGCTTTACAAACAGGCTGAAACGTCGCGCACCATACAGTTCAGCGTTCGCCGTTCAGGGCTGTCAAAGTTGTCACTAAAGGCACCTTGACTTTCGTGTACTTTCCCTGTAAAATTTTCAGACGAGTAAAACGAACGACTTTCTGTTTCCAGATGCTTCCCTACATCCTGAGCGAGCTTCGCGACCTGTCCTTCGACGAGGAGGAACCTCGCCGCTTCCAGGGCTACCAAGGCCGTCATGGTCACCAGGGCCACCAGGGCCACCACCAGGGCTACCAGGGTGACGTCGCCGACCTCCTCAACGAGCTGCTGCTGCATCGCCCCGTGGCCCGCGCCAGCTTGAGGCCCGGCGTGGTGCGCCTGGTGGACGCCAGCGCCCCCGAGCAGCGCGAGCGCGCCGTGCGCCGCCAGTCGTACCCCGGCCGCCCCAGCATCCTGCAGCTGCTCAAGAGGGAGCTGGGCGAGATGTCGCGCCCGGACGACGGCAAGAACGCCTTCATCGTCAACGTGGACGTGCAGGACTACCGGCCCGAGGAGCTGTCAGTGCAGGTGACCAAGGACGACGGCTACGTCGTGGTGGAGGGCAGCCACGAAGAGCGCCCCGACGAGCACGGCCTGGTGCGCCGCCAGTTCACCCGCCGCTACAAGCTCCCTGACGGCGTGGACCCGGACTCCATCAAGTCCAAGCTCACGGCCGACGGCGTGCTGCAGGTGTCGGCCCCGCTCAAGGCCTTGCCTGCCCCCGACGAGAGGGTGCGCCAGGTGCCCATCACCTGCAGCAAGCAGCCTTTGCTGCAGCAGCACCCCGAGGAGGAGAACCAGAGCCACGCCGAGGAGGACAAGCAGGCCGGCGGCGAGGACAAGGCTCAGGCGCAGAACGAGTCCTGAAGAGTGAAGAGCGGAAACCTACAGACCGTAGTGTCTTTCAGCGATTGCCATTTCAGAGTTCTCTTTCTAGTGCCGCTGAATTTGCAGATCTCAGTTTATCTGTATTGTTCCTTTCCCTTGAGACTGATTACTTCATGTATTATTTAAGTGTTAGATTGTGGCATCAGAAGTAGGTTTATTTTTGCCTTATCTCACCAGTAGAATGAGTCTTAAGTTATTTTTAGTTGTTTAATTGTTCTTTGCTACATTAAAAGGAATTTCTAAAAACTACAAAGGTCTTTCTCTTTCACACATGCCATAATGCCATTTGACACTTTACAAAGTTTGGAGAAGTTATGGAACTTTAGGTTAGATACTGTGCTACTGCACTGGACAACAATTTCGGAAACTGACAGAAAATTCAAACAACTCAATGAACACACACACAACAAAAAAATCACTCATTCAACCTTTGATACTTGACCACATTAAGTAAACAAAGGTAAAGTAAGAATAGGATAATTATCGATTAGCAAAACCATGAGCTATACAATTCATTGTATTTAATTGCTAATTTTAAAATCAATTTTCATGTTGGTACAATGCATGAGAAAGAATGGCTCTAGAATGACACAATATTCTCTTTCAGGGAATCGTACACAGTAAATTCTTGATTACGAGTTAGAAAAAGATATTGCATCCCAATAATTTAAAATGAAAATATTAAGACACAGAGCTAAATTAAAATCTAAGGCATGTATTTATCTATTGTGGTGTACCAGGCCTGGATGGTACGAGGATGCGGTACAGCACCTCTCAGCTTTTGCCTTATGTATGAATAAGCTGGTTGAGAAAAAAAATGCAAACTTAATGAAAATGACCTAACTAAAGCCTTGAACTGTTTTTTTTCTACCTTCACCAGTCTCCTCAAATGATTGTAATTTTTTTCAGCCACCTCATTTTGAAACATACTTAATGCTTCCTGAGGTGAAAGATTGATGTTGTTCAGTACTTTAAGAAGGATATATCGCATGGAATTTAGTTCTGGCTCCTTCACAGGATCATTCTGAAACCTTTTGCAGAGATCATCAACATGAATTAACAAACCTCTGATGCTTCTTTTCAATTGCACCTTGTTTAAATACTCTTCCTCTTCAACTTTCATGTAATTAAGAACATCTGATAAACTTGAGCCCTGAGAACAGAGTAAAAATTGGTCAAAGACTGGTTAGATAAAATAACAAAGACAGTATTTTAAAAACATTAATAAAAAAGAAAAAAATTTAAATGCAGAGTATGGAAACTAAGGCACTTACATTAAATTTTGTTTGAAGATTTGATTGTAGGCTTACAGAGGGCTTCGGAAGAATGGGTTTGGCTGTTGCCGACCACGACGATGTTTCTGATATGGCGTCACAGGATGGCCGAAGGGTTGAGGAAGGCACCTGTTGAGAAGAACAAGGAATATAGCACTAATCACTAATAAACACAGCCATTAAAAAAATAACAATGCCAAATCAAAAGAGATCTTACCAGATCTGGTTCTAACGTTGGTACGGCAGTCCTTAGTAAACGCGATCTCCTCCTCCCATTGTTGAAGAAGTTATGAGATGCAAAATGCAGCGTACAAACCCTAGACTTAGCCCCTGGTCTCCAAGTACTACCTTTACCCTTGACAAACTCTATCCACAGAGGCTGCCTTCCGTCTTTGTCATCAGGAAACCTTAAAAGAAAAGAAATGAAAATAATAAATAATGAAAGAGCATGGTTTTTGAAACAAATTCACCATCCTTTAAAAATAAAGTAAAAATTATGTTGCCACTCAAAAATACACTGAGCCATGGGAAGTGTACAAACTCGCACAAATAAAAAGTGTTTCTGCCTCGAAAAAGAAGCACGTCGACTAAAAAGTTGCTCAAACAGGTAAACAAAGGGACCTTTAACCTAACGAAACACTACGAAAAACTTACGGAACTAGATAGCAATCGACTGGCATCTGAAATTCGGCAGAGCGGCAGCTTCCAACCTCGCACTTTTTCGCCATCGTCTATTCTCTTGAGATTTTAAAGAATCTTTCAGATTGCGTATTGTTTCGTTATTCGCTTTATAAGCAAACGCATCCGGCACGCTTCTCGCGCGGTGGGTAGATAGACAGACAGACAGACGGGTGGACAGGCGGACGGATGTTTTTGTTGACGTCCTTAGTTTGCGATGCGGCCACCGGCAGCAGCAGCGCCGTCTCTCTGGAGCCCTCTGCGCGCTGCGCGCCTGTGGGGCAGGCAACCCATCCGGCAGCCGTGCACGACGTGAGGCACTGTAGCGTAGCAGGCGGCTTGGCTTTTGCGAACAGAATGCCGTCCAAACACCGCATTCCCCGACGCGATCGACACAGACACAGGCCAGGACGAGCTGGGCGAGCTGGACCGGGCCACCGGGTCATGCAGAGTATAGACAGTAGACGGGGTTGTTGGAGCCCTACCCCTTCGCCGGTCTCTAAGGGTGGTCACGGGCTTGAAACGGCGGGGCGCGGTTTGGTCCCTCTGGACACAGGTGAGTAAAGCGATGCTCACCGCGATCGCGGCCAAAATCTTCACCTTGACGCCGAGACGCCGCCGCATCCGCTGATTTCGTGTGCAGGTGTGTGTGCATGGGTCTGGAAGTTTGCTTTTGCATGAGAGCCTGAGATTTTCCTGTTGCCTCCAGGTAATCCAAGCGATGCGAGACAACAAAGGCGAGCGTCCCGCACCACCTTATCAAAACGACTACAAATGTCAGAGAACTTTTTGAGACCAAAATTATGCTTGATCCCCCTTTCCTATTTTGAGACCTGGAGCCACCCTTTTCTGCAATGATCTCCAGACAAAAGACGAACCCTGGAGCAACTTCTGCTGCAAGACTGATTCCGAGAGTCGTTTTCGTCGTTCTATCTCTCTCGCACTCACGGAACGTTTCCAAGGACGCGAGAGAGAGCGGAGCGACGAATACCGACCTCGGATCAGACGCAGTAGATGCTTAAAGTCGGCCCAAAACACGATTTTTTAAGACATTTGTGACCGTTTTGATCAACTTTGCGGCAATACTGCTCCCAAACTAAGGCAGATAATCGCACTCCATAACAAAGGCATGCTAAAGGAGGGGTCGCGTGGGGTCGCGAAATTTTTCCTGGGGGTCGCGGAAAGTTTTGGCTACAAATTTGGGGTCGCGAACCGCAAAAGGTTGGGAACCGCTGGTATAGACAGTAGACGGGGTTGTTGGAGCCCTACCCCTTCGTCGGTCTCTAAGGGTGGTCACGGGCTTGAAACGGCGGGGCGCGGTTTGGTCCCTCTGGGCACAGGTGAGTCGATGCTCACTGCGATCGCGGCCAAAATCTTCACCCTAGACCTTGACGCCGAGACGCCGCCGCATCCGCCGATTTCGTGTGCAGGTGTGTGTGCATGGGTCGGAAAGTTTGCTTTTGCATGAGAGCCTGACGATTTCCTGTTACCTCCAGGATAATCCAAGCGATGCGAGACAACAAAGGCGAGCGTCCCCGCACCACCTTATCAAAAACGACTACAAATGTTAGAGAACTTTTTGAGACCAAAAAAATATGCTTGATCCCCCTTTCCTATTTTTGAGAACCTGGAGCCACCCTTTTTCTGCACATGTCTCCAGACAAAAGACGAACCCTGGAGCAACTTCTGCTGCAGACTGATTCCGAGAGTCGTTTTCGTCGTTCTGTCTCTCTCGCACTCACGGAGCGTTCCACACAGGCGCGAGAGAGACGGAGCGACGAAAACGACTCTCGGAATCAGTCTGCAGGACGCGGAGCTCCACGGGCATGCGGGGCGGGGCGGGCCGGACCTGGAGATCCTCCCGATCCGGTTCCCGCGGCGTGCCGGCGTGCTCTGCCGCTGTGCCGCTCTGCGATTCTCGTACGCCCCTTTCGAGAAAACAACGCCAACAAAAACAGCCCATGACGCCGAATAAAAAGCACCTGCGCGAATAGCCCAGGCCGCCTCTTCATCACGCTGTGTGTGTGTATGTGTGTGTGCCCCTTTTGACACTTGACAGCCGCCTGCGAGGTAGGCAAGTTGTGAAACATTTCACCTGAAGGCAGGCAAAAAGCGCGACTTGACCCCTCCCTTTCAAAATTTCTGCGCACGCCACTGGTGTGTTTTGTGTGTGTGTGCAGAGAGGGGAGAGGTTCCCACGTTGACATGCATCGCTCGTAGTGACACGCACGCGCGCGCGCACACACACACAGACGCGCACACGCCCACCCTGTCCGCCTCGCCACGCCGGGCAGTTGGCAAAGGCGACTTAGTGACTGGAGTTTTGGGAGAGCGGCCTGATTGTCCTGGATGAATGGTGTCCGTGGCGGTGCGGCGCGGTGCGGCGTGGCCGTGGCCTTGGAGCCGAAGCGAAGAGTGATGGCGTGATGGGCCAGCTGCTCATTTCAGCCTCAGCATGCCCTGGTCGCCCTGGCATGCCTCAGCCTGGACCTACCTGTGCGTCTCAGAGTGGACCCACCCGCGCGTCTCAGCCTGGGCTTACCCGCGGCGTCGGCGATGCGCTTGCTGGGAGTGCTGGGGCTCGAGGTACCGCCGAAGGGGCATCTTATTGATCGCACCGCGCTGCAGACTCATTCCGAGAATCGCTTTCCGTCGCTCTGTCTCTCTCGCACCTGTACGGGACGAGTGCGAGAGAGACAGAGCGACGAAAACGGCTCTCGGGATGAGTGGCGGCCCCTCGCCACACAAGTGGCGAATGCTAATCGAGACGATGTCCGTACGTGGCCTGTCGGTGGCCTGCGTGCCGCGGCGTGCCCCCCCCCCCCCCCCCCCACGCCCACGCCCCGCGTGGACCCTGATGGACCACGCCCTGCGGCTCTACGGCCCCGCGGTCCCGCGGTCTGGGAGTCCGTGCCGCAGACGAGCAGACGAGCAAGTGGTTTTCTCCTCGTCACGGGGACATAGTATTGATTTTTGCCTGCCTTCCAGGCGGCCCAACTCGCACCCAAGGGAGGGGTAATTACCCCCTTCCCCTCCGAAACAAAAAGAAAGACGCCTGGAAGACACATAACCCGTTCAAGATCCACCGCAACGATTACCTGTATCGCGGACCCGAAAGGCAGGGTATTGCGTGAGCTGAGGAGGGGGGGGGGTACCACGCCGACGCGTCGCGTCTCTGCCGGCGAACCTGACCAACGGCGGCCACGGCCAAGGCCAAGAAGTGCAGGAGCAATGCACCGCGTGCACGCCGCCGTCGTGGGGCAGGCCTGCGGGGCAGGCTTCGGCAGGCTGCGCCGGGAACAGGTTCGGGTTCGCTGACTCCGCCAGGCTCGGGGCTGGAGGAGGCAGGTTGCAGTCGCTGCAGTGGCTGCAGTGCCTGCCCTGCCTGGGGGCGCGGGGGGTGCAGCAGTGCAGCAGCCCGAGCCCTCTAGGTTCTGCAGGCGACCGCGGTGGCGCGGTGCACGCCGGGAAGGTATAAAAGCCCTCGCCGTCGCCCTGGTCCTCACAACGCTGTGATCTCGAGCCCAGCCAACATCATGAAGGCCTGCGTGAGTACCTAGCTGCTGACGGACGCTTGTGCCGCCCCTACGGCCTCACTTTCTTCCAGTCACTTGTGTGTCTGTCTCTGTTAGTGATAATTGTGTGTGGAGTGAGGGGAGGGGAGGGTGTGCGCGAGTCGCGAGTGGTGCGTGTGTGTCAGGCTTGCTGGATGGGTGAGCGTAGGGTAACGTGCTGAACATGAATCAATGTTCCATACATAGATCACTGCCTGTTATTTCCTATCTGGACATTCAGCTACTCAATTTTGTTCATCCTTCCATAGTGACCCATGTTTGGAACAGCGATTCATGATTGGTACGTTAACCCTGAGAGTGTGCCCCGAAAAACGAGAGCTGGAGAAATGACTGTGCTTCGTCTTGCAGGTGATTCTCCTGGCAGTGGTGGCCGTCTGCGCCGCGATGCCCCGCCCGGGCCCCCCCGCGCCCCCCGGCCCCCCCATGGCGCCCCCCATGACGCCGCCCATGACGCCCCCCGTGGGCACCCCGTCGGAGAAGGGCGACCTGAAGGGCGAGGAGGCCCTGTACCTGGCCAGCCCGTACTCGGCCTACTCGCTGCCCTACTCGATGTACAACTACAACGCCCTGCCCAGCCTCGGCTACCAACCCAGCTTCCAGTACGGCAACCTCGGCTACCAGTACGGCTACCCCTACTACTACTAGCGTCCTCATCGTCACCGCCCCGCGACCCTCCGAAAGACTGACTCCATTTCGCGCAACAAGACAAAAAGGAAATGTGCAATCGATTTATAAAAAAACAAAACTCAAGCAATGAATAAACTATTGAAAAACACACCATCATCTCTTGTCAATGTGTTGCACTCCGTACTCTGTCCGCTTGTCACAGTCAAAGCTTGTGAAAGTCAATTAAAAATCCACCCACTATCAATCAGGGCCAATCTATTTGAAACGACGACGCCATGCGGCGGGAGACCGTCGTTGGAGAAATAATTACAAAAATAAAAAAAAACATTTTTTCTAATTTGCAATAATTTTGTTCTTTATTTTTTTCACGATAGACGATGTAGGCAAAGATTGTCAACGCGATTGTTTCCGATCCTGAAAAGGATGCGGGCAGGACGGAACGGGATGAAAATACTTTCATGAAGTTTGTTTGGAAGCCTTCTTAGTACAAATGCCGCGTTACCTTCAGGATTGGCTTGGAAGCTCATTCAGAGTGCAAGTTGTCCGATCGAACTGGGCGAGAACGAGGCAGTTGCTGAGGACGAGTAAAATGGCCTGGAAAAGAAGTGTGTTTAAGAACCATGGTTGGAGAGTTACGCGGCAAAAACAAGTGCTGGTCTTCCCTAGAGGCTTCAAGACAATGGCGATTTACAAGGAGTCTTTGGGAAAACAAGGAACTGTTTTTGCCGTGTTACGAAAAGAGAGACGATCGAGTGTCTAAACACATGACAGTGCAGTTTTGTCGGATTGGCACTGGACTCGGTTCTCACCGCTTGCATGGTGGTCAGGTCGAAATTGAACATGCCGGCTGCGGTGCACTTGTGGTCGAGTAGACGGACTTGAAGTATACAGCCCCTCACCTGAATTGCACAAAAATGGATCCGGAGTACAGGCCCGAGGACACTTGATTTCCCACAATTTTGGTCCCAAAATCGTTGCGGTCAAAGGCAAAATCGTTGTGGTCAACGTCTTCCCGATACAGGGCATGAAAGAGTAGGGTCTTGAGAATACTAGGACGTCGAGGGAGGCCTTTTACGGCAACTAGATTGGACACAGTGGCCGCCCAAAGTCAGCAAAATCAGCAAATTTCCGAGATTCGACCACTTTTTGACCAACTTTGGTCCCAAAATCGTTGCGGTCAAAGGCAAAATCGTTGCGGTCAACGTCTTCCCGATACAGGGCATGAAAGAGTAGGGTCTTAAGAATACTAAGACGTCGAGGGAGGCCTTTTACGGCAACTAGATTGGACACAGTGGCCGCCCAAAGTCAGCAAAATCAGCAAATTTCCGAGATTCGACCACTTTTTGACCAACTTTGGTCCCAAAATCGTTGCGGTCAAAGGCAAAATCGTTGTGGTCAACGTCTTCCCGATACAGGGCATGAAAGAGTAGGGTCTTAAGAATACTAGGGCGTTACAGTACTTCCTGCACTACTTCCGGGGGGATGCTGCTGCTGGTGGCGAGGAAGCTGTTCAGGATGTGCGAGAGGGCTTCGTGCTGCAACGCAAAGCCTTCGTCAAAAAAGAGAAAAAACACCACCCAAGGAGAAGGGTGGTCAAAATCAAGTCAAAATGGCGGCAGAATGACACTCGCCTCGGCGTGGACCCACTGGCACAGGAAGAAGAGGGCGGCCAGACGCACCGCCGTGACCGCGCCCCAGACCGGGTCCGCCGTCAGGGGCTCGGACATTGTCACGGACATCATGGCGTAGAACGAGAAGGCGGAGTCCACGACGTCGCCCAGGACGACGGCCGCGTTCTGGACGCCGAACGCGCTGCACATGCTCATCTGCAAGGGGATGCGATAAGCAGCTGGATTCGGGTTAGAAGTGTTTGCACGTCACTAAGGGTGGTGGCGGTACTGGCCTGCACGTCGCGCAGGAGGGCCTGCCGGACCCGCAGCCCCCGCCACGGCCCAGGCCCCCCAGGCCCCCCAGGCCCCCCAGGCCCCCCAGGCCCCACAGGCCACGCGCTGACTCTGGGGCCGGCGGCAGAACTCCCCGCGCCCGCCTCCTGGAGCACGGCCTGCAGGGCGTCCTCCACGAGGAGCACGGCGTCGTCGCGGAGGTCGGCGCCGAGCGCCCAGAGCGTGGCCGCCTGGAAGGCGAAGACCCCCGCCAGGGTGGCGGTGATGCAGACCGAGAAGGCGTCGCAGCTGTTGTTGGGCAGGCTTTGGGTGAAGTCGTAGAGGTGGTGGAGGATGACGGCCGCGAAGAACAGCGTGAACAACGAGAAGGCGGCGCTGGCGGCCGCGACCCGCTGCAAGGCGCGCGACGACGGGCCGCCGCGCCGCAGCGAGTGCCTCATGGCGTGCTGCAGGCCGAACACCGCCACCAGCACCTCACGGCGCCGCCACAGCGACACCGCCATCGCCGCGGCCGCCAGCAGGGCCTTGAACACCAGCATGCTGTTGCGCGCCTTCTCCACGAAGATGAGCTTCGCGTAGTCGCCCCTCAGCACCCGGTCCAGGTTGATCGCGGCGCACACCGCCGGCAGCAGCAGCGTCGCCAGGACGCTGTACCTGCAGAGGTGGCCAGCCGAACGCGCTAAGTCCCAGGAAGAGCACCACTTCACGCCACACTAAAAGACTCTGAATGCCATTGCGTCCATGGTGAATTCGACACTGTAAAAAGTTAATTGGGGGACTCACCGTAGCCAGGGCGTCGAGGCGGCCGGCGCCTCGCAACCGCCAGCCGAGAGCGGCGCGAGCGGCGCCATGCCGAACACGCGCAGCGCGCTCAGCCAGCACCGCCAGCTCCACTCGGCGAAGCGCCCCCAGGACGACGTCCCCCCGAAGGACGCCTCCCCGGCCGACGCCCCCGCCGACGTCCCCGCCGACGCCATCCTCCTCCTCCTCCTGGCGGTGGAGGCGGCGGCCGACGCGCGTGCACGTGTCTGGGGTGCGGGCAAACGAGTGGCGATGAGGCGGCGGCCGGCACCAGGCCGTCCTAGGCCGTCCCAGGCCGTCCCAGGCCGCCCTGGGCCTCCCTGGGCCGCCCTGGGCCCTTGGCTCACTTAGGCCTCTGGCTTCGGCCTCTGGCCTGCCCCAGTCTAATACGGGGTTCGCGATCGAACGGTGGCGGTGGTAATGAGCTTAGTCCTTAATAAGCGCGCACACCGTAACGGCGACCGCGACCGCGACACTCGTAAATCACGAGGACAATCTAGTCCTGAGAAAACGGGAGAGGGTTCGGGAGTCGGTTTGTTGAGTGCCACGCGACCAGGCAACTTAGTGCGTGTCTTGTGGTTGACTAAAGCGTAGATCCAGAGGCAGTGGTTCAGCCCGGTGAGGTGTGTGGCCCGGGGGAGGGGGTGTGTGCTTGTTAAGCAACTCCGTATAACCCAAGAAGAGCAATTTTTCTATTGTGACCCGCCTCAATGCGGCCCTGTTAGGAAAATTGCCCTTGTCGGGGAGTCGGACGGAGACACCTGTGAAGTCGATAAGAAAGCTGTCGGCTCTTCCCGTCCCCACCCTTCTCTATCCGAGGGGAGCTCACAGTACAATTTGGTGCTCGACGATTGTGGGAATGTGGAGGCACGCGCAAGATTTCTGCTGTATTTGCCACTAGTTTTGCCTACCTCCAGACGTTTTATGGAATATGTCCATATTTCGTACAATGTATGTTCGCCCCTCGCCGTGCTTTTCTGTCCCTGCCCGTCCTGCCGCCGGACTCGCTGATGTTATCGTTATCGTCCGTCAAAACAGTCTGAACGACCTTCTCTGCTCCCCTGGGGCTTGGCTGGCTTGGCGGGCTTGGCGGGCGACTCTCGCGGTGACTCTCGAATATCGAACGGGGCCCTTCACGATTCACTCACCTGATGATATCGACCGCGGCGCCGTGAACAACCCCAACAGGCGCCGGGGGTGCACGGGGTGCACTGCAAGCCGCGGCACTGACACAATGGCCGTGGCCGGGGATGGCGGCCACGGTGGCGGCTCGTCGCGGGTGAGGTGCTGGTCGCCCTGGTGTCGGGGCCGTCGGGGTGGCGTTGGCGGCCCGGCCAGCCCCTGCTGGGCCAGGCTGTGCACGCTGCTGTGGCGCACCATCCTGCTGCTGCTCCTCACCGGCGGCCACCACTGCGGGACTGCGTGGCCGCCGAGGCCCTCGCGCGGCTGGACGCGCTACTGCGTCGTCGTCATGGTCCTGCTCACCGCCTTCAAGAGCTGCGTCGTGTACTCCCACCTCCCGGACATCCTGGGTGGCGGCGACGGGCCCTACGTGTCGAGGCTGTTTTCGTTGGACGTCGTGGTCAAGGCCATGGCCTCCGCGATGCTGCAGGTTGGACAAACATTGGGAAGCGGACGGGGATGGTTGGCTTTGGAGGGTCAGCTCTGCATGCCTGTGTCGTAGCTGATACTGCTGCTGCGCCGCTACGAGCAGGCCGCCCTGGTGCAGTGCCTGGTCATGTACTTGTCGTGGTGTGCACCCTCGCGCCGCTCGTGGCGCGGCATGGCCCTGGTGCTGGCGTGGTTCCTGATCAGTTCCATCTTCGTCCCGGCCTTCAGCGTCGCCACCGCCGACATGTCGGTGCGTAGACTGGCGGAAGTGTCGCTCGTCGCACCTCCGGGGCCCTTTCTTAAGAACCGCGTAGAAATAGAGTGTGAACTGGCCGTTGTTTTCCGTAACCAGGCCCTCAAGAGCGTGAAGGAGGTCACCCTCTACGTGACCGACATGTTGCCCTCGTTCCACATGATGCTGGCCGACGGCGAGCTGGGTGCCCTGGTCACCGCCTGCGTGTTCCTGGGCCGGGACGTCGCCGACGACGTCCTGGACCGGGTGCAGGCCCTGGCGGGGCGGCCCGGCGAGGCGGTGAGTGCGGAGGAGGACGCGCAGGCCGCGCTGGAGCTGCGCGCGCTGCGGACGCGGCAGCAGGTCCTGCAGGACGTGGTGCGCACCAGCAACCGCGCGCACGGCGCCGCCCGCCTGTGCTGCCTGCTCGTCGCCGTCATGGAGGCCGGCATCAGTTCCTTCGGCGGCATCGTGTACCTGCAGGGCAAGATAGGCGTCCGGAGCGCGTCCAGCTTCCTCGAGGCCTACGGCGCCAGCACCGTCGTCTGGGGCATCGTCATCATGCTCAGGTTCATCGCCAGCTGCACCCTGGGCCAGCAGCTGCGCAAAAGCGTGAGTACCGGGACCACCGTCCTGCACCACGTTGTGGTAAAAAAACAAAAAAACCTTTTTGTGTGGTTAGCGCCTGCGGAGTGGCGGGTAGGCCGTACCGCAACACGCGCGCGTCTCGCAGTGTGGCCTACCCCCACTTTCGCAGGCGCTAGAGCGCTTCCACGACTGATGGCCTCGCTTCTTTCTTTTTTTTCAAGCATTCGAGGATATTCAATACGCTCCATGGGTTCCTGGCGAGAAACGCCCTTGTTTCCAACAGGACGAATAGAGAAGTGAGTCATTTTTACTTTGAGTGAAAAAAAAAAACAAACTGGGAACTACATATGTGGTATTCAATGACAGAGACGTCACGTCCGTTAGAATGTGAGTCGTGTCGTTTGAACATCACGTCACAAATCGTTTGAGCGTCGATTCACGTTCCAACGAACGCGTGGACGGCTCATTTGTTGAAAAACACAGTGTACTGACTCACTGGCTGACGCCCCGCGCGATCTCCCAGGTGCAGGGATTCAGCCACCAGTTGCAGATGCAGGACTGCCGCTACGGGGTCTTCGATCTGCTCTTCTTCGATTTCACCACCATGGGCCGGGTCAGTATCAAATGGCTCTGCGCCGAAAAAAAATGCGTTGTCCCATCTTTCCACCGACACAAAGTAACCTTGTGATCTTGCCTCGAGGCTGGGCCCAGCATGGTTCATAATTTTCAAGATTGCATATTTGGTTCACCGTTTTCAATCAACGGGTGGTGCCTAAGGGCATTTTTGTGTGAGAGTTTATACCGTGTCCTTTTCTTAGGTCTTCGGCTCCTTCGCGACTTTCCTGGTCATCCTGTTCCAATTCGATCAGACTTAGTCACAATCCAGTGAAAATGGATGATGAATCCATCCATCATCGTCAGCTTTTATCCAGCCTAGCGGGAACACGCCAACCAACGTGACGCCTATTTTACGTGAAATCGTCCCGTTTGATCGAAATTCAGTTGATTGGAGGAAAGAAATTGGAGGAACATCACTAGTTTCTTACGCTGTGATAGATAAAAGTGTGTGCTTTGTTTGTTGTGTTTTACAGGGGAATGTCCGGATGGCATTCAACAGAAAAGAAACATGTCAAATCATTTAAGATGCGTTGTACTGTGTTTATTGCCAAATGGTTTGTTTCATGGAGTGAATAAATTACAAATCACAATTTCTCAACGGCCTCAAATTTCTTCAGTGGTTCCAGTCTGCGGGGTTCCGGCGGCTTAGCGGTAGTAGTACGAGTAGGGGGCGGCGGCGTAGCCGTAGCTGGCGACGGGGAGGGCGGAGTAGGCGGAGTAGGTGCTGACGGCGGGGACGGCAGCGGCGTAGGTGGAGACGGCGGGGTAGGCGGCGGCGACGTAGGGGGAGGCCACGTAGGGCGAGGCCACGTACACGGCCTCGGAGGCCTTCAGGTCATCCTTGGGGCCGGGGGCCGCGGGGGCCGCGGCGGGGGCGGCAGGGGCGGCGGGCATGGCGCAGGCCACGGCCAGGAGGGCGAAGAGGGCGACAACCTGCAATCACACGGGAAGAATGAATGGCTGACCAAACAAAATCGACAGGGAGCAAGAAATGTGTCTCACTGAAAAGTTAAGTGCTTATTCCGTGTATTCAGTGCACACTATCAAACATGGTTGATCTCAATATATATATTTTTTTTAAAATCAAGATAATTTTTTTTATCTAAGAAGACAATTTTTTTTATTGAGTGGTCGGACAAGTTTTTTTTTTTTTGCGAGGCTGGGGTTTGTATTCTAACTATGAAGGTATCTTTTGGGCATCCGTACTTTCTGAACGGCATGCGCTGTAGGGAACAACTGACGAAAATTCCTGGGAACGACTGCTAGGGGAACTAGCGCACTAGAACCACAGTCATTTAATTTTATGACATTTGGTAAATTTGCTCCAATTAGTAAATGACGCTCTGCCGAAATCTGCTCCCATGAGACCGAAGCGAGGTATAGCCCTTCCCCCCTCGGTTCCTGCATTAGTTACTTACGACGGCCTTCATGGTGCTGGTTGTGGAGGTGCTTGGGGCTACTGGGCACGGACTGATGTGTTGCACGAAGACGTACTGACAGCTTTTGGGCCGGGCCGGCGCGTTTTATACTGGTCCGGGTAAGCGCGCCCCGCGCCCAAATCCGGCCCCTCCCCCTCCCCTCCCCCCGCCCGGCACCACGCCGGCCGGGCCTCGCGGCGCCTCTCCTCTAGAGAGACTCGGGGCGTTTCTCTCACTCAATGCTTACCTCCGACTGTCGGAGGAAGAGAGACGGAAAGAGGGGGGGGGGCACTCCCACTTCGCCCCCGCAGGACTCCGCGCGCCGCGGCGCTGCGCCCGGACGTCCACTCCTTGAATGACTTATTGGCCAGCCGAAGAAAGACCCAGAAGGTGTCTGTTCTGGAAGTGGAAAACCGAAAAACGCAGCAACCGGAAAGCATAATTTTCTCAAAATATGAATACATTGTCAGACGGCATTAAAACAGTTTTACGTTATGTATTCCGCGAACCACACGCCCACGCCTCGCTCGGTCTTCTTCCTGGAGCAACAGGTAGCTTTGTTTTGTTGTTAGTATCGCGCTTTGTTTACATTTCACGGAGAATGAAAGAGTCATAACCAGGACTAAAATTTTGGATGAGGCATACATTACTGCCCAAATTTTGGGTGAGGATTGTTTTATCGTTCAAATTTGGTTAACGAAGATTTCCTCACTCGGTGGGTGTGTCTGCTACATAAAAGGTCGAACGCATTATCAGCCAAATTTGGATGATCAGATTCTCGGCGTATTTCGCAGCCCTCCCCCCTCTTCTTTTTCTCAATGAGCGCTACGCACGCAGGAACGTCGTGGCCTTGGCAGTGATCCTGCTCCTTTGTTCGCGCTCGGGGCGTCCTGGAGCGTCCTGGAGCATCCTGGAGCGTGCTCTGGCTGGACCACACTCAGTCTGGCCCCGGACCCGGACGGTCCAAACACCAAACAGAACATTTTCCCCATTGAAGTACTCGGCTACGGAAAAATACGTGAAAAAAAAACCTGAAATTTTGCTTCAATATTTTTTTTTTTTGCAAAGATGATTTACTTTGATAGAAATTTAAGTTTTGCAATCTCCGTGGGAGGGATATCCTTCCACACATTCATTTCCAGGTTCCGGGCCATCCCAAGTAGAAAGACGCTCAAATTGACAGGTCAGCAAGTGCGGATAGTCCTGGAGACGCGCGTGCGCCGGCCCGGCGGCCGCTGCAGCCATCCCTGGACAGCCCAGACGAGCGATGCAGAAGAGTCGTTTCGTCGCCCTGTCTCTGTCGCACTCATGCGTCTCTCCATAAGGGTGCGAGAGAGACAGAGCGACTCGGCCGGCCAGCCCTGCAGGATGGACTTAACAAGGCACGGCTTGGCGAGGAACCGGTCGGGGTGCGTCCTTAAAGTCTGCACTGCTCAAACCGCCGCGCCGGCCGGCCGGACAATGCCTGCCTGTTTTAATGACGCGCTGCAGCGCAGGCAGCGCACTGCTCGTCGCTCTGTCTCTCTCGCACCCGTGCGAGACGCCCCATGAGTGCGAGAGAGAGCTCGGAATCCGCCTCGCAGACGCACTGCGTGGACGCGCGCCGCATCCCGGAGCGCAACCTGCAGCGGCTCGATTCTGAGCCGTCACTCTGTCTCTCTCGCACCGCTGCGAGACTGTCCGTGAGTGCGAGAGAGACAGATGGCGCTGCTCGGAATCCGCCCGCCGGTGGACGCGACCACGCACAGCACACGACGCTGCGGAGATTCGCCAGGACTCGGACTCGGCGCGGCGCGGCGGGTTGAGGTTGGTTCCCGCGCCGATCTACGACTTGACTTGAGGCCGGGCGCAAATAACCATTCGGCCATTCGGCCGGCCGCCCTCGAAGAACGCCGGCCGAGGGGAACGAACCTCAGCACGCCACACGGTGCTGATCATGATAGAGCCTATTCGTAGCCAGAGGCGTGTATAAGGAGTGGGGGGGGGGATACATTTTTCAGAGCGAATTTGTGCGTCGAACCTGCCCTCGTTGTGACGCGGGGCCGGCACTGCCTCGGCCACGGTCACACCCAGCTGGCGGTCCAGCGGCCCGGCCGAGGCCCGCCCTGCCGCGGAGTCACGGAATCACGGACGGGCTGAGCGCCCGAAGTGGGAGCGTCCGAAAAAGCGACGCTCCAGACCCGCGAAATGGAATCTTATAAACCTTTATTTGGCCTTTATTTAAATTGTATAAGACTCATACGTATAAGGGCTGTTTCAATTTACTCATTTTAATGTGTCTTATTAAGTTTTATATGGCATATATGGACATTCTTATTTAATCTTTATATAAACCTTATACAAACCATACACGTACTGTATTTGGGATTTCTTTTCAGATACTGACTCTTTATAAAGAGCTGCAAAAGTGTATAAAGTTTTTATAAAGATTTAAAGATCTAATTAATTAAGGACAGAGCGCGGTGGCGACGGCAGTGCTCCCGGTGGCGTGGCGTCGGCTGAGCGCTGCCACCGCCCCTACACTGGTGTGTTGCGGGCCAGTCGCTGGCTAGGCGCTACGGGCCTAGCACACCGTCGCATCAAGGCATTCTTTATCAGTGGGAATGGTTTCGCAGTAATGTTCGCTCGGCAATCTGCTTTCCTGGTCTTTCTTTCTAATTCCTTTGTCACCACAGGATTTCAGGAGCAGAAAGAAACATGAGAAAAATGCAACTTTTTAAATTAATTTTATTATAATCAGGTGTGGGCAACAAGACAGATTCCACAAATGCTAGCAGGCATATAAAATATCTCAGAAATTTGTGGAGGAAAATTGTTAGTACATTGGTTTTAAATAATATCTTGAGATAAAGAGGAATTCTGAAAGATAGCACAGTTGAGTTCATTTCCCAAAGTGAAGTCATTTGGTTGATTTACTAACAAACCATTTGAGGCATTTAAAGAATTAATGGAACATTATTCTTGAGGGGTGCTGGCAGTTTCAGTTTCCATCTTCTCTGCTGTTCTTTCAGGGGCCTTCAGGACTGTTCCTTCAGGAAGCTCCAGGATACGGGGCCCATACAGTAAAACATAGGCACAATGCCAATCTCCTGAAATAATAATAGAAGTTTTAATTATAATTCAGAGGATGACAAAATGATGAGAGATACAGCTAGCTGGACAGAATACTGACCGCCGCCAGACAGCTTTAAGATGTCTTCTGAGGAGACAGGGGTGACTTTGTCATCATCACACATCAACCATGTGTTGTCGTTTTGTCGCACCCAGCCAACATAATGACCACTCGATGATGAACGACCTCTGTGTGTCAGCACTGCCTGGAGTGTGTAGTAACCGGAGTTATTGGAACCTAGATCATTTTCCAACCAGTATGGTTCCTTTGTTGTCTTCACTTTGGTGTCACCACCTTTCTTGTCCTTGAGAGTGAGCTGCTCCTCAACTTTTTTGTCCTCTAATTGCTAAAAATATAAAAACAGGAGGTATTTACAAACATTTGCAAACAACAAGGATAAGCTGTTAATAAAATTGAATGAAACAAGGATTTACCTTGAAGCGGTCCCTCATGGGTGCCAGCTTTTCCTGCAGTTCTGTGGTACATAATTCAACTGCGTCAAACTCCATGGGAAACTTGACATCTTTTAAGATTTTTGCATTGACAGACTCTCTCTCTTTATAATAAAAACGTACAAACTGTACTGTAAGATATGCAGGCAATCTGCTAATTTTACTCTGGAAAACAAATAATATTTATGAAAGGAAGAAAGAGTGAAGAAACAAAGAAATTAATGATCTTTCCAGTGCTTACAGTTTTGGTGTACACAGCATCCCGCCCAAGAGAAGGGGAGTTCTTAGTAATCTGTTCTTGGAGCTTCTACACAAGGACAAAGCGAGGAAGCAAAGATGTTAGGATACAAGGGAAACTAAAAATTAAGATTTCAAGCTTTAATCCTGGAAGAGAAAAAGCTCACCGAACGAAGGCCTGACAACATATAGCGCACATCTTGTGAAATAAAGCAGCTTAGCTGCAAGAAGTCTTCTTCAGTGCGTGTAGGTGGCTCATCAGCAGCTTCAACACATTTGTACTCAACATCAAACTGCCCACCAAAATACTGCTCAATGAGAGACCTTAAGACAAAGTAAGAAAAAAAGGAAGAAAGTTAGTTTAAAATTGAAGTACTTGCAGCTTCAAAAAGTAGCACTTAAAATAAACTTACTTTGGTGCTTTTACGGCTCCTTCAACCGCCTTAGCAGGAAGCTTTTGTTGAAGCATTCTGACAAGTTCCGTCCAGCACTCATTGGCATCCTGCCAGCACATGAAAAAATATAAATGGTGTCAAGTTACCAAGAAGCCACAAAATATTAATTGTCTGATCACAATCACTAACCTGCTGTATATAGACGCCACCAGCACCCTTTTCTGCAAAGCGAGGGAAAGCTAGTCGAAGTACTTGCAGCAGGACCACTGGAGAAAAAGATGCTCCTCTATCCATCGCAGAGTACAGATCCCGCAGAGCTACTGTAATTGACTGTGACGGAACAAAAGATCCTCCTCCAACACCTGTTGTTAATAATAAAAACAACAATAACTTAAAAACCTCAACTGAAGACAAAAAATTTGAAGACAGGAACTATTTCAGAGAACATACTTGCTTCAAAGGTTTGTAACCCATCTCGCAACTCAGGGACAGTTTTTAAACACTGAACAGTGGCATTAAGGTAGCAAGTGTTACCCAAGTTTGTGAGGCCAGCAGGGAGGTCCATCTGAAAACAAAAGAAATTAATAAGTATTAAATTATGAAACAAACTGACTTTCTATTAAAAATGACATAAAAGTTCCATAAATGGGAACCAATAATTAAAATGAAATTTACGGCTGAGGCTAGCTCTGATTCATTCATGTCCTCCATGAATACAGGTTTCACTGCTGGCTCTGAAGGTACATCCTCTTCTTTGCTCCCCATCAGAAGGACCATCACACCCTGCATTGAAGAGCACAGGAAAGACTGGTGAGAAACATTTCATTGAACCTTGAATGAATCACAAGCATAATTGTTGAACTTACGTCCTTCAGAGGCATATTGCCCCACTCTGTGTCTTTTAAAGTCATTCCTTTCACCATTACTTTCTGACGATTTGGCTGGACTCCGGTTAAAGCAAACAGTTGAGCTTTAAATAACAGTGGGTCTTCTTCTGTGTTGACTTCCACATCAGGGAACATCTCTTTCCCCCACTTTACTTTCACTGGAACATCAAAGAGAAAAATAAGAAACAAACTGACACAGATCAAATATTTGAACTTATAGACTGGTGCAGCAAGTGTGAAATATATGACAGTGAGAGCAACACATATTGTGACAGTGCCAATAAAACGGACAAAGTCAGAAATTAGATCTGGCAATGAAGCCAGAGGACAAAATGAGCCATGTTAGAATTGGTCACGACATAAGGCTTTTAACATAGAACTACATGTGCCAAAATCGAAATTTGCACCCCATGAACTTTAGAAACTGAGTCAAGGTGAGGATGACATGAATGTTTAACCTAGACATGATGACATACGGTTTCAGCCAGTTCATACAAAGTAGAAGAAACCTTGTAGGTTACAAAGCACGGATGCAAAGTAAAACAAATGGCCCTGAACATGCCATTCAAAAGGACTGTACTCGAAATGTAACTATTTTCATGACAACTCTGAAGGCTCATGCCGGGGTCCCGGAGTGATTCAACAGAATGAAAGTAAGGTTAAAGGCACGGCACCCCGTTCCAACCAAAACGTTAACACCTTGCCTTTGAAGCTGGGCATTTTGAGTAGCTAATTTTCTTCTAAATAATCCGGTAGAGATCTTCTCTCGTGTTAAACGAGTTTGGACGGCAAAATTTTGTCCGGAGAGAAAGACTGCTCGAGAAGAACCACCGCACCACAACACAAACACGACAGTCACCGAGATTGTGGCACTGCCTTCTGCGAATCCGAAAAGGAAGGGAGAAGAACAGAAGACATCATCGAAACGTCAAAACACTGCAACCAAGAAATGACAACAACAAATTGAGGCAAATGAATGAAGATTAGGTTTCCATTCATTGTCATTGTCACTCGCTAATCGCTTTCACTGCACCTCATCATCATGCCGGTAAGCTGAGCCTAGACGCAGACGTCTAGCCGGAGCACCTGTTTTTAGGTTAAGTTGTTAACAACTTGGTCCACTTTGCCTTATCTTCAACCACATTGTCCTAAATTTCTGTTTCTAGGCATAAATTATTATTGTTAACTTATTTTAACTTTTCATCTGCAATTCTTTTTTATCTTCATTTCAGGCATACCACTCGACTCTATTGGACCACAATGCCGTTGTTGGGAACATGTCATTACTGCCCGTCAAAACTCAACATCGAGGACCAGCACCGCCCTTCACTGCCCCAGCAACTGATATGGACATTATTGACGAAGCATTATACTATTTTAAGGCAAATGTGTTCTTCAGAACATATGAAATCAAGGTATGTGATTGTCATCGGTGTTTTTGTTGGTTTTTTGAAGAAAATCCATATTTTTAACTGATTTTGTTTGTTGCAGAGTGAATCCGATAGAGTTTTAATTTACCTTACACTATACATAACAGAGTGCTTAAAGAAGTTATCGAAATGCTCCAACAAACAGCAAGGCATGCAGGATATGTATGCTTTAGCAATATCACGATTTGATTTGCCTGGTGAAGCTGGATTCCCTTTGAATTCTGTGTATTCAAAGCCCGCTAATCCCAGTGAAGCTGGTAAGTAATATACATTTTTCCCACTCTCACATATTGTTATCCTGCATTCACGCTTTGTTTCTTTAATAAAAATCTTCACACTATGCAGATCTTATGAGGCAGTACCTTACCCAGTTACGCCAAGAAACAGGAATGCGTGTTTGTGAGAAAGTATTTGGCACAGAAGATGGCAAGCCTTCAAAGTGGTGGCTGTGCTTTGGCAAAAAGAAGTTCATGGACAAATCACTCAGTGGACCAGGTCAATAGACCAATGTATTTGATCATCGAAGGAATTTGTAAGTTTGTTTCTTATTTTTATTATTTTGCTGAATAATTTCAGATCACATTATTAACTTTTTTGTTATATAAAAATGTAAACTACATGCAGTTTTTTTAACTATGTATAAAAATGGTGAGCTCAATGATGAGCATCATATTAAAATATCTAAGAGCCATACCCATTTATTTTCCAACTGATTTACCCTGCCTGGAACAAAAAAAAAGCAATTATGAACTTTATTGAATGCAAAGGCAGATCTTATCTCTTTTAATTGTTGCTTCGTCTCTTACCGCTGGTTGGCAAGCAAAACTAGGTTTTGAACAGCTGTAATCGTTGATGCTTCGTTCTGCCCAGTGACAAGGTGACGGTCAACAACAACATGAACTGCTCCACTTTCTCCACTAGCACTAAATGATCCCCCTCTATCTCTCACTTCATCCTCAACTATGACTGGCAATGAGCCAAAGTTTGCTGCACAAGCAAGTTCACAAACCGTAGACTGCAACAACAAAAACATATTTTATATTTTTAAATTGTTGATGTTAGTTTAAATATTAAGATTGCATTTTATCAAAAACCTACCCCAGTCATAGAATATGATTTAAAAATCCAAGAAGAATTCTTGAGTTTCTCAGATTGAATATCTGTGATGCTCTGGCTTTGTGAATCACGGGGCATTTCCACACATGATAATAGGGCAGCCACTCCCAGCCCAACAGCACAAACAAGTTCTGGGTAAGAAACAAAGAACAGTTTCGATCAAAATGTCACAGAAATAATGACTTAAAAATTGGAACCATGTCTTACTTCGATCTCTAACAAACTGAGCCAAAATTTCACCAAGTGTTGTGTTGTTTGCGAGATCATGAACAGCACCAGGGCTATGAGGCACAATAAGACAAGAATATCTCTGAGCTGCAAGAGAATCAGTCAAATATTTGAATATGAAATGGAAATTTTACTTTGAGTTGAATCCTAGAGACAGGATCTTACCATCTATGACCTCAAGGCACAGAGGAACGGAAAACGGTTTGGTATTAAAGTCACTAAGCCAGCGGCGGCTTTGGTCATCTGTACTTAAAAATTCTGGTTGTTTACCCTGGAGAAATAATTCAATATTATTTTAATGACTAATGTAAACAGTTTACATTTTTGAAAGGAATGAACGAAAATACTTACGCCAGGTGTGGCAAGTTGAACGTTAAAAGCTGTGTGAGTCATAGTAAAACATTGGATAAAGGACTGGGCAGAAACACCTGGATGAAATATCAGACAGTAAATCAATTTGACATAGACGCAAGGTTAATACATAACACAAAATAGTCATAAAAGCAATGATGATGTCTGACCCTCTTTGCTTAAAATAATAAGGCAATTCAATTTTGTATTGGATGCCATTTTAGATGAGCTGCGGCTTGAAACAGTGACTGTTAAATTAAAAACACCTCGTTTGACGTTTGACAGATCAAATGTCTGTCAACATCAGCAGCAGAGAGAGCACGGCAGAGCAGCAGATTGCAGTTCGGCACGACAGTGAACTGAACTGCAAGAAGCAAGAAGAAGTCACTTCGGCAAGACTTCGGAAGGGCTTCGGGCCGCTTCGTGTCGAGCAAGCGGAGCAAGCTTCAGCAAAAAGCCTTGAGATAGCAGCACGATCGCGTACGAAACCACCTCACCACTTCCCCCCTCCCCACTCCGCGCACTTGCTGCGGTACCACTCGTCCTCTTCGCCCTTGACTCAGCTTTCTGTCCTTCTTCAAATCTCTGCGAGCACCACCTATCAAAGTAAGTCGTACTTATTTTGAAAAATTTTAAAGAGAATTAATTACACTTGTTGCCATTAAGGAGTTAAACGTTAATGCTGGAATCAAAGGGCTCGAAAAATGTGATGCAATTAGGTTTGTACTGCATGTGCGGTTTTTGCTATCCCCTTAACACTTCTAGATCTATGTTCGAAATGAAACCTTTAATTCAGTCTGCATTTTGCGATATTTGTCACTGACTTTTGGTTGACTCACAAGAATCGAACGAACGGATATTTTCTCTAACGAGTCTTGTTGAGTACATCAATTCGGCCTGTACTTCAAAATTTTGTTGCCAACCATTAGAAATTCCTGCAGCCGATAAAAAATTAAATCATGCGTTAATAGCCATCACGTGTTAAAGGTCATCTTGCGACGGGTCACATTTAAACTCAAGTTTTCCCCCGTGTTGGAGGTTATGGACGTCTGTATCGATTTGGGGCATTGTGAGGTTATCGGCGTGCAGGCGGTACATTTATTCGCGGCTACAAAGAAATTGAGACTGCCCTGGGACAGCGACCCTTGCGCCGTGCAGGGCGCCATCTGGTTTTCCCTCTTTGGGGCGAGGTGCCCATGACAGGTACGCGCACAGTGCTGGAACCAGCTGGAAGAAGGGATGGGCGTGCGTGGTGGGGCCCCACTTTGGGGGCCCCTGCCTGGGGTGGTTCGCCCTGGAGCCCCCGCAACCCCCACGTCCCCCACCCCTCCGGTCTCCAGCGCCCCAGCGCCGATCCAGGGCTGCACCGCCTTGAGGCAACTCCGGGCGCCCGGCTCGTCAGCTGATGTCGGGTCAGCGGATTTGGTATACCAATCTCGTTCGGAGAGGGAAAATTCCCGAGTGTCGATTTCTGCTTAAACTGGAGTGGACATTGCGCGGGCGCGCGGCAGAACGGCCCCGAGGGAAGGACCGCAAGATGGCGGCGGGCAGGGCGCGGGGAAAGGGGAAGGGAGGGGCATTCTGGCCAATCCGATGGGTGGATTTGGAGCGCGGCTGTAGGCGGTGTACTGCACCCGCGGGCCAGTTATTTTTCTTCGCCGGAATTCTAATTTTAACGCTTGGTTGACACAGGCCGCTCCCTGGGTCTGAACCTGCTGTAAATGTTTGGAGAACTTTCTTTGTCGTGTAAGGATTTGGGCGGGGGCGGGTCCCACGCCCGGTGCACTGTGACCGATTGTTTGATCGCAACACCCTTCCGAGTAGTGTCGGCCGCCTGTCACCCACACTGCTCGCAATCCTGTTCCCCCGGTGCGTGTGTGGGACGTCCACGCCCCCGTCCCGCCCGAAATAACACGAAGTAAAAGTGACAATTAAAAACGGCCAAAACGAAGAGAAATGGCGCAAACAGCGACCCCGATAACAGCCCGTCCCTTGCAGGGAAGTCCAAAGTGCAGTCCGAAATTGGCCTGCCATCGGTTGCGCTCGCCCATCACGCGCCTTGTCCAAAATTTCTGATCGTAATTTATGAATGTGATGTAATTTCGTCGGTTGTTAACATCTCGGTGGAGGTGATCGGTGATCGCCGCCGACTGCACCGCCCCCTCTCAGCCCGGTGTGTGGCACGGGAGCGTTTTTGACGCAGCGGAGGCGCTTGGCGCGGGAGGGGAGGGAAGGGGAGGGGAGCGGCAGCTGACCCCTGTGTCCTCATATATAGCCGGCGCGCGGCGCGTCCGAGGCACAGTCGATTGACGGCAGGCAAGCGGTACCCTTCGTCGCATCTGTCATTCCCAAACCTCTCGGTGAGTGTTCCTAGCTCAGCTCGGCCTGGGTGTACAGCCGTGGCCGCCGTGGCCGTGTGTGTTGCTATTCTTGGTCTGGAGCCGGCGGCGATGCGGCGATCATCGGTCCGCGACTCGTCGGCGACTTGTCAGTCTGTGTTTACACCTCGCTCGGTGTCGCCCGTCGCGGTACAGTCGTGCAGGTGTGCTGGTCTGTCTGCGGTCGCGTGCCCTGCCAGTGCCCTGCCGTCAACCTCGCCGTGTTTTTCTGCGGGCTGCTGAAGCTGCCCCAGTGGACCAGTGCTGTGTGGGTCTGTTCTCTGCGACTTTTGGTCGCGCCTGTCCGGGAAGCAGCCTCGCTCCGCTGCCGTTCCGCGATCTGTACTGCGCTGTGCACCGCGGCCGCAGTGCCGACGGCGTCCTGGTCTTCATTAGGGAAGCGCAGCGCGTACTCCGCATTCGCGAGGCAGCGCGTCGACGGCGGTGGCAGGCGGTCGGTAGTAGCGGTAGTGACCTTGGTTGTGGGGACAAGGGCGTCGAGCCGCGCGGCCCTGGCGGCCCGCAGCCGAGAACTTGGCCCGGCCTACTCGGCGCACCGCGGCGGCCATCGTAGAGCGTTCGAATCGTCCTCGGCGTGCCCCTGGGCCTTGGCGGCGTGGGCGGGGCAGCCGCGGCGCGTTTGGGGCGTAAGCGAACACGTGTCGCCACCCGGGTGTCCGCGCCCGCCCTCGGCCTTCGGGTGTCTCGGTGGTCCACGGGCTTACGTAAAGGAAAGCGATAGGGCGGCGACGGCGTGTTGATAAACGTGTCACCAAGTTCAAGGCCTGCGCGCACGGCGCACGCCCCGCCCCGGGCCTGCCCTAACGCCACCCGTCATCGCGCTGCCCGGTTTTCTTTTGGGGCCGCGCCGCCGCGCCACCTTGCCGCCGACCTTTGGAAATGTGTTTTGATCGTGACGTTTGCCTCTTCGCGCACTACACTCTTTGTTTGCGACCACTATCGGCGCGCGGCGTGCGGTCCGGCGGGTGCCCTGTCGCGATAAGAGGCGTCTGGGGCCGCTGGCACGCCGCTGCTCCACCCCAGCCCCAGGGCCCTCAGTGTGGGGCCCACACGCCCCCGCGGGCAGCCCCCTCCCCTCCTCAAAAAAACGGGCTGTTTGTGTTGCTCTGACAAATTTGACCAGGCAGTTTCGTCATCCAGCAAGGGAGAGTGCGGGGGAGGGGTATCCAGCCGCTGATGCAATGTGGCAGGGCGTCCAGCAACCAAGGGCCGAGAGGCTCCGCGTTGCCCCGCGTGCTTGCCGGCTGCCTGCGCCTCCCGCCTCGGTCTTCCAGGGATTCCGATTGGCTTTATCGATACTCTGTCGTTATCGGTGTCTGGCTGGCCTGCCCCGACCCGCGCCCCGAGATGCTGGCGGCTAGACTAACCGATGTGTGCGTCTGGTTTCAGATCCAAAATGACGACCCACTTCAGCTACCCCGCCCCAGCCCTCCAGGAGGAGCTCAAGAAGATCGCCCTGGCCATCGTGGCCCCCGGCAAGGGCATCCTGGCCGCCGATGAGTCGACCGCCACCATGGGCAAGCGCCTGCAGGACATCGGCGTGGAGAACAACGACGAGAACCGTCGCAAGTACCGCCAGCTGCTCTTCACCACCGACCCCAAGATCGGCGAGAACATCTCCGGCGTGATCCTGTTCCACGAGACCCTGTACCAGAAGGCCGACGACGGCACCCCCTACGTGGAGCTGCTCGCCAAGCGCAACATCATTCCCGGCATCAAGGTCGACAAGGGCGTCGTCCCCCTCATGGGCTCCGAGGACGAGTGCACCACCCAGGGTGCGTTGCTGCATCGCGTTCGAACCGCGTCAGAGTTTACCGTGTGTCGCCCACTCAGCTAACCCTTTTTGTTTGACTTGTTCAGGTCTGGATGACCTCGCCCAGAGGTGCGCCCAGTACAAGAAGGACGGCTGCCACTTCGCCAAGTGGCGTTGCGTCCTGAAGATCACCAAGAACACCCCCTCCTACCAGGCCATCCTGGAGAACGCCAACGTTCTCGCCCGGTATGCCTCCATCTGCCAGGCCAACCGCATCGTGCCCATCGTCGAGCCCGAGGTGGGTAGGCCAGCCTCGCCAGCCTCGCCAGCCACCGTCTGTCACTGTCCCTTCGAGTCCGCTATGTGCAGCCATTCCACGTCACCCTCTTGTGCTCTGTCGACAGGTTCTCCCCGATGGTGATCACGACCTGGACCGCGCCCAGAAGGTGACCGAGACCGTCCTGGCCGCCGTGTACAAGGCCCTGAACGACCACCACGTCTTCTTGGAGGGCACCCTCCTCAAGCCCAACATGGTCACCGCCGGCCAGTCCTGCCCCACCAAGTACTCCGCCCAGGACATCGCGCGCGCCACCGTGACCGCCCTGAACCGCACCGTGCCCGCCGCCGTGGCTGGCATCACCTTCCTGTCTGGTGGCCAGTCCGAGGAGGAGGCCTCCGTCAACCTGGACGCCATCAACAAGTTCAACGGCAAGAAGCCATGGCCCCTTACCTTCAGCTACGGCCGTGCCCTGCAGGTGCGTTGTGGTCCTGGGACTCCTACCTCTTTAACGTTTACTGCTTTTCCTCGCTTTTTATGCTGAAACTTGACTTCCAGGCATCCGTCCTCCGCGCATGGGGAGGCAAGCCCGAGAACGTCGCTGCAGGCCAGAACGAGCTCCTGAAGCGTGCTAAGGTGAGTTCCTGTCCTCCTGTTTTTCGTAGATTTCATCCGAAAGCCTAGGTTTCCTAATACGTAACTTATCATACTTGCTTGTATGTCTTCTTTTTTATTCTTTTTGTTTCTTGCATCTGGCCTTGACTTTTCTTTGTGCCTTTTGCACTTGCTCCTTTTGCTTTATCCTATCACATTAATATAACTTCTCACCGCATTAAGCTTTTAGACTTGCAACACTTTGTGCTTACCATGTGTCTTCCCAACAGGCTAACGCCCTGGCTTGCCAAGGCAAATACGAGGCTGGCACCATCGGCTCTCTTCAGGGAGACAAGTCCAACTTTGTCAAATCCCACGCTTACTAGACTTCACTGCACATTCCACCACATACGCTTCTGAATCCTTAGATTGCTTTTTAAGTTTCTATTTTTTTAAAGAAATATTTTTTAACTTTTTTTACCGTACTAAAATCAACTTATGAGTGCATGATTTGAATGAATTTTAGAGTGCATGGATTATGTTACTGTTGATATGAATGTTTCACTACTGTTTTGATTTGAATAAAGACTGAGTATTGTGCACATTTTTATAGGTGCCAGTAAATATTAATTTGACCTAGATTTCTTTTTGTAGCTTTGACCCATTTTCTCCATTGATGCACTTTCCTTTTACTCTTTCAACATTTCTCACAACTGTGCCTGGATTCCACTATTGTCAATTTTTAAACACTCTACATAGGCTTTATGAGACATGCTTATCGTTTGCCTCTAACTCTGCCACTTTCCATCCACTTCAATTTACAATTTATTTTGTGGAACTTGACATGAACACATTGTGGATGATCTAAGGTGAGGTGTGCATGCAAGACATACATTGAAGTTTAAGATATTTGCCTACTTTAACTTCTAATGGAATTAATTTCTCCTAATGCATGTGAAACCAGCAATTTCTTTTCTGTCAGTTCATTCAGCCCCTCTTATTTCTGAATGATTTTGTAATCCTTTCCTCCTTAATCCAGGCCAATGGTGAAGCTGCTCTTGGCAAGTACGGCGGTGGTGTGGCTGGTGCCGCTGGCGACAGCTCCCTCTTCATCAAGGATCATGCCTATTAAGCAGCCCATGCGTCTGCCATACCAGTACTGTGGGTGTCTGCTGCTTTCCGGTACTTTGCATCTACAACAGAACACTCTACAGTTTAACTTATTGTGCTGATAGTGCAAAAGTCTTTTGACTCAAACAAGCGTAAACTTAACTGTTCAGTGCGAGGAGCTGTAGTAAAAGGAAAAGTAGTTTCGGAAATGCGTAGGATTCTAGATGTGATCTTCTCCCGATATTTTATTTCATAATATTCAACTTACTAGTGTAATTGAATCCTAAAATTAATTGAATATTTCCATTCTTACCTCTATTGTCTCTCTCTATCTCTCCTGTTTTGTTAAGTTTGTCTAGTTCAGAGCGAAGTTATTTAATTTCTGGTCCTAGTCCACTAGGTGGTGCCATGTGCAATGGACACACTTTTTATTGTGATGCTTATCGAGGCAAATGAAATAAGTGTGGTAAAGTTGTAAATTTCATGTAAATGATATTGTTTTTCTTGAGCATAAACTGTACACTCCTGTTTTGGTTGCTCATGAAGTATTATTTTTATTGATAAATTTTGCCATATTGTTTGAGAGTGGAGTGCAGTATTTTTGTTATTGTGTATTGTTGATGTGTGTGCGGCTAGTCTTGTTGATGGTTGTTTGACATCATACATTCATATTTTACGTTGTAACGTACTTGACAAAGATACAATAAAGCCAAAAATCCAAATTTTGTTTGTGTATTGTTTATCACTGTGCCGTGCCTCTCGCTTTCCTCCATGCAGTTTGTACCTGTCTTATGACAACAGAGATCGCAACTTGAAATAGGAGAAATAAAAACACTCAAAGTTAAAAATGTTTATAATATATATAGAGATTTATTTGGTCTACATATTTGTGCAATCGAACAAGGTGATCTTACCATTATAACTAAAGCATACATAAATAATATAGAAAAGTATAGAGCAGTAGAATAAGCAAATTATACCATGATGCAACAGGGGAGCAATGGTACACAAAAGTTCAGGGGAAATCAGAGAGCAAGCAAATCCATTATGGTTTTGTGAGGATTCAGATGGTTGACACTTCAACCCATTATTTAATACACCAGCAAATCTAAACCTACTTTACTTTCACATGCAATAATACTGATAATGTGAGTGCCGAGTTCAGAGAGAATTTCACCCTCATAGGAGGCAGTTCAACTTTGTTCCAAAATCAGAAACCCACAAAAGATAAAATACTGAGTTATGAATGTATAAAATTGCAGTTATTTAAAATACAATAGGTATGTAGCAATCTCTATGATAATTAAAATAAAATTACAATGGCATCCAATCCATGATTGCATCTGGGAACCTTTTAAATAATTGGGTAAGATACAAATAGGAGCCATATTAAAAGAGACTAGAACAGGTGCGGAAAATTAAAAAGACTCATCTTAGCACCACCTACCGGAGAGTCTCAAACCTTTGACAGTCTTGTTTTCAACCACGAAGACTAAACACTTTTTGTTGCTATAGCTGTGCACAATTGCAGTCAATAGAGATATCGACTGCTACATATGTAGTCATTACCTTGCAGTGTACTAGCTGTTAGAAATTAGTGATCAAATCAACATTTCACCTTGACACAAATTCCTAAAGATATCAACAACAACATTATTAAGGCCAGCACATCACAGACAAGCACCTAGCAATTAATATTGATTTTGGCTGAATCCGAAATCCAATGCGGTACTTACAACATACTCTGAGCGAATTTTGCATTAGGTTCCCTTACCGAGGCCCTAACACATTTTGTACAGGATAAAAATCAACTCTACATGATCACAATATTCTCTTACCAATCTACCCAGTAATACTCTTAACTTCTTAACTTATTGTTAAATACCAGTAACGTCTGACAAGAGTGTGGTTGTCAACCGAGGGAAGGCCAACGCCAGGTGCGCTGTAGGCTCACGTGATCGCCAGATTTGCTAAAAAATAACAAAATTCTTGAGTGTGGTGCACTCCCTGAAGCTGTCCATCCCTCGATGGGGTCCTTCCCGCGCGCGACATTAATATCACGTTCCACTTCCACAGAGGCCGCATCGTTCCACTCAGTTTCACTAGGCCACTGCTAGGCCGCTGCTAGGCCATGCAGGACTCCGTCCCGGCGACGCGACAGGATGCTCGGCCTGCAGACACATTCCGAGAGTCGTCTTCGTCGCCCTGTCTCTCTCGCACTCGTGGGACGTTCCCTATGGGTGCGAGGGAGACAGAGCGACGTAAACGACTCTCGGAATGAGTCTACAGCACAGGGGCGGCCAACGCCGAGGGCCATACTTTGGTCATCAATTTACAAAGGAGACGGAGAGTTTTGGTTCGACATCCTTGGTGACTAGCCGTTGACGAGGGCGTGGGACGGTCCGTTCATCCCGCCGAGAGCTGCTGGTACTTCCTGACGTGGCCGAACACCTCGTCCTGGTGTTCCCTCAGCAGGGACTTCATGGGGCCGGTGTAGGGGTCGAAGTTGGGCTGCAGCGCGCGCCGCTTGCGCCGGTAGATGCCCTCGCGCCGCTCCATGGCGCAGCGCATCGCCTCCTCCGTGACGGGGAACTCCAGGAAGGCGAGCACGCCGCGCAGCGTGGTCTCGACGTCCGCCACCAGGTCGTCGTACTGCACCACGTGCGTCGGGCCCGTGAAGTTGCTCAGCCAGTCCATGTTGGTGCGGCGCCACGCGGACAGCTTGGCGCTCACGAAGTTGGCCCAGACTGCAGAGGGAGGCACACGTCAAACTTGGCCGCTCGCGCTCGAGTCGCCCAGTCCGCAGACTCATTCCGAGAGTCGTTTCCGTCGCTCTGTCTCTCTCGCACCTACACGGGACTGCGAGAGCGACAGAGCTACGAAAACGACTCTCGGAATCAGTCTGTTGTGACTGTGAGGGGCCGGAACCACCAGAAAGCAGTGGCGTGCGCGTCGCCACCAGAACGTCGGGTACTCACATCTGCCCTTCTTGAGGCGGTAGCGGTCCGGCGCGGCGAAGCCGATGTGGCCGCCGCTCTGGCGGTTGAACTCGGCCTGGATGGCGGGGCCGGGCGCGCGCACCAGCAGCACGGCGCGGTGGAAGGGCGCCCTGGCCGCGGGCCCCCACTCGTGCGTCTTGACCACCAGCACCGACCCGTTGGCCACCGACTCGGCGGGGAAGCCGTTCTTCAGCAGGCCGAAGTCCTTGTACACGGAGCCCGTGTACACACCTGCGGCAGGAGGAGTCAGGCGTCAGGCAGAGGGAACCGCCAGCGCCAGCGCCTGCGAGGCGCGGGGTAGGCAGCCCGGCACACTGCCGTGCAGCGCGGTACAGTCGCAGTCTTTGTTTCTCTAGCTACTCACCCGTGGCCTGCTGCAGCAGGTAGCGCAGCCAGGTGTTGCCGCTGCCGGGGAAGGAGGCCAGGGCGGTGACGGCGCGCGGCGTGCTGTTGTCCAGGAAGCGCAGCGCCTGGCACCACTGCAGCCGGCCGCGGCCCGCCACGGGGCCGCCGCCGTTGCCGGTGCCCAGGACGCTGCCGAACGCGCCGCTCAGCGGGCCGCGCGGGAAGGGCACCCGGCGACCGCCCGCCAGCGCGTACGGGAAGCCGGACAGCTCAGGGACGTGCAGGGCCTGGAGCCAGAACGGCCAGGACGGCCAGAAAGCGCGAGGCGTTATTCATTCCGACTTTTGGACGGCAGTGCGGCAGAGGCGGCCGTATTTCACAGACATGTCGCCGCTGTGCCGAGGCAGTGGAGGTGTCTGCAGTGTCTGGCGCGCCAGTGTGTGCGCGGCAACTTTGGGGGGTGAGGGGTGTTGTGTGTTGTCGATTTGGCGCCATTTCAAACCGGCACCATTCCAAACCGCACTGGAGCAGGCACTTGCCCTGCGGAGCGAGGCACTAGAGGCCAAAGGACCCGTGGAGCGTACCGGTGGCCCTAGGCCCCACACAGTGGCAGCCTCCACCGGTCTTCTCGTCCACTGTGCCCCGCCCCGCACATCCGACCCCGAGGGCACCGCTGGGCACCGCGCAGTGCCGCGAACCCTCACCGCAGGACCGCAGGCAGGAGGTGGTTAGTTTGCATTTTGCATGCCATTCATGAGCAAATTAAAATTCACAAGTGGCGCCAGCTTCCCCAACGAGATCAACTTTTTTCGGGCGCCTCGGGCCGGGAGGGCCGGGAGCGCGGGAGAGCAACCAAGGGAAACGACTTGACGAGCATCCCCACGCTGTCGAACCTCGGGGGAAATGAGGGGAGGGGGGGCTGCGCGCCGGAAACACTGTCGACTATTTTTGTCGGACCGACGACAAAGTGCGTGCCCCGGTGTGCTCCAATGATTAGGGACCAGTATTTTGTCATGCCAACATGCTTGATGAGATAATTTTGTTAGTGAAAGTTTCCTCACTGTCAGTGGAGTTTAACGGCGGGCGGTCCTACGTTCAACGAGGATGCTTCCCCGTAGACAGTTTCATCTTCTTCGCGACGGACGACAGAAAAAAACAACGTGGGGACAAAACTCTTTTCGCTCGAAAATTGGCCAATCTCATTTCTTGGGCAGACGAATAAGAAAGCGACAGTGTGATGGCCGACCAGGGATGAGTTGCGGCCGACGGGCCGACGGTTCGTTCGCTCCCAGGTGAGGGAGTGCGGGGCAGAGTGGGGCCCGTGAGGGGGCGATGGGGCGGAAGGGCGATTGAGGCGCTGGGGCCGAAGCCAGGCAGCCAGGCCCGCGGGGGGAATGCCTGCCCACATTGTAAAAGTTATGGAACTGGCGCAGCCAGCGGCGCGGCGCCCCCGAAACGGAGAGCGGGGGCTTTTACGGAGAAAGATATGCGCCCTGGGAACTACACAGCCACTCACTCCGGATGCCTCGGGGCGAAGCGGAGCGGGGCGCGGGGCGCCGTCACACGCGAGTATGCGCGAGGAGGCGAAGATGCCCGTCCCGTCCCGACTGTTGCCGAAGTATTGGCATAACTTGGTAATTCCCTGTGTGGGGAGGGGGCGAGAACAAGGCGGTGCATTACGGTTCGGAGGGCCAGGCCGTCCGTTTCGCTGGTTTCACTCACCCGCTCCCCGTTGGGGCCGGTCTGGAAGCTGACGGAGGACAGCAGCAGCACGCCCAGCAGGTACACGAGCACGACGACGACGAGGATCCAGAGCCGGCTCCTGGACATGCTCGCCCGCCCGGGCAGCGGCACCCGGAGGGGCACCCGGAGGGGCGTCCGTAGCCCCCGCAGCCCCAGGGGCGGGCCAGCGCGGCCCCCTCCGGGCCCCCCGGGGAGCAGGAGGCCCCCCCGGCCCCAGCCGGGGCCCCAGCCGGGGCCGGGAGCCACCCAGCGCGTCGCGCCCCCTCGCAGCGCACCGCGCTACGCTGCCGAGAGAAAAACAAAACAACACACTGTCAAAACAGAGTCCACTCCCCCGAGATTCGAACCGCCAACCTGCGCGGAGGCACGAGAGGCCGAGACTCACCCCACTAGGGCCGCGTCCCAGAGGAATGTTCCGGCCGCCGCGTCATCCGCTGGAACAGAGAGAGCAGCTGTCAACGCTGTCGCCGCGTCGCTGTCGCCGCGCGTCCGGGACGTCCGGGACGATAGCGGCGACACCGACGACGCGGTCCCCCTTCCGTCGCGTCGACGCGAGTCTATCAGTGTGGCAGCCCTACTCACCTGCACCCATGGAGCCCTGCCGGGGCAGTGCCGGGGCAGTGCCGGGCGGTGCTCAAGGCGCGGGCGGCATCGCGAGCTCCGACTGCACCTACCCTGCAAAAGAAAAACGGCGTCGTGTCAGGCAGGAGTCGGTGGTGACGGGCACCATGATGGCCATGGTGATGGTGGTGGAGGCGGGCGGCGCATAGGGGCTCCGGGTGGCGCCAGCACCCCGACGGTGGCGGCCGGCGGGGCCAGCAGGTGCCGGAGGTTCCGGCCCGTTCCCAGGGATAATTGCTCCTTACTGTTCGATCAGTGGCGACCTGCGCGGGAGGCAACGAACAACGGAGGGGGCGGGCGGGGCGGGGCGGGCTGTTTGGTTTACGGTTCGCGGGGCGTGGCGGGGCGGCGTGGTGCTTTCAAGGCGCACGGGCCGCGGGGCACGGCGGCGGGGCCGGGGCGCACGCTATTATAGGGAGGGCGCAGCGCGGCGTGGCGGTGCGCGGGACGGCGCTGAAGGGCGCAAAACAAAGACAATGGCCCCGCCAGGCCGCCAGGCCAGGTAAACCCACGGTACGCCGTCACCATGGCTACGCCTCTTTCTCCGTCTGTGCCCCACGGCTTGTCCTCCCGGCGGATATCGCCCGGTGGCGCGGCGCGGGGAGGGGAAGGCCAAGGGGCAGGGGGTGCTCGCGGACGCTGAGGCTGAGGGCGCGACAGACGTCAGCCGCGTCAGCCCGGTGGCTTGTACTTTGCCGTACTTCATTAGGACCTTTTGCCCGATCGATGTTTGTGGACAGGAGCAGGGAGCAGCAGGCACGGCTGCGGCAAGGCGGCAAGGCGGCAAGGCGCGCAGGGGGTCTTGGAGGACGGCCGCGTCGGCCGCGTCACATCATCCGCAGGGTCGCCGAAGGTAGCCCTGGTTAAAGTCTGGCTCACGGCTGCGGCGGCATAGCGTCACTCGAGTCGTGGAGAGTAAAGGGGCCCCAAGGGGGCAGGGTAATGCGGACGCTGAAGCCAAGACCGGTGTAGGATGGCTGAGCCGTAATTAATGAGGCCTTTGGGCTGCCGTCGAGGTGGACAGGACTGGGCTGCCAGGCCCTCCCCCCGGGAAGGTCGGCCAGCCCGGCCTCGGGGCCCGCGTCGGCCGCGTCACATCATCCGCAGGGTCGAGAAGTAGTCCCTGGTTAAAGATGGATAGGGGCGGGGTAGCGCCCTCTGGGGGTTGGGCCCTCGAGGCGGGTCATGCACACCGAAGCCAGACCGGTGTAGGGAGGCTGAATTCCAGAGGCGTGGGGTGTCGGCTGGACTGGGCTGCCGCCCCACCCGCCGGGGTCGGAGGGCCCCCCTGCACGCAAAAACGAAACTGGGGGGCGTTTTTGGAAAGCGGGGGCGGGTGGGCCCCTCCGGTGTCTGCCCTGCAGGGAGGGTACGTGTCCAGCAGGGCGTGCTTGGTCTGCAGACAGCCGAGGCATGTAACCCACGCGAAACAAAGGGGTAGCCGTTACAGAAAGCGGCGCGGCGCCCGGGGGCCCCGCGCGTCTCTCGGGAGGCAGTGTGCTGCTTGGCGGGCGTCCACACTGCCGCTGTCAGTGACAGGTCAGTGATGACGTGCCGCGTCGTCGTTCTCCTCGCCCTCGGAGGGCTCTGGCTGGCTGCTCGGCCTGGCCGGCCGGGCTGGCCCACGCTGACCTTCGTGTTGGCGCGGAATTGCACGGCGTGCTGCTGACCGCGCGGCCGGTCGATCACTCACAAATTGGAGCTAATCCAGCATTACAGTGTCGGTGCCGGGCCGGCACCCTGCAGCGCTTGCAGGCCACTCCACTGCGCCGCACCGCGACAGTCGATCTCTCTTTCTCTCTCTCGCACTCACGGGGCGTCCCGTCAGGGGACCCCCTCGCCAGCGCCTTCGCCAGCCCTACTCGACGGTGACGGCGTCAGCACTGGCACACTGGCAGGGCCCTACCCTGCATGGCCTCCAAGACGGCGGCAGCAAAGCGCCGCAAAGTGATCAATCAAGGCGACGCGGCGGCCGGCGACGGCAGGGCCGGGCAGGGCGTTGGCTGCGCGGGGCTGCGGCCTACACGGCAAGGCCCACGGGGAGCACGCCGTCGCCGTCGATGGCGTCGCCGAGCGCCACGCCGTCGCGGTGGCTGAACCGGAAGGGCTGCGCTCCACTCTACTCCCGCCCGCGGCGACAACATCGGCCGGCCTGCTGGCCTGGCCCGCTGGCCTGCTTCCGAACCCGAGAAGCAAAGCGGGGATGCCCCTCCTCCTGTCGTGTACTACGACAGCGCCGCGGCCGTCGCAGACTCGTAGAGCAGGTCGAAGCGCACCACCGCCCGCCGAGACTCTCCCCGTTCCCACAGGGACCATGCCTGGCACAAACCATGATCCCACTCCCCTTCCCAACAGCTTGGATCATATTTTCGTATTTCTGGGGCACATTGCTCATGTCCTTGTCCCCTCCGTTCCTCCTTCGCGTGCATGCCCTCGAGCAGCAGGGCGAGGAAGGGCCGGGAAGGTACAGACAGGCTCGGGGACAGCGACAGACACGCTGACGACAATGCGACGCGCAGGTCCTCGCCGTGGCGGCCGTCCTGCCGTCCCATTCGCGGACGGTGACGTCACCGCGTCCAGGCTTTGTGCTCCGTGCCCTATCACGAGGCGCGTTACGTGATGGCGGGGCCGGCGGGGCCCTCGTAAGTGCCCCCCTTAAGGCGCCTTAAGGCCTCCCTAAATGGTCAGCCCGCGGCCTGCAATTATTTTGTTCCCGTGCTCAACGCACCGCATGTTAACGTGTCGCCCGGCCGGCTGCTGGTTCCGAACTGCTGCGCGCTTCGTCGCCCTGTCTCTCTCGCACGCGAGCGCAACGCCCCATGAGTGCGAGGGAGACAGAGCGACGCCGCCGTTCGGATGCGGGCCGCCCCGCTAATCACGTCGGTGGGCGCGTGGCAAGCCGCGTGGCCGCGCGGTCGGCCTCGTTGATCCGGGCCAACGTGTCCCTGCCCGGAGTCGCCCGGCACGCTCGTCGCAATGCCGAGCACGCAGAGCACGCAGAGCCCTTGGCAGAGCGGACCACACCACTGCAATCGGAAATCGATTGTCAAGTGCACGCGCCACGCGCCGAACGCAAGCACTTGAGGGCCGCGTGGCCCCGCCCCGGGTGGCCCGGTGCCCTGCGTTCCCCCTTCCCTGCGGGGGCACCGCATCCCGCCGCGCAGTACACCGTCAAGCCACGTGGCGAAGAAGGAGAAGAAGAAGAAATAGAGGCGCGCCAAAAACAAAAACACGTCGCTTGTCACGCTCGCCAAGTGAATCTGAGCAAACTTTGTTGGCGAGAACAGCCCCTCTCTGTGGAGCGGCTGCAAAGGTCGCGCCCTACACGAAGACGGTGCGGGGCGCGGCGGGGTAAGGCGGGGGCGGGGCGGCCGACAGGCAGCCTTTATTCGCCGCCGCCTCGACGCGCCCTCTTTTCGGCCCGCGCGCCCCTCCGTCGTCCGGACGGCCCTCCACGTCCTCACGTCCGCGTCTCGGAATGTGTCAAGGACGACGTCGACGTCGACGACGGGGATGGCCCTTCTGGCCCCTCTGGCCTTCCTCGGCGCCTCCGCCAATCAACACAGGCTGCGGCGCCCCGCGGTGCGGCCACACTGCCGGCGGGGCGTCGTCCGGTCTGCCCGTCCGGCCTGTCCACTCCAGCAAGGCGGGCCGCCTGCGCGGTAGGCAACCCACGCGCTGGCGCGCACAGTGGCGTGGCGGGGTGCCTACACTGCCTTCCGCAGGCGCGCTGCGCGCTGAAGGTGACTGAAGGCCGTGCTGGCCGTGTGAGCCGCCATGTGAGCTGGCCGGGCCGAGTGGGGATTAACAGCCCGACAGGCCGCCACACGGGGATCAGCCGATGTCTCTCTCGCACTCACGGGGCGTCCCGTTGCAGTGCGAGAGAGACAACCTGCTGGTCTGTCCGAGGACTCTGGCCAGCTTGTCCGCCGCGGCCGAGGCAGCCCGGGACTCTCTGAGCGCAAATAAGACGTGCATTATTTAGCGGACCGCTGCTGCTGTAGCATCTGCGGCCTAACTAAGCACACAGCTCGGTCTGTCTCCCTCGCGCCCAAGCGGTGTGCCGGGACGCCCCAACGAGTGCGAGAGAGAGGCCGTCGAGTCTGCAGCGCAGTCTGCCCCTCCGACTCGTCCCACTTTTTTCTCGTCAGTTTACTTTGATACGGTCCGGCCGGCCTCCCTGACTATTCGGCTTCGGCCTTGCCGAGGGCCTTGCGGTGGCAGGAATAGCAGTGGGTAAACAGAGCCCAGCGTCGCTGCGCAAGGCGCGTTTTCGTGGTCAGTTCGCACCCAGCGCCCGCCACGGGAAAAAATAAGGTTCTCGGTGCGGAGAGAAGCGAGACGGTTAGGCTGAAGGCGAGACTTCGCGTAGGGGCATCCTAGGCGCTTCATGGAAGTCGAAAGTTTCTCCCTGTCCTGACGATAGCTACTGGTCCGTACTATTTTATCTCATTCGGTGGCGGATCCAGAGCCGGCCTGGGCAGGGGGGGGGAGAGGCACACTGTCTTTTCGCCCCCTCGCTCGATCTGTTCTTGATTCAATTAGGAAAAATAAAAATACATACCGTGAGGAAATAATAAAAATGATTGTCAAAAGCAATAAAAAGGGACGTCGAGGTGGGTGACGTCTTTCGATTTGCAGTGCACACAACCGTCGATGCAAATTTACTTGATGCCTTCTCGAGTGGCGCGCCACTGCTCCAGCCGGGCCATTATAAACGAGTTACAGAACGCGGCGTGGGCCTGCAGGCCTGCAGCACGAGGCCGCGACGGACGCGGGCTGGCTGCCTGCCTGCCTGCCTGGCTGGGCAGCAGAGAGGTTATGGCGCCCCGCACAGTGGGCGACTGCCCGCGGTTTGGTCCAGCGCGGGCTGCGGGTCGAGGCTCGTCAGGGTGGACACGGCCTCGGTGCCGTGCAACCGCGGGGCTGTCCAACAACCCGCACGCCAGGCGCGGCAAACACGCGAACACGTAAACACGCATATGGCTGCTGCTCACCTCGGATGCTGGTGGCCGCTGGAGACGCTCGTCTCGCCGTCATCTCGCCGTGGAGGCCGAGGCCGTGGCGTGCAGGCCAGGCCGGTGCAGCGCCGTGCAGCGCCGTGCAGTCGTTGGAGGAGGCCGCACAAAGGCCGAGAATAGAACGCGGGCCTCACAGACCCTCCGCTTGCCTCGACCGCCTGTCTGAGCGCTGTGCCGTGGCTGCGCCGTGTGCCAGTGGTGTGTGCCACGGCGTGTCCGTGCGCCTCGCCGCGGCCGCAGGGCCTGGCAGGGCCTGGCGCGGGCAGGGCCGCAGCAGCAGCTCAGCCTCGCCTCGCCTCGCCCTCCCAGCGCCCCACCAACCCCACCGCGCCACCCCTCGGCTCCCTCGGCGACGCCACCCACACCCCCCACCCGGCGCCACCAGCGCGGCTCGCCACGGCACGGCGGCCAAGGCACGGGGCACAAGTAGAGACCCGCCCGCCGCCCATCCCTGCCAGCCCTACGCCTGCCCTACGCCCATCCGATGCCATCAACAATCACTACCCGACCCGCCCGCCCCCTCGCCCTGACCTACCCTCCAGGAGCACCAGGATGGCCTGTCAATCGGATGCACTTCCTTGACGGCCTGCTTCACTTGCCGCGACGCCTGTCCGGTCCGGTCGGGTTGCCGTCGTGCGGCCGAGCCACGCGAAGCGCGAAGCCCCTGACGGCCTGGCGGCCCGGCGGGCGTCGCCTGGCATCCATCACGGTCACGGCGGAGGCACGGCGGAGGGGGACCCCCTCGTACATGGCGGGATTTTTAGGCCGCCAGCTCTAATACCATTCCTCATGCCATATCCCTCAGCCCCTCCCCCTCCCCCTCCCGGGCCTGCAGGGAGGCGCCGGGGTGGGCGGCGGGGCGGCGAACGCGAGTGGAATATGTAAAGGTGCGGCGCAATTCCAGCGTGATGCCATCATCCCCAATTCCCCCGTTACCCCCCAAAAAACGAAAGGCGCGGCGTGACAACGCGCGTCCCGGACGTCCGCCAACGTCCGTCAGCAGACTCACTCCGTTTTCGTCGCTCTGTCTCTCTCGCACTCGCCGGGCGTCCCGTGTAGGTGCGAGAGAGACGGGGCGGCGGCGAGGATAGGCGGCGCGGTCCCGCCCGCCGGCATTACAACAACCGACAATCAGCGCCATTAAAAATTTGCAAGAATAAGTGAAAGTCGTAAAGCACTTTGTGTACGGATTACGGATGGCGTACACACTAGTTAATGCCACCGTAAAAATATGGTTTATGCCGTGTGGCATAGAGTGGCGACACGGCTGGCCTTTATCGCCTCGCCACGTTCGCCGTGTTGCCCCTGGAACCTGCAGACCTGCAGCTCGGCCCGGGCGGCGAGGAGGCCGAGCCGAGCCAGGCCGAGCCGAGCCAGGCCGAGGAGGGTGAGGAGGGTGAGGAGGGTGAGGTCCCTCCAGCCTTATTGCAAGGGTCTCATTCGAGGGTCATTTGATGCAAGGCGCAACACGCTGCTGCAGGTCTGCACGCTATGCCTGGCTGGCTGCCTATCTGGCTGCCGGGCTCTGGCTGCGTGCCGCCGCCGCCAGCCGCGACTTGTGGTGTCGCCCCCTTCAGCCCTCCAGCAGTGCAGTGGCCCTGCAGGCCCTTAATCTGCCATTCCGCGTACTTCGCGCCCGTTGTCGTGTTCACTTTTCGTTTCCAGGAGGCCGTGCCGAGCCGTGCAGTGCAGCGGACTGGGCGGCGTTTCGTCGCTCCGTCTCTTTCGCACTGCAACGGGACGCCCCGTGAGTGCGAGAGAGACATCGGCTGATCCCCGTGTGGCGGCCTGTCGGGCTGTTAATCCCCACTCGGCCCGGCCAGCTCACATGGCGGCTCACACGGCCAGCACGGCCTTCAGTCACCTTCAGCGCGCAGCGCGCCTGCGGAAGGCAGTGTAGGCACCCCGCCACGCCACTGTGCGCGCCAGCGCGTGGGTTGCCTACCGCGCATTGCCATTACCATTAAGGGCTAGCGGCCCGCCTTGCTGGAGTGGGGCTTGCCGGCCGCTGCCTGCAGTACAGCAAGTTTTGGGCGTGTGGTCTCGGGCTTATCCATTGCGGAGCACTTCTTCTTGTCTTGGGGGATCGGGCCTGTCCCTCGGCGTGGTCCTGGTGGCCCCGGCACCGGGAATACGCGAGTGTGGGCGTGTCGGGGCGTGTGCGGCACGCGGTACGTGCTACGTGCCCTGCGTCCCCGCAGCCCCGCGTCCTCCTGGGTCGGCCCCGCCTGCAGGCTGACTCCGAGAGTCGTTTTCGTCGCTCTGTCTCTCTCGCACCCATACGGGACGCCTGGTGAGTGCGAGAGAGACAGAGCGACGGAAACGGCTTCCGGAATCGGTGTGCTGGGCCGCCCTGGCCGCCCTGCTGCTGGAAGGGGCTTTGGGCAAGCTCTGCGGCTGTTCCACCAAGCCACTCGGAGTAAATCATGCTTACCCACCGTGAACGGTAGTCGTGGCTCCAAACTGAACGACATTTACAAGAGGATTGGCGTATGCTTAGCAAGGCTCTATTCTTCTCCATATTTGGGACAGGAAACGAACCTCGATCCAAGTTGGGCGATAAAACGTGCCACGTTCAAAGTCGGCGAGGACCCCGGCTGGCTAATTCGCAGTGTAGTAGGGGAGCCGCAGCGCCGCCCTCTCGGCCGCCCTGCAGTGCTCCCCCCAGTGTCCCCCTGCTGCTGCCTGCAGTGATAGATTTTTCAATCACAGGGGACTTGTCATTTGCAGCGACATTTCCTGGTGCAGGGGAGGGGGAGCTCTAGGAAGGGAAGTGGAGCAAACGGTGTTGGATTGCCTCGCTCGCCCGCTTCGCGTGCCGCCTGCCGCCTTGCGGTGTCGGCGTGTCGGCCCGGGGGTGTCGGGCCGGGCGCGGAGCGGAGCGTGGCGCGACTCCAGGCGAGGGGTGCGCTGTTAATTGCACTGCCCCCTGCCTCTGCACTGTCGAAGGTGCCGGGCTGCCGGCTCGGCAGGTGCTAGAGTGCTCGCACAAGGTCAACATCGACCCCCCGTTGTGCCCCGGGCCAGGCCGCCCTCGCCGCCCTGCACCTACTCGACGTACTACAGCATGTGCACGGCGACACGAAGGCCGCGAGGCCGCAGGGCACCGCCAGGGCACCGCAGGGCCGTCACTGCCGCACCAACGGCTAATGTCAACAACGTGTCGGCACACGTCCACATCAATAATGCCCGGCAGCGCCAAAAAACGGCACTGTGAACGCCGAACGCCGAATCCAGCGCCCGGCCGCGACGTCGATACACCACGTCGTCGGCACACCGCGGCGTCGATACACCGCGTGTGCCGCCTTTGTATCGAGCAGTCGGTCCGCCGCACTTAATTAATAACCTCGCACAATCGTTCCTGTGCATTAATTTCAAAGCTTTCCACACGGTCACGCCTTCAAAAGCAATCTCGCGTCAAGATATTTTCTTGCAATGGAAACCAACATTTTTGTCAACGTTTTATTTTCACCCTGGCTGGCAACCTTCTACTAGAGGCCTCCAAACCTGCCGCTCTCTTTTCAATCTCATGTAAACTGTGTCAGCGGGTGACGTTTTGTGTGTTGTTTGAAACCTTTATAACGTCGTAAAAAATGTCCACTTTCGAGTTGGTTGAGCGGCTGTGGATTAATTTTACCGCCGCCACGCCGCCTTCCACTTTATGTTCAATGCTGCCAACCTACCACTTCGTTTAACTCATTGTCTCTTAGTGAATCGATGAAAGGAAGTTTAACTATTTTTCTCACTTGCATGAAAATGCTATTTTGAATGCTGTTTTAGCCTCATAACTTCATTGAGGTAAATATTTCTCCTCTTCGGTATGCTCCACTGACTGTGTGGGCATGTGTGGGCTGGCAGCACTGAACAAACAAACAAAACACTGCACACATACAAATAACGTCCAAACCAAAACAATCTTGCTTTGACATTTGTGTTTGAATGGACTTGTAGATTGTCAGTTTGGAATAGTAAGGCACTTAATTCGTTTTGCGGGTCAGATTCGTAATTTTGTCATCTCTCCGGTAGAAGATTCCCATTAATCATACAGTAGTGTTGTGTGTGCATCGTTTGACAGCTCAACCCTTCTCAGAGCTACACACCGTTTCATCGAGATGGCTTTTAGTGTGAGGTACAGAGGCCGAAAATTGCAGCATTTGAACGTACAAAAGAGGCTGCACCAATGGGAGAACTCAGAGCAAAATGCAGCCAACTATGGCTATTTCCAGAAAGTTAATTTTATGACAAACCAACATCGTATGTGGGATCAGTTTGACCCAACAAGGTATTTAAATTTGTATCCTTCTGTTTATAAAGTTTGTAATCTTCAGTTAGGCTACTTGCTGTACATTTCGGGGCTTTTCTTATCTTCACTTTTTGTCTCCAGCTCGAGACTCTCCAAATTGAAGGAAGAAGAACGTTTGAGACGTCTTTCGTTGAGACGAGAGAAGCTGTCAGCATTACTTCAACAAGAAGACGAAAACCTCAAAAGAGAGTTAAAGGTAATTATTTTTCAAATTTCCGTTGTGCTGTGAATCATACTCCATCTGTTTGTTTGTAGTTAACTTTGATTCCCTGAAATGTGTCAGGATCTTGAACAGCAGAAAAGGCCATGGCACCATAATTATGACGTTGGACATCTAAGAAGTATTAATGGAGAACTTCAACGAAGGGAGGAGGAGAGAAGAGCTCGTGAGGCTGAGCTACGCCTCTACCACCGATGGCGGAATGACCAGCCACTTCTAAGACATGTAAGCATAATCCAAGTATATGTTTTTGACAGACAACTCAAAATTGCTGTCATACAACTTTCTTTGGATTTGTTCCTGTGGAAAACAACAGGTTGATGAAAGGAACCAAACTGCATTTGTGCGGCAAGCATGGGTAGAGCAGGTTGAAGAAAAGATGGCTCGAGAAAAAAAGATTGCAGAGGAAGAGGAAGCAATGGACATAAAACGAAAATCCCAGCTTGTTCTTCAAGAACAAGCAGAAAAAGCATTTATTGAAGAAAAGAAAGCGCAGTTGGTTGAAATTAAACATGCCCTTCAGTGTCAATTAGATCTCTTGAAGTGAGTACAATTTTAAATACTGATTTACAGATTTTAAGATTCTGTCAATCAACAACATATCAAATTATTTACTTGTTTTCAGAGCTAAAGAAGAGTATGCTGATGAATTAAAGAGGAAAGAAGAGTTGATGCTACGAAGGGAAGAAGAACTCGAGAAACTTGCTCAGCAACGAGTACAAGCACAAGCCAAGCGTGGTGGTTTAGAATTAGGGTAGGAAACTAATTCTGAGGGTTGTCTGCATGCAAAGGTTCTTTCGCAGATTTTGTTGTCATGAAAACTTGTTCTCTTGTAGGATGTATTTCCATGAGCACTATAATCTGAAGCTGAAGCGACGGGCCAAAGAAGTGCGAGATGCCCTGGAGGAAGATCAGAGGATTCTAAGGGAGGCAGAATCTCGCCTAGCTGACCCCAACCTGGAGGATGAGGACAGAAAGGAGGCCCGTAGGCACCTTGACAGAGCCAATGCTGTTCTGGCATCTTATGCTGAAGTTGAAAAGTTAATAGAAAGAGATACACGTGTCATGTTTCAGTAAGTTTTCCAGCTACCTATACACATATTCCTGTAACTACTTGAGTTAAATATTTATCTATACTCCACTAATGTTCCGAAGGGAGGAAGCAAGATTTTTCTGGGACAAGCAAGAGAAACGATGGAAAGAAGAACAAGAGGCTCGAAGCAAGCTAATGGCTGACACATTGGCGACCTTACAACTCCAGGCAAGTTTAGTCATTAAATTCACGGATACATAGTTTTAAAACAATGTAATTCATATATGCAACAACTTATTATTTTTCAAAATATTTTTTTTCCCTCTTGTAGATTCAGGAAAGAGCTCAAAAAAATCGTCTTGCTCAAGAGAATCTGTTGAAAGAAAGAGAAGATATTTTAAAACAGTTAGAGACTAGAAATACTGAAATGGAGCAAGTTGAAGCAGAAATAATGTCCAAGAAAAGCTTGCAAAATGTGTTGAATGCACAGGTACTGTCCTTGGCTTCAAAAGGCGCTTGCTTTCAAACTAAGCCATTTTAAAATGTGTGTTTCAATCCAATATTTTTACAGATGGAGGACCAATCACTAGCACGTCTCAATGAAATAAGGCAAAAAGAGAAAGAGCGTCAAGCTCGCTTAGAAGAAATGAAGAAGGAGGAAGAAAGGCTTCTTCAAGAATTCAAGCGTCTCAATACTCAATATCCGAAACACCCTCTTGTAAGTTACACGAACCAAATTAAAATGTCTTTTCTTTCTGTTGTCGGTGTGACTAACTTGTTTTTTTTTCTTTCTCAATTCAGACATTTGGGCGGAGATCTTTCATTCCATGTTAGATTATTATTATTATGTTTTGTCATACCTGTATTTCCATGCACCAAAAATCGCCTCCATTTCAGAGAAGGCTATCTCATGGTGATCAAAGGGACCGGCTGAGTAAGCACGTCTCTATGGCAATATGGGTAGAATTCATGGGGGACTTCATTCATTGTGTAGAGCGAGTATTCATGGAGAGGGTACTTCAAAGCTTACTGTGATATCTCTTTATTGGTCATTTCTTTTCTGTTCTTAAACAAAAACAAATGAAGTCTCTTTTAAATATGCACTTTGTTTGTTTGACTGCATTGATGTGACTTCTATTTAATCTTTGTTTTAAGTTTGTAAAATATGCACTTAAATATTATGAATTTTTTTGATCTTGCTCAAGACATTGCTGTACATAATCCAAAGATAGTCCCCCCTTTACTTCCATGACAAATTTTTTAAGCAAAGCTATATTTTAGGGGGACTATATTTGGATTAATGCATGAAGTGGTTCAGTGTGAGGTAAGTGTGAACTTGGTTTCAATAAATTAAAGCACCTTCACTAAGTATTCAGTTAAAATTTAAAGCAATCAGTAAAGCCAAACAACACAATTGGAACAAGAAAAAATTACCAGCATTTACTGTTTGGAAACAAAAAGAGCAAATGGGCCACAAGAGGGTGGACATAGGCCTAACAATACCTGCTCTGAAAAATTGTACATTCAAATTGTAAACACTTGTGATCATGTCATTCCTCTTTGCTACCAACAGTGAGGAACGACCAGGTGAGCTCGCTGCACCGCGAGCAAAGCGGCCTAAAAGAAACTATTATGAATCGACTAGATCAAAAAATACATTTAATACTGCTTTTAAGACAGTTTTCAGTAGAAGAAAACTCCCCGATATTTTGGTTCCATGACCGTAATTGGCTATTCATGATTCATGCCATGAGTCTCTCATGCTCATTCAGATCAGTCATCAGTGTCAAATTAAACACGCACAACATCCTCACACAAATTTACACATATTCACATATAGATACACGAAGACTTGTCTACATCTGTACACTGGAGCCCGATTGGCCTACAGCTCCGTGGTGGCCACGTCCCAGTACTTCCTCATCCGGCCGTCCTGCTCCAGCGAGTCCTGGTCGCCGCGGTCGCGGTCGGCCAGCGAGCTGATGCTGTGTCCGTTGGCGCTGCGGCTCTCGGCCCGCTCGTGGATCACGTCGAAGTCGTACTCGAGGTTGTAGGGCATGAGTCGCTGCAGCGACCCGAAGTAGGCGGCGTTGGGCCCCGTGTGCAGCAGCTGCATCGGCCGGGACGCCGACGCGCCGAAGCCGAGGCCGCCCAGCCCGCCCAGCGCCATGCCGCCGGGGCCGAGGCGGCGCGAGGCCGGCGTCAGCGAGGTGCTGAGGGAGCGCGCCGAGCCGAAGTGCCTCGAGAGGAAGGGCGCGGGGGTGGCCGTCACGGTGGGCAGGGCCGGCACCGCCCCCGCGCCCACCGCCAGGTGCGGCGAAGACGACGACAGGGCGCGGCTGCCCAGGCCTTGGCCCAGGCCGCGGGCCGCGTGCACCGGCATGGCGAGCGGCCTGCTGGGCCCCGTCCTGGTGAAGGCCCTCGACAGCGTGTCCAGCTCCTTGTCGAACAGCAGCTGCGTGTTCTGCTCCAGCATGTACTCCCAGCAGCGGAACTGCTCCTCGCTGAGGTGCGACCGGTCCGAGCCCGAGCCGCCGGAGCCGCTCGTGTCGCCGCCGGAGTCGGAGCACCCCGAGCCGCCCGAGCCACTGGTGCCCGTCCCGCGGTGGCTGCTGTAGCCTTGGCTGTAGCCCTGGCTGTAACCGTTGTCCACGCGGCAGCGCACGGACTGCGGGGCACACGCGGGCCGGTTAGACGCCTTAGACGACGGCGGGGCGGCCTGCCTGGCCTGGCCGGCCTGGCTGCGCGGGCTCACCTTGAAGATGCCCGTGCCGCTGGACACGGTGCCGGTGGGGCGGCGCGGCGCGGGCTGCGGCGCCATGGTCACGTTGGCCATGTGCGGCACGGGCAGGGCGGTCCGCGACTCGCAGCTCGCCTGGTCACTCTGCCCGGACGGCGAGGAGCGGTCGTGGCGGCAGCGGCAGCACGGCGCGCAGCACGAGCACGGCGATATGCTGTCGTCGGCGACGTCCTGGGGACAGGGAAGGGTTCACGTTCAAGCCCTGGGCTCTGCCCTCGGCGGCGGCGCGGCGCTGTGTACTCACGGGAAGCGTGTGGCGGTGGCTGCGGAGCGTGGAGCTCAAGTCCGTGACCACGCAGTGGGCCTGGCCCTGCTGGCCCTGCACGCTGGCCGTCAGCGCCCCCAGCCGCAGCACCAGCACGCTCACGTTGTCCTCGCAGCCGTAGCTCTGCGCCACGTCCTGCAGGCGCTTGGCCGCCAGCAGCGGCGAGGAGGCCGCCCGGACCTGGACGCCACAGAGAACATTCAGATGCCGTCGAAGAGAAAAACACCACGATGAACCAGGCGCGGATACAACTGGTGGACCTACCTCCTGCACCGCCTCCCGCTCCGACACCACCTCCCACAGGCGCTGGTTGGCCAGCACCAGGAAGTCGTCCGACTCCCGCAGCTCCAGCTCCACGACGTGGGGGTCGGGCAGCACCAGCGGGAACAGCGCGGAGCACCCCAGCTGCGACCGCACGGCGCTCTGTGGCGGAGGCATTCAGTTACGTCATGGACAGCACTGGGACCTAACTGAGTCCTTTTCGTACGGCAGAGGAGCTCACCTCCAGGGGATGCCTGCTGCTGCCGGGCGCCTGCTCCCTGGTGAGGGTCATGGGCCCGTCGGTGCGCGCCAGGATGGCCTTGGCCTCGCCCACGCTCGCCACCCGCAGCACGTAGCGCGAGCCGCGCGGCGACACGTGCACGAGCGTGGCGCACGCGCCCTGCTTCTGGCCGTGCTCGCGCAGCTCGCGGTGCGCCGACAGCAGCGTGTACTTGAGGTAGTCGGCGGCCGTCTCGGCCACGGCGCGCTCCTCCAGCAGGATGCGGGGCACGGCCTTGACCAGGGCGGCGGGGAGCGACCCCTCGCCACCGCCGTCGAACAGGCCGAAGAGCCCCTCCGAGCTGCAGAAGGCCGGCAGTCGAAGCTGGGATATGTACAACCTGCAGACCATCGAGAAGACGCCGTGGGTTCAAGCGCTGCTCCTTTTCAGAGTCCAGTAATCTGATTTCGAGAGTCATTGTCGCTGTCTCTCTCGCACTCGCGGGGTGAACCAAAGAGACAGCGGCGCACCGGAGACGTACCGTTCGCGCAGCCCCGGCGTCTCCGAGAAGCCGACGGCCCAGGGCGTGGGCGGCGACCGGACGGGCGGCGCGGTGGGCAGCGCGCTCCGGTTCAGCCCCGAGACGTCCACCAGGCTGATGGTGGCGGGGCCGCCCTGGCGCTGCGACCGGTACACGCTGAACTGGCGGGGGTCGACGTGGAGCCGCGAGTTGCAGGACAGGTCCAGGAACTGCAGCTGCGGCGGCGCCAGCTTGGCCAGGCTCACGCGGTCCAGCTGGTTGTGCGACAGGTCCAGCACCTTGAGGGACGTCATCCGGGCGAAGCAGGGGCTGTTGCGCAGCTGGTTCGAGTGCACGCGCAGCACGCGCAGGTGGCGCAGCTGCACGATGTTCTCCGGCAGGTTGCGCAGCGTGTTCCCCGACAGCACCAGCTCCTCCAGGTCGGGCCATGACGCCACGCAGCTGCAAGGCGGACAAACAGTGTCAGAGGGTCAGATGCTGGGAGGGTGGAATGTGACCCCGACGTGGAATACCTGTCAGGCAGCAGCGACAGGTGGTTGTAGGCGGCGTGCAGGGTGCGCAGCCTTCGGAAGGCCGCCAGTCCTCGCAGCGCCGCGTCGCCCAGGCAGTTGGCCGTGAGGTACAGCTTGTCCAGCGGGCTGCCCCGGTCGCCCTCCAGGTCCTGCAGAGGCGCGGGCGGCGGCAGCTCCTCCAGCCGGTTGTTGGACACGTTGAGCACGCGGAGCCTGGAACGAAAGCAACAGGGGTAGCCTAACCTACGTAGGCAAGAGCACTGCTTCATCCCATTCTTCGGAAAATCCTAGATCTGCGCCTGGGGACGTGACACTCGACGACAAAACTACAGTGTGAACACCCCGACCGACACCCACCTGGTGGCCACGGCGAAGAGGTGACTCGGCAGGGCGGCCAGGCGGTTGCTCTGCAGGAACAAGTGGTGCAGGGCCAGCGGCAGGCGACTGCTGGCGGCCGGTAGCTGCTGCAGCTGGTTGTAGGACAGCTGCAGCGTGTGCAGGTGGGGCAGCTGGCCGCTCAGCAGCTGCTGGGGCACGGCCGTCAGGTCGTTGTGCGAGGCGAACAGGGCGCGCAGCCGCGAGCAGCCGCCCACCCACGCGGGCAGCGAGGCCAGGCAGTTGCTGCAGGGAGAGCACAGTCACGGTCAGAACGCGGTCACAGAGTCACAGGGCGGCTCTAGTTAACGGGCTTGGACCTCTCCATTCGTTTTCGAGAAAATTTCGCGTTTACTTACTAAGACACATCGAGATGCTCCAACTGCAGCGGCGTCGGGGAGGCGTTGAGCGTCCGGAGTTCTGCAGGACACACACGACACCGACGTTCACAAAGGGTCAATCCCCCTCCCTCCCTATATTGCCGCCTTAAATAAAGGCAAAAAGCAACACTTTGTCCCAGAAGTAGGCAAAAAGTGGCCCCCCCCAAGCCGACTCCGGATCCGCCACTGTCCACAAACGGCTCATTCGGATATCGCGAAAGTGACTGGTTCCACTTACGGTTGTTGCCGGCGATGAGGGAGGTGAGGTGGCGCCCGTTGACGGACAGCTCCCGGAGGCTGTTCCTGGAGCACTGCAGCGTCTGCAGCTTGCTCAGCGCGCTCAGGTCCAGCACCTCGATGGCGTTCTCGCTCACGTCCAGCTGGGTCAAGTTCTGCGCAAACGCAAACGCATCTGTCAGCTTGGTGTCGAAGACACGGTCCGATTTATTTTGCAGGGTTTCCCGTCCCGTGCCGGGACTCTGTTCCTGTCAAAGAAGTGCCTCCGCCGCGGGGACGACGCCTGCCCTCCGGAGCGCCGAGCCCCGCCTGGCCCCGCCACTGCAGGCCAGCGAGAAGGAGGTTCCATTCTTCATGAATGAATGAATGAATGATAACACAATAGAGCGAGGCGGTGGGGAGGGGGAGGCGCGGGGTGTCGGTTTCCAGAGTAGCGTGTGATGGCGAGGTCTGATATTAGCATCCTCCCAGAGAAAGCCGCTGCACTGTGTCACACCGAACCCCCGCCCCTCCCCGCCCCGCCCCTTGCCACGCGTGCCACGCGTCCAGCGGCGCCGCTCGTGGGAACAATTATATTCTTACTTCATCCGCGAATGGGGCTTGGCGCCGCCCGCGCTCATCCGGAAGGCGTTTCGTCACTGTGCATAAACCAGCAGGAAAGCTATCTCGTTGCTTCTCGAGGGGCGTCACTACTCGATGGGTGTCGCAGTCGTCGTCGTCCTCGTCGTCCTGGTGGCCATTGCCTGGTTCACCTACCGTCCAAAAGTAGCGTGATGTGGCGTCGCGTCGCGTCACCTACCGTCGAGCACATTGGCTACCTTGAACACGCCGTCGCAGTCGAGGAAGTACCCCGGGGACAGCGCGTCCCCCGGGCCGATGGTGAGCGACGTGGAGGCCGAGGCCACGCTCTCGGCCCGCCCGTTGCCGCGGTCCTTCCGGTCGTCGTCTTCGTCCTCGTCGTCGCCCTCGTCCGCCGGGCCGTCCTCGGTGCCCTCGGTCTCCGGCTCGTCGTCCAAGTCGGGCGCCGGCGGCTCGGGGGGTGGCGGGGGCGTCGACGGCGTGCTCTCGGACACGGAGCCCTCCGGCAACGGGGGAAGCGGCCGAGGCGCTTCTTGGTACAGCGGGTTGCTGACCACGCCCCCGCCGCCAGGCTGGCCGGGCTGGCCGGACTGCGGACCGCTCCGCGCCGTGCTCCGCGCGGCCGGCACGGGGGGCGGACCCGGAAGCGCAACCGGAGGCGCCACCGGAGTCCGGCCGACGGACATGACGGACATGACGGACGGGGCGAGCGTGGAGGCCCGCTGCAGGGCCTTGGGGTTGCGCAGGAACACGGGCAGCGGCAGCGTGAAGCGCGACCGGCTGGACGGACGGCGCAGCGCGACGGCGTCCTCGGCGTCCTCGGCCGGGCCGCCGCAGCACGACGCCAAGCTGTCGCCGCAGCAGGAGTCGCAGTCCGCGGCGGCGGGGGCGGGCGGGCAGGGCGCGGCCCGGGCGCCGCCCTTGTCGAAGCAGAAGAGTCGCGGGGGCGGCTGCGTGGACACGACGCAGCACCGCACGCACGTGTCGTCCAGCAGCACGTGCTCGTCGTCCTTGCCCTGGCCGCCGTTGTTGTTGAGGTCCACGCGGCCGAAGAAGAAGTTGTGGTCGCCGTTGGAGGCGTTGGGCGCGCGCACGCACGGGCAGGGGTGGTTGTCGCGGAGGTTGCGGTCGCGCGCCATGTTGAGGCAACGGAACGCGGGCCTCTTCTTGGCCTTGGCCTTGTCCGCGCCCTCCTCGCCAACGGCCGTGTTGAGGCTGCGGTAGCAGTTGCCGTGCAGCAGGGGCAGCGTGTCCGCGTTGGTGTCGCAGTAGCAGATGACGCGCACGGCCTTGGCGGCCACCTTGCCGTGCCGGGCCTTGCGGTGCCGGCTGCGCCGCTCCTCGCCGCCCCGGTGAAGGGGGTGGCGGTGCTGGTTCTGCGGCGTGTGCACGCACAGGGCGCAGTCGCGGTACGACGCCGACGTCCTCTTGGCCGACGACGTCGCCGCACCCAGCAGCCGCCAGCGGCGCTTGCGGCGCAGGGAGCGCATCCTGGCGGTCCTAGATCACGACGCGGCGCGGTGGCGGCGGTGGCGGCGCGGACGCCGCGGACGGCAGCATCGCGACGGAAGCGGCGACGGCGCGCGTCGGGAAGGCCGGCACTGGACTGGCCTGCTCGGCCTGGATGACGGCCTGCCGCTCCCCGCCCCGGCCGCGGCAAGGCAAGGCAAGGCCCGCGCCCGCCTCGTAGGAAAGCAAGAGTAGTGCGGTGGCCTGGAGGGGGCCAGCCCAGCCCAGCCCCGAGCAGGGCCGCAGGGCCGCAATGGAGCTGCACCTGCCAATGCACGCCCTGCGTGTGTCTCCCACGAGCCCGGGCCGGGCCGGCCCCGCGCCCCGCCGCGCTGTAATGACGGAGGGAGATGGAGCGTCCTGCGGCTTCGCTGCTTCGGGACGCGACCGCCCCGCCAGGCCCGCCAGCCCCGCCAGGCCCGCCAGCCGCCCCGCGACGGCACGAGCCTCGCCTCGCCTCGCCGGCTGTACGGAAAGCTCCCACGCGGTCCGCGGCACGCCGCCCCGGGCCTCGCCGCCCCGGGTCACGTCCGCCACGGCCGCGGCGCGTCTCCTTCGCACCCGCGGCGCCGCAGCCTGGCCGCAGCCAGCGCGACGAGGACGGCGCCAGGCCGCGGGGAAGACCGCGGGGAAGACCGCGTGACTCGCATCGCGGCGGGCAGAGCCGGGCAGAGCCGCAGAGGCTTCCTCATGTGCAGGTTATGTGTGGTTATCACACAGGGCGTGCCGGCAACGCCTCAACGCCTCAAAGCCTGCCGCGGACCGGCACCCCGCGGTGGGAGAGAGCGCGACGATTCTCCGCATCAGCATGACTCTCATCTTCGAGCGGCTCTCTTTCCACAGTCGGCGACTGCGCCACAGAAGGGCTCCAGGGCAAGACAGTGCCGCTGCCCCTGTCCGCAGCCAGTCTGATTATTCGAGCAGGGCGCCACGGTCTTGTCATTGCCGTGTCTTCCTGTCGAGAAGCCCCAAGAGAGCGAGGAAACAGATCGACCGAACTCACCCCGTAGTTGCCCAGGATGATGTGGCCCTTGAGCAGGTTGGCGCGCAGGCTGACCCTCCCCGGCGGGCCCAGGGGGTCCAGGTTGTCCTTGTCGGGCACCGGGGCCGGCAGCGGGAGTCCATCCTCGGATATCCGGTTCCCTTGCAGGTCCTGCGGCAGGAAGGGGCGTGGCATTGGAGCAACCGCACCGAGGTGAGGGTCCGTTCGCTGCCCGTTGCTGGGCGCCATGAGGCCCATGGGCCATGGACTTACCAGCAGGGTGAGCGCCCGCATGGCCAGCAGGGAGGCGGGCACGGCCTCCAGCAGGTTGTAGGCCGCGGAGAGCGCGCGCAGGCGCGGCAGGCGGGTCAGGGCGGCGGGCAGCGCGCGCAGGGAGTTGCGGTCCAGGCGGAGCTCCTCCAGGCTGCAACCGAAGAACCAACGACACGCCCGTCATGTCCGTCCACCAGTCCAGCCGCATTGTTGTGCACAAAAACAAATAACGCCTTGCTTATTCATTCGTCGGCGTGCTTGTTGTCGGCCGCCTCTTTGGCGGCGTGGTCTCGGCGGTGGGAGCCACGCGGAGCCACGCGTTGCAACAGCATCCGCATCCGCCGCGCCCCGCTGCACCCACCACGCCGCGCCACGTCCACCCGGCGCTGCTTGACAGCCGGAATCTTATGAAACCCGAGCATTCCATTCCATGAAGGCGGTGACCGGCGGCGTGTTATTGAAATAGAGAAACAAGGACGACAACACCATGCAACACGCACATAGCAAAAGAAACAACAATAATATTGCTTCGCAAAATACCTCAAGACCTGGGCAAACTCCTGCCAAGCCGCTTGAAGCTGGAAATTAAAATTTACAATTGTGCCAATGCCCTGCTCACCCCATACCTGCCGCTTTCTGGTGGCAACGTGTTGGGACTCAGGGAGTACAGGAGGGAGGGGAAGGAGCGGGGTGGCGGTCTGGGCGTCGCTGAGCGTCCCCGTGCTCACCGGGCAGACGACGCGCGGTGTCCCCGGGGGTGTCCATCGCGTCCATGGGTAGGGGCGGCGGCGGCAGGGCGGCCACGGCCGGGCTGCGGACGCCGCGGACGCTGCGGACGCTACACTGTGTAGCCGCCAGCGAAACCATGGCCCCGAATTACGCCATCCCCGGCCGCCACGCGCCGCGCGCCGCGCACCGCCAGGCACCTTGCGGCCAGGCCGTGCAGCCGTGCACTGGCGCACGCGGCACGGCGATGCGCCGCGAACAGCCGATCCTTGGTGAACGATGAATGTATCCTCTCCGCGGTGTTGCACTACCGTCCCGATCGGCGCACACTCTCGTCGTCCTCGTCGTCCACGGCACTCGCGAAAACACGTCCACGACGGGGCAATCACGTGCCTCCTCCTCCACGACGCGAAGCACTTCGTGTCCTAGAACGCACGATGCCCGAAGGCGACAGTCTACCACGTCACTGTCGCGTGTGTCCTTTGCAAGATGCACAAATCCTCGGTTCCTTTTGCGCTTGATGCAAAAACAGTGTACTAGAGCGCGCGATGGACGTGCACACGACCCACTTGTTCAATCGATGTTCACTTCGAGACTGGGTGCGACTCTGGACCCTGGCGTCCCTGCGCGGTGTGCGCTACTCGGCAGCACGCGTGCGCGTCACGGGGCGGACTGGCGGCGTGCCCCAGGCGTGCCAGACCGGAGCCCCTGGCCGCCCCCGGCCCGGAGAGACCCCCTCCAGCGGCACCCTTTGCACCACCAGCACCGCAACGCACCGCCGGCACTGGCAGGACAGGGCGGCCACCGGGTGGATTGCGGAGCCGCGGAAGCGAAAGTCTGCCGGCCACTGTGAGGATACGCAGGGCAGCGGCGCGGTAGAGACTTCCCCCTGCCTGCACCCTTCCCCTCTGCCTGATGCGCGTTGCTACGTTCACCACAACATTCACCAGGTAAAACACCTGGTGAAACAAGAAAGAAGCTTCGTCGGCCGCGGGCCCCTTGTCGTCCCGAGATAGGCCGTCCCGCCGACAGCGCTGCGTTACGGGACTGCCCACCCGACAGGCGCCATGGCCCCTTGTGCAGAGGCAGTGTAGGCAGTCCCGTGGCGCAGCCGTGTCGGCGGATCGCCTAGCCCCAAGGCGTTCCACTGCGCTTCGCTCCGCGCGCTGCCATCTCGGATCGCGGGTTCGAGTCCCGGCCGGCGCGGCCTTTTGTTGCAGCGGCCCTTGCGCAGCGGACCGTCATATCGCCCTGGCCGTATCAGTGGGACGGCGGCGGCCGGCGGCGGGCCTAAATGCCTGCGAGGCGCCAGACAATGAGGGGCACGTACTGCCCACCCGACTGATTCCACCGCGGCTCGCTGCTCTCTCTCTCGCTCTCGCACCCCTGCAGAGCGCCCCACGAGTGCGAGAGAGACAAAGCGACTGTTCGGAATCGGCCTGCGGGCCGGCCGTGCCACGAGCCGGAGAGGTTTCTCTCCTCTCTCTCTGGTCAAATGAGTCGGGGGCAGTGTGGCGGCACGTTAGCCAGGGCGGTGGGTGACTCCGCGTTTTTGACAAAAGGGGCCGGCGCGGCCGGGAATCGAACCCTCGCCGTCATCAGTCGGAAGCGTGGAGACGGCCGCCAGACCGTGTGCGCGGCTCCCGTTTGTGAGAGCGAGATGAAATGAGTGGTCAGGCCGACCGGCGACTAAGTACGGCCTTTGTCGGTAACCGAGTCCAGCAGACTGACGCCAAGCAGATGGGCTCTCTCTGTCGCACTCGTGGGGCGTCTCGTGTGGGTGCGATAGAGACAGGCCCCTTTCTCGGCGTCAGCCTGCAGGCGCCTAGGCCACTGGGTGGCGGTCCACGCCGCCAGAGCCGCCAGAGCAGACTAGGATCCAGGCCAACAATGCCCGATTGTTCGGCAGCCAGTAGAGCCTGTCGCCCCCGGCCTGGAGACTGATTCCAAAAGCCGTCTTCGTCGCTCTGTCTCTCTCGCACTCACACGGCACGCCCCGCGAGTGCAACAGAGACAGAGCGACAAAACGGACCCTCGGAACCGGTCAGCTGCTCTGCAACGCGTGGAGATTGACTCCATAGGACTCGGAGGGTCACGCCGGTCGCGGCCAGGTTGATCAGCACGCGCGCTTTCGTTCTGAGATTTCTTTATTTTAGACCAAAACGGAGTCGGTCGCTGGACCGTGAAGACAGCGTTCATGGAGGAGGACGTGGCAGCGGTTTAGCGGACGAGGCAGCGCGCTTTTCCCCCACTCCACTCGACGCGTGCGCTGCACGGTGCTGCGCGGTGCTCTGCGTAGACTCGGTGGACGCGCTGGCGTGCGCAGTGCCGTGGCCCTGCAGCCCTGCCGTGGCTGTGCGCTGGATGTCACGGAATGTCACGGTGAGTCACGCCTCGGGGCGCACTGCCTGCCACTGCCTGCCTCCGCCTTCCAGTGCCGGGGCAATAATTACCCATCCCGTTCGCCCCTGAATCCCTGAATCCCTGAATCCCTGAATCAAAGCGGCAAGGCCAGGGGAAGGGGTGAGGCGGGGGCGGCTGGTTCGAATCCCCACCGGGTACTCACTTGGCCATGCCGTCGACGTCATCGGGCAGCGCGTCGATGTTGTTGTCGCCGAGGTCCAGGTGCACCAGGTGCACCAGCTTGGGCAGGTGCGCCGGGAGGTGGCGGAGCTGGTTGTGTCGCAGTTGCAGGCGCCGCAGCCGCGGCAGCCGCGTCAGCATCTCCAGGGGGTCGTCCGCCTTGCCCAGCGCGTTGCGGTTCAGCACCAGGTCCTCGACGGCGTCCTGGAAGGACAGCAACGCCTGCGGCAGCGCCTCCAGGCCGCCCGACGTGAGGTCCAGCAGCCCCGGGGACGATCGCGCCGCCGCCGCGGCCTGCGAACACGAGGACGAGGCCGACGAGGCACCACTGTTAGCGCGTTTCTGTTGTTTTTGTTGTTCCACGGCGCCGTCGTGCGACACTCGCCGACACCGCGGCCCATTATTAGCCATTAGGTGGCCGAACGTCGCGATGTTTCAGCTCACTCTGTGTCTGAGCCCGGCGGCGGCCTGGCGCCGCCTCGTCACGGCCATGTCAGTGACGTGTCAGAGACCGGCGCGTCGGCGTCACAGTCGCAGTCACAGCCGCGTCGGCCGCGCCGCAAGCCCGTTGTCCGGCCGGGAACACGACGGTTTTCGGACAGTGGCCGCGAGGCGCAGGCACGGCGGGCACACAGCCCATGCTACACTGCAGGGAGCGCGTCGCGGCGGGCAGGTCGCGGAGGCCGTCACCGCGGAGGGCGTCTTGGCGGCCCCGAGCACGCCGATGTGGCACCGACGTCGCGCCGCCGGTCCGTCGCCATGTGCGTCCTCCGTGTCACTGGCGTCACTCTGCAGCGCGGCGCGGCTCAAGCCCATGCCGCACGGCCTGCCCCTGGCGTGCCCCGAGACCAGCGCCGCCTCCAGCATGCCTCCAGCCCTCCAGCCCGGCTCCAGCAGAGCGCGCAGAGCGGCTCGTTCCAGAAGGACGCGGCCACGGCGCCACGGCCAACGCCTAGCCTTGTGCCCTGTGCAGTGCCCCAATGCCATCCCAGTGTAGGTTGGCCTTGCCCCGAAAACGCACCACTCCCATTCCCACCCCCGGCCCGTCCCCGTCATCCTCGAGCAGGAATCAAACCTGGAAACGGGCAGACCCTCTTGACTCGAAATAAAAAGCCTCCAGGCTGGCGACGTCGCCGTCGTCGTGGCCGTGGCCCTGCTCGGCGTGCTCGGCCAACCCTTCCGATGCGTGTGTGCCAAGGAGGCGGGGGTCGCGCTTGAGAGCCTAACCCTGCCCTGGTCCCCTTTGCCCGTCTTTGCCCGTCTTTGCCCCCTCTCCGCCCTCGCAGGCCTAGCTGCTCTAGCTGTGCCCCGGCTCTGCCAAGCGCCGAGCCTCCATCAAGACCAAACACATCCGAAAACGGTTCCCTCGCCGCCGCGCGAACGGGGCTGACGCGGAGCTTCGGCACTTTGGGAAAGTCCTGCCCGCCGTTCCCGGGTGGCGTGCACTATTACTTTGTATGCAAAAGAAAATTGAAGATCGGCGGCGCAAATTACGACTCACTCTGGAACAGTTAGGCGGAGTGTTGTTGTTGTTGTTGTTGTTGTGTGTGCAAGAGCACCGGCCAAGCAAACTCATTCCTAGAGTCGTTTTCGACGCTCCGTCTCCCTCGCACCTATCCGGAAAGCCCCGCGAGTGCGAGAGAGACAGAGCAACGAAAATGACTCTCGGAATGAGTCCGCAGCAGCGCTAGCATTGCACAGCCGTCGTATGGTAATGGGAAGACCGGTGGGGGAGGGGGAATTTTTTGAGGAGAGGACGTAGAAGGCGATGCCGTCCAGCACGTCAAAGTGGCGGCGGGCGAGCGGCGCTCAAACAACAACAACAACAACAACAACAACCGCCAAAAGCGCGGCGCGACGACGTGAACGCAGTCCGGCAAGAAGAAAAGGAGATCATCAGGGGAAGGGCAGCTGCATGAGGCAAGTCCACGCGTGTGCGTGCGTGCGTGTGTGTGCGCGTGTGCTTGTGTGTGTGCGTGTGTGTGCGTGCGCGCGGTGCGTGTGTTATGCGCACGCTGACACGAATGCTCACGGTGCGCGCGGTGCGCTCATCACGGCCAACGCGTGACTCGCCAAACTGCACGACTGGCCAACTTAGCGCGTCCCTCCGTCCCACGGCCAACGGGCACACAACATGGAGGGATCCGGCCAAACGCGTGCAGAAAAGTCAGGTCGAAATTGAAAAAAAATCAATTAAGTATACAGGCACTGAAAAGTTACATAGAACATTCTTTTCGGGGACAATCAGCGGGAACACTATCGTCAAAATATTAGAAAAGTCGAGAAAAGCACGGGCGGGTTGATCCAGTCCGTGTGCGCCAGTGTGCTGACACTGAGTCGCGGACCGCGGCCGCGACGCGAGCTCTAGCGCGCTCTGGCGTCGAAGTCTCCCGCTTTCTCGATGCAGCCATGCAGACCACCCCCACCGCCGACTCACTCCTCTCTGTCTCTCACCCTATGAGCGCGAGAGAGACAGAGCGACGAGAGTCTGCCGGCGTCGGTTGGGCGGCCGACCCTCGCGGCGCGGCGGCCCGGAGTCGGATGGGAGGCCTACCGCGCGGGCGCAGCGCAGCGCCAGCTTGACGGCTTGACTCACCTCCTGCAGCCACTCGGCCCACTGGTCGCGCTCCCAGCAGCTGCCGAAGCCCAGGAAGATGTGCCTGCGAGGCCCGTTGGGCTGCGCGGCCACGCGGAGCACCAGGCGGCCTCCGCGGGGCGGCCGCGAGGACACGGACTCGACGCGGAGCTCCTCGGGGGCGGCCGTCAGGGACCCCGGCGCTGCCAACAGAAGGTCATGGAATGTGTGTCCCCTTTCATCGGGCAGCAACGCGTCTCTCTGTCTCTCTCGCACCGATGGAGGCTTGGGTACAGGTGCGAGAGAGACAGATGGCGGCGAGGGGCGTACCTGGGTACAGGAACAGGCGGTCGCCCAGCAGCAGCGCGGGCCGGCGCCGCCACTGCGGGAAGACGAGCCCCTTGAGCAGCAGCAGGGAGCCACTGCGGGTGGCGCCCGCCACCTCGGCCAGGGGCGGCGCGCTTCCTGCGGTCAAGGCGAAGCAGAGCGTCAAGTCGTCGCCGTGGTGGTCTGGCCAGTCCCAGGGGCGGATCCAGGGACGGGTTCAGGGGTGGATGGGGGTGAAGCACGGCTTTCTGCCTGCCGCCTTCGGGGGTCACTCACCGACGTGGAAGCGGATGAGGTGCCGCAGCTCCGGGTCGATGCCGAGGCGCGCGCGTCGACTGCGGTCCGAGAAGCCCAGCCTCTGGAGGAACTTGTCCTGGATGACGAGGGGCCGGTCCTCGGGGCGCAGGCGGTGGCTGGGCGTGCTGCGGCCGTACTGCACCCAGAGGGTGATGTGTGGCGCCAGCAGCAGGTCCCTGGACACGTCGCGCACCGCCGTGGCCGGCGTCAGGTACACCAGCGCGCCCCGCTCCGCGCGCTCGCCGGGCCGCCCCGTCAGCACGCGGACCCAGCCCGCCTCCTGGCCGAGGGCCACCACTGCAACAGGCACAGCCGACATGGTGGACCGCGGTGGACGTCCAGGCACCTGCCCGTCGATGGCGATACCCCGCGCCGCAGCGACTTGGGCGCGTTTCGCGCGGGGTATCGCCTCGGCGCGCTTCTCCGGTACGGCCTGCAAGGCCTGCAAGGCGTGGAGCGTGATACTGACCGCTGCTGCGCGCGCTGGGGCTGGCCGTGCGCACGCTCTCCGCCCTGCTGAAGGAGGCGTTGCTGCTGTTGGACGTGGTCTGGGGCGCCGCATCCTCGCTATCCTGCAGAAACGAAAATCCAGTTCAAAATCCAGTTCGACCGCCGCCGTCTGATTCGACAGACACAGCGACTAAAGACGGCTGCGGGCACCGAGACTCACCGCGTCCCGGTCGTCGGCGTCCTCGCTCTTGAGGATGATCTCCATGCGGCTGGTCAGCCCTCCGGGCGGCCCCAGCACGCCCAGCACGCCCACATCCTTGGCGGGGGGCGTGGCTTTGCCTGGCGGGACAATTGGAACCGCCAAGTTGAGCAGCAGCGAGCCAAGCGGCGAAGAGAAGGTGCGCTGCCTCCCCCCCCCCCTCTTTCCCCGACACCCAACACACAACAGACCCAGCGGAGAACCAGTCGGGGCGGACATGACTCTGGGCTCTATGCTCCTTTAGGCCTCCAATCAAACACATGATGGTCTCCCGGAGAAAATGACAGGACCACATTGCTACACTGTCTCTTCCTAACCCGAACTGCTATCCCACCGGCACCACAAATCTCGGCAACACGCACCAATCCCTTCGCCATGCCGACATGCCGACCCTCGGCTTCGGCGGCCCTCCGTTCCGCCTGCCCGGCCTCCCCGACGTACTTCATGGACTTAATGGGCGCAGAGTCACGCTCCGGCACCCCTCGCCCCACTCCCCCGCGAGCTTCCTCCATGACGTCACACGTGAAAAGCCAAAAGCCCCCACAAGTCGAACGCCGGCTGCTTTCTTATGTCCTTCTGCGCGCGTGTCCCGTTCCTCCCACGCCGGCCAGCGAGCCAGCCCCCGCGGGGACGTCTCCGCGCGCGTCTTGGAGGGAAAATCGAGAAATGATGTACTTGGTGGGCGTGGCGTGGCGGGGCGGGGCGGGGCGGGGCGTTCGTGCCGGGCCCGCGGCGCTCCGCCACACGTGCACGAGTCGCACTCCTCCGGAGCGCTGGACTCGCGTTTCCATTTCTTGTCAAGCTGCTCCGTCTGCTAGCTGGCGGATTCCGAACAGTGTCGCTCTGTCTCTCTCGCACCCATCAAGAGACGCTCTGAATGAGCCTGCACTCACCGTTCCAGTTGTTGTTCTGGTTGACGCTGCCGTTGAGCGGCTTTAGGGCGCGCGCGGGCGCCGGGTCCTTCTTCAAGTCGTCCTCGTCCTCGTCCTCGCTGTGGCCCAGGATGTCCGCGCGTCGCGCCGCGGGCCCCACTTCCACCACCTGCAACCAGAGCAACGAGTGCAACCTCGGACGCTCGGGCAAATACGCGAGACTGCTGAGAGCGGGGCGTCGGGTTACCTTGACTTTAACCATGGTGTTCCGGCGGAGGTCCGGGAAGGCAGGCAAGACGACGCGGTGGTCACTGCGGACGCCGCCGGCGCCGCCACTCTTGTTTTCCCTGACGCTTCTCCTCCTTGCTGCCGCCGCTGCCGCCGCTGCCGCCGCTGCCGCCGCTTTCCGCGTCGCTTGCCGAGCCCAAGGACGCCATCACGGTGGTGCGCTGCGA